TTCCAGGTCGCTCCCCAGGGACCCACTTCTTCTGACCAAACCCCACCTCCTAAGAGCACCTTCAGCTACAGCACCCCATCGTCCTGTCACCTTTCAAAAGCCCCACCTATGAGTGCATGAGGCTCTGGGAGGACTCATCCAGAGACCATCAAGTTCCAAAAACTCAGGAGTTGCACCCACTGGTTGGTTGTCTTTTCCTAGGGAGATGGCTCAGCTCCTCCTGGTTCTTTGTGTGTGAAGTAAGTTTGGGATTATATCCTGAACATACTGAATCTTGCGTTGTAAGACTTGGGTCCTGTTCACCGCTTGTGGAGGAGGCTGAAGCTTGTGTTTCCACAGGCCACTAACCCCACTCTGCTGCATCCCTAACTCTACCCCCCTCTGGTTGACAGTCCCCGTGTCAGTTTCACGTTCAGGCCATGTGGGGATTGGTCTGGGACTCAGACCATACTTATGGAGTCATCCAGAGTCAAAGGCTTTGGGGGCTTCTTCGATTCTGTTCTGCCTAGTACAACTATCCCAGACATATATGGCTTCCTAGAGGGGAAAACGCTTACAATTTTGAGCTCTTTTCCTTCCTGAAGTTTCTTCCATACTTTCTGGCCCCTGGGTTTCTCTTTCATCCAGCCCCTAAATGCCTCCTTTATCTCTTGCCCCTGGCCAGAGTGTGTACCTCTTTGCCTTACTGATTTCCCTTTATGCGGGCGTGCACTTCTGTGTAACTGAGCCCGTGTCTGGAGCAAAACAGATGAGAGAGAAGAGAAAAACATAGCAGAGGCCCCACCCACCCTGCTTCTGCTGGCCAGAGAGATGGATTTTGCCAGTGGGCAGAACCCGAGCTAAGGCCCTAGAAGACAGGAATGAAGAGGAACAACAAACTCACAACACAATAAGGGCCATTCCCATCGCTTTCTATTTTCTATTTTCTAACTTCCCTAACTTCCGGCTAGTGGCAGGGGATTCTGTCAGTGTTGCTCTCCACCCCGCTGAGCAGTTTTGACTTGGGATCAAAGCCAGAGGACAAAGCGGTAGAGGAGCAAGAGGAAAAGGAAAAACATGGAAGGAAGGAAGGAAAAGGAGGAGGAAAGAGAGGAAGAGGAAGAAGGAGAAGAAAAGAGGAGGAGGAAGGAAGAGAGAGAGAGGAGGGAAGAAGGAGAAAAGAGGAAGCAGGAGGAGAAGAAAACGTACACCTCTTGTGAGCCGTTTTGCAAGTTTTCTCTTTGGCTGTCCAGCTGCCTGCTCCTGTTTGCTTTTGAGAATTCTCAGGTGTCGCTTTCTACGGTCTGTCCAGAACTTCAGGTGTAAGCAGTGGGAGAGAGAGGCTGGCTTCATCTTGGCTGCAACCAGAGTCCACACACAGTATGTGATGGCATTCATGGGCCACCATCCTCTAAACCACCTCCTGTTACAGTTGGAGGTTTAGATCCGGTCCCCTCGATGATGTTCACATTAAAAACCACTGTGTCTTGCTTCACCTCCTCGTGTTAATTCCGCTTTTGTTTACTTGTCAAAAATTACAGCTTGCTGCACCTTTATTGCATCTCGTTTACTAAAACTTTCTTTTACATCCCAGTTACCTCTATCCATTAATTTAAACTCTACAGCCAAATACACACAGACACACACATACACACAGAGGACTTTAGTTGAATATCTTAGATCTGCCAAAGAGAAAATAATAATTTAGGACTAAAGGAGTCACAAACTACACACACACACACACACACACACACACACACACACGCAATCACCTCTGACTTTAAACCAGTTATAAAACAATAAAAACTATGAATAAAGCTTTCAAATATTTGATTTGGTTATTCATGGGATTTAAATGATCCTTTCCTCAAAAATTGAGGGACCTCTTCTCTAAGCATATCCATCTACAGATAAACTAGTTTTTCTTAAAAAGTGAATACTATGAGGTATTAAATTATGCACAACTTTTTTGTGTCTTTGCTTTGTTTTGTCGGTACTGGGGATTGAGCTCTCAGGACTTTGCGCTTGCCTGGTTTCCACTGAGCTAAATCACCGGCCCTATGCACAACTTTTTAATGACATCAAATCCTTATAGTCTGAGTGTCTTTCTGATTATGTTTCTTAGAGTTTTAAAATCTAAAAATGTTTCATTCATTAGATTCCCTGTCACACCAAGCGTGCACAGCACACTGTGACTTACGGGGAGGAAGGTGGGACGAGTCTGTTGCTCCACGGGAAGCCTTAGCTGGATCACGGGGCTCCCCCGGGAAAGGGTGTTTGAGTGGCAGCTCTTGGACAGGGATGAGCCTCCCTCCTCCACCCAAATGCCCAGCTCAGAGGAGAAGTAAATATGGGAAGAACAGAAAATATGCTTGGCAACTCTTCACTGTAAAACCACCCTGTCCAATTTTAACAGGAATACTTTTGTAGCTTATCTTTTATCTGGCTTATCTGTGGTCCCATTTCTGGTTTAAACTACTGTGTACTTGTAATTTTTAAAACGGCAGTAATCTAAAGATTCTTTTTATCAGGCTTCATTCCAGACACTGGGAAAAGATCTTTTCTTCCTGTCACTGGATGACACTGCATCTAAAGGTAACTTGTTTTTTTAAATCACAACTTTCATCAAGTAGGACTGCTAAGCCTTAATGATACCATTACCCTGAATCTCTAAAAAAATGGGTTGTCAGTTTCTTTGGATGATAGTAATATGAGAAAGGAAGGAAGGAAGGAAATTAAAAATTTAGGGTAAAATGTTTAAATGTGCTTACAAGGATAATTAAGAGGATGAGTTCTTGAAATGTCAGAGCAAATTTGTTGGGTGATTGAATTAATCTTGAAAACTAGAGTGTGAGTTTGGTAAATTTGTGTTTTGAAGTACTTTAAAGGATTTTCTCAGTATTAGTTTCTATCCAGGTGACCATCTCTTTGTGTTACTCTTCTGAAATTTCTTGGTGTGTGTTTAGTTGACCGGTAGAGTAAGACTCAAGTTTCTGAGTGCTCTGAGTTACTCAGCTGAGGTTCAGAACCAGCACACTGGCTCTCACAGCTGAACCACATGCAGCACAAAATCAGCTCTCGGCAGCTTTGGTGTTAGGGGAAAAACACACGCCCATCAAAGAGAACAAAGGGCTATTGGTGACAAGTCCTGCTTACCTCACTCTAGCAAAAGCACAACGAATTTGTAATCTTTTGAAGAAATTTTGATAATAGGCACAGTGTAAGAACCGAACTACAAAAGAAGTCATTATTTCTATTTCTTTGCCGTAATTAGAATACCCACGCTTCCCTCTCCCTGTTTTGAGAGCACGCTAGATTGGCTATGGTTGAGTCTCCGTTGATAATTTGTCTTAGTCTTTCTTTCTCAGATGAAGGTTTTTTTCTGTTCTCGTTTCAGAAGAAGGGCCTGGAGTTGACCTCGGTTTTGCTGAGGACCCGTACACCTGGATGAGTGGTGTCTCGCCCAGATCAGGCCTGCCGGAGAAGGCTGCCAGCGCATCACTGCGGGATGCTGCCACCTTTGAAGACTGATGTGTGTTGAAAACAAGAAGCCTGTGGTTGGCTGCAGGGTGTATTTGCAGTATGACTGCTGTTGTTATGCATTTCCTCTACCTTTAATTAGTATTGTTTCTGATCAGCTGGGAGGGTTTACTTTGCTAAACAATTTGGTAACACATGCCTCACATTTCAAAAGAAACCCTATTGCTGTCTTTTCGATATAATGTTTATATTTAAAGAGAAAAATGTAGGTTTGTGACAAGTCTGTTACATGACGTACGGCTTTGTTTGCAGTAACGTTTTCAGAATTTTTATTTGGATTTTGAAGTTTTGCTTCGTCTTTCTAGTTAAACATTTGTTATTATTCTGTTTGCTAATATGACACAAGGTTACAATAAAGTTTATCCTTAAAGGCGCAGTGGCCTCACTTCTCTCTGCCCTGTGGTTCCATCTCACCTCCTCTGTATTTGGGGCTTGGGAAAATTTAGTAGTATTAAATATCGGCCCTAGTGTGTTAGCTGATACTTTCTCGACTCGTAGGTGTAAAGTTCTGTTGTTTTATATTCGATAGGCAAGAAAACTGAAGATTTTTAGAGACGTTCAAAGACTCACCTAAGGTGAGCTAGGGGTGCTCAGAGCAATTGCACTCCCTCCAACATCAAGGCCCTTGTTTTAAAATACAGTCTCGTGTGGCTGTGTGGCGCAGAACACCCGTCTCTTGGGTACCTGCTGCTTCCTAGGTTAGGTTATATAATGTCTTTCAGCCTTGGTCGTCTTCATCTGTGTAATGGCTGTGATAAAACCTTTCTGGCAGCATTTCTCAGATTAGAAATAATTTATGCAAAGTTCCGGGAAAGGGGTAAGCATTTGGCAAACGTTTCTGTCTTTTCCCTGAAAAAGACTGTGCGCACTAAGCTAGGTTTTTTTCTTTTTAAGCTTGAACTCATTGGGTATGTTCATGAGTTATTTTCTCCTTTCGGCATGTGCCTGTGCCACCAGGAAATGATTGTTAAAAATGTGCTCTTCAGAGTCGGGTGTGGGGGCGCACGCCTGTAACCCCGGCACTGGGAGGCTGAGGTAAGAAGATTCCCAGCTCAAGCTCAGCCCGGGCAACTTAGCAATTTGGTGAGATCCTGTCTCAAAAACATTAAACTAATAAAAAGGGCTGGGGATGCAGCTCAATGTGGAAGCCATGGGTTCTACACCCAATATTACAAATGACCAGCCAAGCCAGGTGTGGTGGCGCATGCTTGTAATCCTAGCCCTTGGGAGGCTGAGGCAGGAAGATCACTGTGAGTTTGAGACCAGCCTGGGCCACATAGTGAGGTCCAGGTCAGTCTCAACTACATAGTGAGACCCTGTCTCAAAACAACAACAACAAAAACAAATGACCAGCCAAAGGGGTGTCATTTCAGTAAATGGAAAGGAGACGCATTTGTATGAACAACTGAGGTGATAAATATATTGTTTGTTCCTAGGGTAATGAAACAGTAGACAAGTTTGGCTCAGCTGTGAATTACCAAGAGAAAAAAATGGAAGGGCGTGTGCTGCAGCAGCCAGATTGTAGAAAACTGTCAGTTTCAAACTAAGGGTCAGATTCTGCATTTAGACAACTTTATTCTGAATGGCAACAGGTGAGGAGAAGTCAGATTTCTCAGAATGAGTGAGTTTTCACCTTTAGCCATTAAACTAGGCTTGAAGTGCTAAATCGGGACACACCATTGCTTAGCAACCAGGCAAAGGAGCTAGAGACTGGTCCATCGGCCAGGCTTGCTTGGTAAGCGTGGATGGCCCTGTTGACATGGGCTACATTATACTTAGTTCTGGAAAATTTGTAGGAGCCATATCAAACTTAGATCAGAATTATATATTAACTAGTGAACATCATGGGAAAGGTAAACATTTCCCCTGATTGCCAGATTCATAAGTGTTTCTACATTTAAGGTATTGTTTAACCACCAGCTAACTGTTACACCACTGCTACATATAGAATTTTAAATCTATTAAAATTAGTTGGGAAAATGAAGAAAAGTATAATTCTAAATGTTTCCTTTGTTATCCTTCACAGGCCAGGGTCCCCAGCCTGTAACTCTGATACCAATGGTACCTCTGTTCAGTAAATGTCTATTTTTACTGTGTGTTAGGGAACCTTATGCCATCGAGATACTTTCATTACCATCTGGCCCATTTAATACACATTTCTTAGTACACATTAATATTACAATATCAAAGTCTTGTAAAAGCAGTTTTAAACTGTTATAATAAGAAAGGCTTATTTTAATAAAACGACAACCTAGGTTGGTATTTTTTAATGCACGCTTTCTTTACATGCATCCTCTCTCTTCTGGATGGTTTTTAAATGAAACTTTTTAAGAACTGCCTTTAATCAAGAGTCGCATTCTCTGTTCCTGTCAAGCTCTGCTGCAGAGTAGGAGATAGGGTGACTGTGTCAAATGGGACCTGTGGAATAAGATTCTCATTGTCTCCGTCCATCAGAGAGTTCCACTGGTCAAAGTTTTTATGAAGTCCTGGAAAACACAAACAGAAATAAACTATTAAACGTCTGAGAGCGTTAAACAGTTCAGGGCCTCTAGGTGGCACCACAGAATTAAGAATTACAGGGACCACTCCACTCCTAGGGCTGCTTTAGCAGAGGAAGGTGTCAGGAACGCTCGTGGTCAAGGTCCCCAACATGCACGTCACCCCAGCTCCACAGCGGGACTCCACTTTCACAGGCAGACATGCTTTCTATGATCTGTAATGTGCCCAGCAGTAAAATCAACTCTCCAATTTTTGTTTTCAAATTGATTTACTACTTTGTTTAATTGTAGATCTACTGCGAACAGTTGCTATGAAACTAGCAGGGTTTTAGGGGTGCATAGTTTTGTCCTGAGAACCATCCAGGTCAGATCACACGAAAATTCCTGGTTCTTACCTAAATACTTCTGTAAGAAAGCTAATGAAGCTTTGTTGATGAGGTCCATAGCCACCTTCGAGTCTACGTCTCCTTTCAGTGATAACATATGTCCAATTATTTTGCCAGTGGCAAAAGTGAAGTCGACAAAATTGTAATGGACTGAACCCCTAAAGGAGAAATGACACGTTTACACTGCACATTACTTAATACTATTATTTTTGTAGTTAGCGTGCAGGAAAGGTACTGGTCTGCTTGGCCTTTTCTGAAAATCAGGAAACAAAACTTGTAATCTGATCTCCTTTGATATATTTGGGGGATGAAAGCTGTTATTTAGGAATCTTAGGCTCTATTCCTCTCCCCGCTATAGAACAGTTCAAAGGAGCCTAGCATCTTGATTTTAAGGGTATTTCCTGCTTGTTGGCTGAGAATATTCCAGTGTACGAAGATGTGGTAAGCACAGCGCTGAGCACAGAGAGAGAGGGTCTCTCCAAAGCGGTCATGTTTGGCGTCAGGAGAGTTCTGTGCTCTTTGGGTTTATGGCTTCCCGTTCCCACCAGACTTCCCAGTTCTCAAGGCTAGAACATCTGGCCACCCCTCCCAGCAGCTCTTCCTCCTCGCCTTCCTTTAGTCCTTTGAACCCTTTTTCCCAGAAGGTAAACACAATAGATAATTTGACCTCAGAGTTCCCAGAGTCGCCTGATGATGGAATACTCTGTCCTCCCATCCTGACATGTGCAGGTATTTAGTGAGAGTAGTGTATATCCTAATGCAAATTTAAATCAGCAGTACAGCACTGCATACATTAACATAATTAAAACCAATTTCATTTTAAAATGAGGATGTGTAAACATATGTAGAAACTGATCAATATTCTCCTCACTGAAAGTCTCAACGAACAAACTGAGCAATTCTACGATGACTACCGAACGCTATCTGCTGATGTTTATCCCCAGTTTCAAGTCTCTGTTTCAGATGATAAGTCACTGAGACTTACCTGATTGCGATCATTTTTCTTTCTTTGTGAGGTTGGAAGAATTTTTTCAGTTTCACAATGTCACCGGCACTTTGAAACCGTTCAGAGTTGATAAAAAAGAGGGGCTGAGGGATTTTGGAATAGACCTCCTCCCCCACTGGAAACATCCATGGATCCAGAGCAATGCCGCACCTGCAGATAGGAGTTGGCAGGTTATGCCCAAGACCCCCACCGTGGCGGCTTGGGGTAGCTGGCTGAGTTTGGGAGGTATCAGACTGCAGTGTGACAAGGGGTCTGATTAATAAGGTAGCAGAGTACAAGATCCCAGTAATGAATGTAGCTGTACTGTCTACCTAGAATGTACCAATAAATTAAATTTTTAAAAAATAAGGTAGCAGATCTGGAATTATGCAATCATCTTCTCCAGGTCTTGTTTAGGCATTGCAAACTATAAAGAGATATTGATTGATTGATTTGTTGATTTATTGATTGGTACGGGGGATTGAACTCAGGACCTGGCTAAATCCCTGGCCTCAACTGTGTTTATTATTCATTTTTGTTCTATTGTTTTCAAAATAAGTATTCATTTCTTTTAAAACTGTGGGGTGTCTGGAAAAGTACACTAAGCGCATGGTAACCTGTGTATCAGAGCTTTAGGAGCTTCACAGTGTGTTTTTATACCTGTTCCACACTAACGGTGGGGCCCATTGCTTTGGTTTTTTGTTTTGTTTTTTTCCTTAGGTGGCAGCACCCACCCATGCTTTGTATTTTAAAGGTAATTTATCTGAAAAAAATATTGGGCGGGGAGTGAAGAAAAACACACAAAGCATACCATTTGGAAATGTAACTTTCTTAAGTACGTTTTTGCTGCTTCTTGAACTTTTGAACAAGCTGCCTGATGTGTTAAAAGGTAAGAGAACTGCTTTATGTTGCAATGGATTTTTAAGGAATTCAAGGTGAAGTTTCATAAACAGTCATGCTTACTTCCTATATGGTGGGTTCTGTGCCATCTCATCAGCCTGAGATGAAGGAGTCAGGGACAAAACGTTCCTGCCAGCTCACAGGACTCCTGCCCAGATAGCTGTATAATTTTAGATCCAGCTCCACCTTAGAGATAGAGTATGGAATGAGGTGGGGTTAATATTTGGGAATTCTGGATAGTGGCAGCATTGTTACCACATTATGCCACAGAAAAGATATGTATAAAGATAAATTTCTAAGTGAAAATGTTAAGTCTTGAAGGTGATAATGAAGAACGATGGAGGAAAATATATAAGGGTCCAGGGAGTTTTTTAAGAGCAGACATGAATCGTTTCCTCCTAGGGCAAAGAATAAACTTTCATACCCTAAAGGATCCCTTCTCCACTAAGAATTTGATTTTTTAAAAAATTAAATCCCACACTTGTTGGGATTTAAATCCCATTCTCCTTCTTCTATAACTTACTGTTTTCTTGTTTTCTCCACCTTATTCTCTTACCTGAATCGCTGGTCTTCACTTAGCACCTGGATAGCTGTTGATCCACCAAAAGAATGCCCAATGATTGCTATTTTATTCCTAGCAAGAGAGCCCTATATGAAAAAGCATAATGAAAATTGGTAACTATCTCAAACGGTGTTAAAAAATACTCTGTCAATCATACAGTTATTATGCATTTCACAGGCCTGGGTAAGTACCTTGCTGTCTTAGAAAATGGACGGTGTTTCTGAACTCTTGGGCCCAGCAATTATCTCACCTCTCCCACTCTGCCAGGCCTTGATTGTTCCTGCAGCACTGAGGGGAGGGAGTGATACGGAAGCCTCATGCAGGGCAGCACAGAGCAGCCACGGCCCAGGGGAGGGATAGCCGGCCAGGCCAGGATGGGCAGCTTCTTGGAAGAGGTGCTACTGGACTCGGGTCTTAAAGGTTGGTTAGCAGTTAGTGGGCCTGAGATTTAGCTCAGTGGTTCCACTGCCTCTCTGGCAAATGCAAGGTCCCAGGTTCGAGTCCCAGTATCAAAAAAAAAAGGTCAAGCCGGGATTTAGCTCAGTGGTGCTGATGTCTGCTTCGCAAGTGCAAGGGCCCAAGTTCAATCCCCAGTACCCCCCCGAAAAAAAAAAAACAAACAAAACCAAAAACTGTGTTTAAGTTTCAAGCAGTTAGTCAGGGGAAGGTATGTCAGGCCCGGAGGACATGGTACCAGACGGATAGGGGAGAGTGGCTGGCTGGGGACAGCCCACTCTTCCTTGTCCACTGAGGGCAGACTCCATCATCTCATCTGCCATCCAAGTAACTCCTCTTTCTCTCCCTCAGCTCCCTGTTCCCTGCCTTCTCTGCAAATTTTACCTTAAACATTGGCCAATTTTTCAAGGTGAAGCTTAAGAACATGTAGGAGCTGTCCAAGAAGGAATGATATTCTCCTTAGAGGCATTTAGGTAACCATAAGGAAACTGCCAGTTTTTAGTTTCAAACTATTAACACTTTCATTTGCAGTTCAACCCCACACATTCTTATGCTGTCAACTTAACCTGTACTGGATGTGTGTGTGTGTGTGTGTGTGTGTGTGTGTGTGTGTGTGTGTGTGTGTGTTGCAGCCCTGTATCATGCCATACCTTGCAATACAGCAGAAAGCCAGACAACAAAAAATAATAATGAACCACGGGTCAAAGGAAAAATGGCTTCTTAAAGCTCACTTTCAGTTGCTGCAAGTCAATCTGCAAATCCAACACGTTCTTCACCGGCTTTCCCTCGTCAATGTCGAGAAGCAAACTGAGAGCCTGGGAACACTCCTTTCCTCGGTGCCGAACCTGACAGGATTATCACCAGGAAGAAGTGACAAGAGTCCAAGGCTGTAACACTTATTCTAAGGTTCAGAGTTAGCATGTGGGAAAAACAGTCTGTTGTATCCTGGAAATGTCTTCTTGAAAAGTGATCAGAAGCCGCTTTACACTTAGGTATAGCTCAGTCCAAACCCTAACTCTGTTGCTTTCCTACCATGCGACTTTAGATGTCTTACACAGACTCTTTGGGCTTCCACTTCTTGTCCACTAACACCTACTGCAATGACATGTGGGTGAGCTCAAACACCACCCCATTTATTAGGTGCCAGGATAAAGAAGCAGCCGGTATGCTCTGTTTCCTGTGATTACACCATAGTCCTGCAAGGCCGGTACTGTTATCACTCACTATTCTGTAACAGTAAAACACTGAAGCACAGGGAGGTCAACTTCTCCAAGGTCACTGCACTGCCAAGGGACAGAGCCCAGAGTCAGACAGACAGTCAGGTTCGGAGGCCACACTCTTGGTGCCACTGTACGCTGCCTGGCTGACAGGAAGTCTTTCTCACAGTGCCTCTGGGGGTGGGGGAATCTATGGTCTGTCATTCTGAGAGTCTAAAGTTACATATGTTAATACAAGAGGATTCTGAATATTCACTTTCATGTCCCAGGACTCTCGTGTTTGCCTTTGCTCTTACCATGAACCAGAATTTCACTAAGGGGTCTTTATTCCTCGACGCCCTTCTGCCAGATCTTTGGGAGATGGTGGTCAGAGACCTGGGAGCATCACTTGCCCTGTGTCAGCTTAGATGCACAGAGCAAGCTTTCTCTCTACGCCCAGGCCACCAGCCCCGCCTGCCCTGCCCTGCGGTCGCGTACCTGCTCTTTTCGCAGCGTCTCTGACTCTGCTTTTGCAGATCTGAAGTAGAGCCAAGACTTGTTGCTCGATTCTGCCGCAGACTGGTCCTGGAAGTAGTAAGTAGCAGAGGCAGATTCGTCTCTGTAATAGAAACGGCCTCGGTTACTCACACGCAGCCTTCCGCTCTCCTCCTCCTCGTGTGACCCGCCTTCCTCGGCTCCAGGCTGGACTCGGTGTCCCCTGATCTTTCCACTTCCCTTTCCTCTCCAACTCTACATCTCATTTTAAGTTATAGAGGACCCCAAAGGACCTCTAGGAAAACAGCTTATTATCTGTTGTGGGAAAAAAAATTCAGTCTTCATGATTCTGGGAGGCACCCGCAGCCACATTAGAAACTCATTTCTGGAATCACATCCCAGTGTGCTGTTTGTTTCCTAGTCGTCTGGCTTCAGGCAAATTACCCTTTCTCTCTTTCATTTACCTCTCCCTTAAATAACGGCAATAACAACAATCTTGGGATTGTAGCCAAGACTAAATGAGATGGTGTATGAAATGCACCCAGCTGAATCCATGGCATAGAACAAACACTCTCAAAATAATTGTTCCTGAGTCTTGACAATCTGCACCAGTCTCCTTTTGTTCTCACCACAGTTGGAAATTCCATCAATGTTTTTATAAATCTGTGCATCAGCTAGAAGCATAATTATGGGCATCCACGTTCCCTGTGTTTGACTAAAGAATCCAGCTCTGTTAGGTAACGTACCTGTGTTCTACAGCAGCGACTATGAACCCATTAGACGCCAAGTCCATGCCAATAGCAGAATAAATTGTCCTTCAAAGCAAAAAGAAGGAGGCATCAAAATTACCTGGTGTGATGACAAGTATGGGTCCTCAAAGAAGGCTGAAGGTGGAGGTCATTTTGCCCATGCCAATGCTCTAGGGTAGAGGGGAGTTCTGAGTCTCAAAGGAACCCGACTTCACCCCTTGGGGGACATTTGATGATGTCTGGTGGAGATTTCAGAACCACCTCTGGGGGAGGGTGCTGTGGGTCTCTAGTGAATAGAGGGTACTGCTGAACCCTCCAATGCATGGGGCAGGCCTCTAAGACCGGAAAGGAGCTGGCCTTGTTTCAGGGAATTTTCAAGTTTTCCTGAAAATAAAACCTAACTGGAAAATAATAAGCATTGAAAAGCAGAGATCAAAAATGCCAGCTCCAATCAGCAGGTCCTTGCCTAAGCTGCCATCACTATTCTCACATTCTGTGGCTACTCTATAAGGCAGGTAATGGACCAATGCTACAGAAGTTACAAAAGCCTGGCATGGTGATCACAAGCACTACCTTTGAGAGTTTGGGGTTTTCATATTTTGACTGCCAACTGCCAGTCGTGCCTTTGGATAATTACTGGACTTTTGTTCTCACCTATAGAATGGTATTAAGGGTTTAACAAGATAGCGTGTGTGGGAAGCTAGGGAGTCAGAGACCAGGATGGGCACTTAGGTTTTCTCTGTAAAAAGGCGATGCTAGGGTATTGTCCCCATAGGTAAGGATCACACGAGTGGATGAATCTCCAGTGCCTGTGACCCGTTAGTTAGTTTTCCTTGATCTGATAAAATTCCTGGGAATGACTCAGAGGAGGAAAGACCATTTTGATTCACAGTTTTGGAGGACGTCAGTGGAAATGAAGACCCTACTGGGAGTTGGGCTGGAGACCACTTGTGTTACAATTTAGCAAAGACTCTACGTTTTGTCCATGTCCTGAGACTTTGAGTGAAGCTGAATATAAAGGTCAGGAACTAGTTTATCTGATGGAGGAAATTTCACTGAAGCATAACATTCAGGGGGTAGTGTGGGTTTAAGCCAGATTTCTGGTGACAATCGTGAGCAAAACGTGGAGTGGAAAGATCTTTAAGTAATCCCTCCTCCTGGTGCCACCATTCTTCCCTAGGGGCAGAAGGTTAGGGTTTGCATCTCAAACCTTCCCCACCAGGCTCATGTGTCCGAAGCACGGTCCCCAGTGCAGCAGTGTTAGAGGTGGGTTTTGCAAGGTCACAGGATCATGAGGGCACTAACTTCTCAGTATCCGCTGCTGGATTCATAATTTAATGGCATTACTGAGGTGATGGTAAGTGGCACACAAGGCCTGGTTGAAGAAAATAGTCATGGTGTTGGAGCTCGGGGACCGAATCCTGCCCCCACCCCATCCTCTTAGCTCTTTTCCTATCTTTCTGCTTCCTGGCTGCCATGAGGTGATTACCTTCCTCGGTCACCCCCTTCTGCCGTACCTGAGGCCTAAACGCAAGGGAGCCTGCAAGGGAGCCATGGATGGGACCCTCTGAAGCCATCGGCCAAAATAAAGCTTTCCTCCTTTGAGTTGTTTATCTCAGGAAATGCCACAGAGGGGCTACCACACCCCCTGGCTGAAACAGGATGCATACTTAGTACACGCTGGCTGCTGCAGAACTGATCAACCTGCCTGAATGGAGTAGTTCAGAACCAGGCACACTTATCCCTCCCATGCTTTCCCTTTGCACAGCCTCATTCTCCCATTGTACACGCAGAGAATAAAAGGGGGCATATAAGAACCGTGTCACCCACTGCTGGAAACACAGGACCACGCTGAGGGAAGCAATCAGCTAGAAAATTAGCGAGCATTTCTCTCAAAGATCAGAGACACAGTGCTTCCGGCCGCCATAGGCCGAGCCATCTCTGTCCCAGCTACCCAGCTCTGCTGTTATAGCACAAAAGTGCCATAGACAATGTGAAATAAAGTGTGCTCCATGGTGTGCTCCAATAAAGCATTACAGAAATGGGCATCAGGCACAATGTGGCTTTGGGATCCAACGTGCCACCTGCTCAACTGGAACTGACCAGACTACAGTTAAAGAGCTGAGTATAATTCCTTACTGCAGCTACTACCCAACTTCTTCCCAGCTAATGGCCCTAAGATGCTCAGCTGAGAGCTGAGTGAGTGTGGCTTGTCCTGGAAATGTGCCCCTTGGGTGTCATGCTGCAGAGGCAAAGGTGACCCCAAGCCAGCTCCTGACCCTCTGTGTCTGTCCCCACCATCAAATGGAGGCTACTCTGCGGCAAGCTTGCAGCAACATGGCCCGGCTTGGGAACCAACACTGCTTCACTCCTATAAGATGGGGACTCTTTTGCATACCAAGTTTGGGCCAAGCACTCTTCCTGTTGTCCTGGAAGACCTTTTTCAGAACTGTGCTGCACAGACTTTTGGTACCAAACCCTTCTCCCTTCCCCCTCTCCTGTCCAGGTGTCCAACCTGCACCATACCTGAAGGCTCTCCCCATTCCTACCTATCTGCACCTTCTTCCCTGCCCCTCATTTCTCTCAGTAAATATCTTTGGGTCTCATCCAGTCATGGTGTCTGTTTCTTGGAAGACTCCAACTAGCACAGAGGATAATTTGAAGGGTGTAAATAATTATGATGCAGAAGGACAATCAGCAAAAATGTAACCTCCTCTCTTCTTGGCTGTGAGTTTATCCCCACATCCTGGGACTGAGCAATTGACTGTGCCCAGGTCTTCTAGAACTCACCTTCCCCAGGTGATGGCCAGCCTGACATTCTAATACCCGTTATTCCCTTATTTGGAGAAAAAAAAATGTATTCAGTGACTGATAGAGAGTAAAACCACTCGACCTCTCAAACATTACCTGAATGCTCCAAGACCATGAGAAAAAATAATTAATGGGTATTTTTCACCAGTTCTCAGAGGAGAATTCCACTTTGCAGGGACAGTCTTTGAGCCTACACACAGCAAGGGAGATTAGTCAGCATTTTCTGTGGCTTGGATGTTGACAGTTCATTTAAAACATAAAGCCCTGAAGCATTTAGGCCTAAGGTTTTCACAGATTAATAGTAAATGCATTTAAACGTCAGCTGCTGGACAGTCACCAACCAAAGAGCTGAACCATGGCCCTTCCTCACACCACATGCATTAATCACAGTTCTTAGTGTCAGCTCCCAAAGGAGGGTGAGAGAGTTTCCTTCTTACAGGTGTACTCAGCAAGACAACAGACAACATTCTCAAACCAAATCACTTCTTTGGTCACATAGTCAGGGGCTCAAAAATGGAAAATCTCATCCCCTCTTCCTTTACTTTTCATGTAATGCTCATTTTTATTATTAAGTATTTGTGCTTTATTTTCTCACCTACACAACAAGGCCATGAAGACGGAATGTGATGACTGGTACAGCAGTGATTTGGACATTATTCAGCTGCCGAGACGTGTAGCTAGGGTACTGTCAGTATTTCTGCTTTAAAGTAGTTTTGTAAAGAAAACTCTAAAGGGAAGTTGAAATGAATTCCAAAAGTCACAGGTAATTTTGAGGGAGAACTTTAAAGACAGAGCTAACATCTGCCCAATGGTATTGCTGGTTACATAGATGAGGAAAGGGAAGTCTGTGTTAATGACAGGAAGAAAAATTCATGATGGATATACTGAGATAGTCCCCTGGAGTAGGCGACAGGAAGAGCTCAGTCTCCATGTTTGTGAGAAATGAACTTTGACTCTTCTGTTTTGGTCTGGAGCATGACAGTGGCTTCTACTTTCGATCTCTTTTTACCTGACACAGAGCATACAGGTTAGTGGTGACAACAGCCAACCTGATTCTCTAGCCAGCTCATTGCTCCTTCCATGGTTCCTAAGAAGGGAAACAAAACAGCCACCATGGAAGGGCATGAGCTGACATCTCACCCACTCCCAGTGAATTTGGGATGGACAGACTGAAAAATCTGGATGCTCTCAAAGCTGTTTGGGCTCTTGAGAAATGATGACTGTGTCATCTTAGGGGAAATTTAGACTGGAGAAAATCTGCTTTGTTCTTAACTCTCAGAAATTCTTGTTTCTCTATTCTAGACCCTGCAGAATCTCATCACCAAGAGACCAACAGAAATCTTACCATATAATAAGTTGAAAACTTTGCCCACGAAACTGGGTGATCCAAGGACTCTACTAAGACCCTCAAAATATTCTTTATTTGGTATCCAAAAGGTATCAGGGCCATCTTTATCTTGCGACGGATAATACAAACGTAAGAAAATGCTCTGTTGACAAAAGAAATGAATGTGTTTTTAGTTCAGTTCCTTCTCAAACAAATTCCAACAGATGTCTTTCATATTTCGTTCGTGGGGTCTAAAAACCTCTGTCATTCATAAAGAGGTTCAGAGACTTTTTAAGTTGCTGTGATGATTGAATATAGTCATGAAGGAGAAAAGAAATAGTCTTTGAGTGTAAAGAGAGTGTGCTTCAGTTATGAAAGAGAGGAAAATAAAAAGAGTTTATAGGACAATTCAATTAGATGACAGCAAAGAATTAGGGAAGGGAGCAACAGAGATGGCAAAGGGAGTCATTTGTAGGTGGGAGTAAGGTCAAGTTTTAATACCAGAGTAAGTCAGTATTCAAGTATAAGGATAACTTGACCAACCAAAGAATTACCTGGTTAGTGTAACCAGACATCAGGTCTGTACAACCCACGGAGTAAGGACCACTTCCCTTGGGGATTTTCATGTGGCCAAAGCTGGCAGTGGACAGGAGCCATTGTATTGTTTGGATCCATGCTGAAAAACAGGTGAATGTTGCCTCATTTTTCATATTGTACACCCCAGGTTCATTCCGCAGGGACTTCCAAAGGAATCACACTGCTCACAGTTTCTGACCTCTTGCTTTTTTTCTTTTTTTTTTTAACCTAATTGAGGGCCTTCTGTGTGCGGTGCACTGGGAAGGGGTTTGGAAAATAAAAGGAATGAAGTAGACATGGCCATCTCCCAGGATTCCTTGCAGCACCACCTCCTAACCCTGGAAGCCTTGTCTCACCTTCCACTCTGTCTGGAGTACACTATGGGTGACTCCCCAAGTCTGTTTTTTTCTAAACATGAACTCTGTCTCGCATTTAGATTTGTGCTCACAACTTCTCACTGGGCGTTTCCACCCGCTGCCTTCCCCATAGCAGCCTCAAAGCCAGTGGTCCAAAATGAGACCAATGATCCTCTCACCTCTCTGTCTTCACCCTCCAACTACACAGTTCCCAACTCCGGAATTCCCTGTCTCACATCTCCCGAGCTGGAAGTCTGGGGATCATCCTACTTTTCTACTTCTTTCTCACCAACCCTCTACTTCCTGCCAAGTTTGAACTTCTAACTATTGTTTTTCATTTTGAATTATCTTCCCAACGTGTCTCTGACTCTTAGCTTGGCTGTCTCATTTGTGCTTTCTGAGTCTTTTGACCTGACAGCCTCTTTCTCTTCTACTGTCATGTGCACTCAGACCTGGCCCTTTCGAGTGCCTCCTGGACTGAGTACACAAATCTCACCTACTCCTAAAATTCCTCCATGGCTCCCCATCATCACAGCCACTAAGAGGGGAATGACTGGATCCTCTTAGAAGGGAGTTGGTAGGAGGGATTAAGTCCACAGATGCTCTCTCGGCAAATGTGTTATGAGGCCAGGTATAAACATGGCTCCTTCTTATGGTGTCCAGAGTTGAAACGGAGGGCTGCTCACAGGTGCCCAAGCTAAGTCCCAAGTCCCTGCTGGAAGACAGGTGCTGAGCATGCTGCCCAGCGCCCTTCTGCTACCTCTCCCCGCATGAGCGCCCTGCTTCACGCCGGGCTGTTATTTCTCTGCACCTCTGTAACAGCTGTCACGGCCACTGCTTAATATCCCCATGGCAAACTCTTATTCTACCTTTAACACCTCTGTCAGAAGTCAGTTTCCTCTGACACTTTCCCTGACTTCCAGACAAACTGAGTCATTTCATCCTCGTATCACAGATTCCTTATATTAGATAGATATAGAGATAGATAGATAGGTAGATAGATAGTGGATCCTTGACTTATGAATTTAATTCATTTTCGAGGGCTGGTTGTAACTCAAGTTTGGTCAATTGAAGGCCCAGGTTCCTCTACACAGCCTTCAAAGTCTCTCTCCTGTACAGGCCGATCTCAGAGCCCTTAGACACACACTGGCCCAAGATTTCTCAATAAACCCCATGCAGGAAAGGATGTTATACTGTTCCTTCCAGAACATTTTAAGGGTTAAATCTGTATCTAAGACAATCTGAAAACACAAGCAGCCAGCTTTTGGGTCGTGACTCAAGACTCTGTTCATAGGTTCAAACTAAAATTCTGATCGTATCCCAAATGTCTGTCAGGCTGGTTGTAACTCAAGGGTTCATTGTACATGAGATAGATAAATAGATGTCAGATATGTGAGATAGATACATAGAGACAGATCGATAGATAGATAGACGTGATTAGGTAGATACATATAACCCTTCTTCTTATCACATGATATTAAAGTTGTGGTTTGCACACAGTCTCCCACACTGGGCAGTATCTCTTCATCAGACAGACAGGACTCTTTGTCTCTGTGTTTCTGAAACGCAGCATCTGTGCTGAGGTCAGTGCTCAGTATTTCCCGAAACTCGTTCCACCTGGCTCCAAATCCCTGCCACACTTCTGCAGCTTTATGTGGTTTCCTTTCCAAACCTGGGTTTTATGGTGCTGGGTCCAAATGCCAGTACATCCAGACTCTCTCTCCTTGGTCTGCTCAGCAGCTCACTGTTGGATTGGCGGGTGGGGCTGGGACTCTGCTGGACCCTCCTGTGCTTTCCACTGATTCTGCCTCCTGCATTCAGACAGATACCCACCTGGGCATGGCCTCTGCACCTGCAGGCGGCACAGCTCAGATCACTGTGGCAGTGCAGGGATGAGTCTGTCTACATTCTCTGCCCTGACTACACATGGTGAATCACCTTCCCAAGGTAGAGGCATCCATCCAAGAAGGCCTGCTCGATTCTTGGGGGGCGGGTTCACAGCCAGCCCTGGACACACTCCTTCTAGAACCAGCTCAAGAGCCACCGAAAGGCACCGCCCTACATAAGCAGACCTCTCCCCTGATCAGATCTGAGTTCCACCAAGGCCCTGGGGCCTTTTCCAATAACCTGGGGTTACTCTTGGGCTCCCCAACCTGTTGTCCCTGAGACACTTCCCCACCCAGTACTCAGGTTAAGGTGACTTCAGGACACCTGGCCCCCAAGAAGGTCTCAGGAAGTGAGGGACTGACTCAGGTTTCAGGAGGGGTCTCCAGCACCGGGGTTGGGGGGAAGGCACTGCAGAGAAGGCTGGGACCCAATTCCTACTTCTACCCAGCATTCATCATAATGGAAGAGGAGCTTTGCAACCTGTGCCATGCTGATAAACTAACTACTTATTTTTGGTGATGTTCATTTGTCCAATATTCCTGATATTCAGTCTTCAGATGAGTTATCTACACGCTAGGAAAATCATATTCTCTTGCATGGCTTTATGCTCTCCATTAGCAACTGGCAACTCTGTTTTCATAAAGTCCACATTCATAAACCTTTTACCTCCACAGCTATATTTTCTATTATTCATTTAATAAGAATTTATAAAGAATCATCTACTATTGGAATCTTTTATTTAATAAACTCTTAAAATAATTTCAAAAGCGTGTGCATTCCTTTTTGTGCATTTAGAAAGAGGAGGGTGTTGGACTGGAACTACATAGATGAATAAATCAGTGTCCCTGTCTTCAAGTTTCTGCCATCCCAGTGATTTTTAAACAAACATGAAGGCAGATAGGAAACATCTTGACATTCGCACCCTGAACCAATACAAAGTAGATGGTACAAATGTCCCTGAGGTGATAATTTACCTATCATCATGTAAAATGTTATGTGTCTTCAACCCATGGATCACATGAACCTAACTGTACAGATTCCTAGACTACAGGTTCTTGGTCATGGTCACCTGCATATCCCTAATGCCTAAACCTCCTGGTCAATGCTGATAGATGAGTAGACCTTTGAGACACTGATGTAAGATACAGTCCCTCTCCTACTAATGCATTCATTTCCGGATTATGAAGTAGGGCAAAACTGATATCGATGGCACCATGTTACACAATGCTGTGAAATGTTGTCATCTGCTAAGCCTGAACAACCAGATCTGAGGACTGCATCTAGGCGTATGCACAGACCTGTGGCTGATGGTGAAACACCTTCACAGCCCAGCTTCTCTGGTCCCCTAGGAGAGGTGGAGGACCACACTCACAAGGCCTGGGTGAGGAGGACACCACCAAGCTCCAGTGCAAGCTGGTTGCAGTAGGGTCTTCCGGTGACACAGAGGTGACTTCAGGTGTCCTGCTCTCACTACTCCTCCTGGCTTGTCAAATACCCTCTCTTTCTCCCCTTCTTTTCCCAAGGTAAGTGAGCAAGTGACCATGTCTTTTCTCCTGGGAGCTCCTAGGGCCCACTTGTCCCTACTTGTTAGGTAGAAAAGATCATTTCCCTCTGGATCTCAAGACCCTAAATTGTCATCTCCTCACACTGCCCACTGCCATGAACCAGCGCACTAGGCCTGCGTTTCGACTCCTGCCTCCCACCTCACCCTGGTTCTGTCCTGTGGTTGTGACACTGAAGAACACAGCTGTAAAGTGGACAGAGTGGGTCCCTCTCTGACTTCAGGAGAACTGAGGGTCCTACCACCACCTCTTAATAGGACTTTCTTAGAAACCCAAATGTGCAGCATTGCTGATGTTGCCGGGAGCTCAAGCCCTGGAGGAAGGTGTCTCTTACCTGATGGCTGGATATAGGTGAGAGGCTCTATGTCATGCCAGTTAAAAGGGTGGACCAATGCCAGGCAGCCACAGAGGCAGAAGAGCATGTGCAGTTTGGGTGGGACCATCCTGGGATCAGCTGAACCTTCTGCAGAGCTGGTCATGAAGAGAGAGAAGAACACGTGGAGAGGGCTTAAAGATGCTGACAAAGCAGTGGGGAGGCGTGAGGCACCACGGGGAAAACCACATGTGGATTTTCCAAGCAGGGCTTAGGTAGGGACTACTTGCCCTTTGTTTAGTTACAAAGTAACAGTGTAGTTTAGTTACAAAGCATAGCACCAAAGTATGATAATTGTAACCACATATGACTCTTTACATCATTATCAGTTAGTGCCTCTCTACATAACACGCAGTCTACACTGCTTTTGGCCAATGTTTCTACCCTAATTATACAGTGATTACAAGGCTGCTGGGCTGTGGTGGCTGTATTTGGTGTGAATATTTATCTACTGATTGACTGATTAGTAATCTCAATCATCCTACTCCACTCTTAAATTCTGAAAGACAGAAGTCAAGTTGTTCTTGGCCATAGCACTTGATAGAGAGCCCAACAGGCAGTGGGCTTTGAATAAGTGTTTCCTATGGCAATGAGGCTAAATGCTAACATCATATTACCAAAAACACTCTTGTATTCTCGCAAGACTTTTCTGCTTTAAAACGTGGCCCTTTGGTTGGGGATTTAACTCAGTGGTCCTGCTGCTTGCCTTGCAAGCACAAGGTCCCAAGTTTGACCCCCAGTATCAAAACAAACAAATAAATAAATAAATAAAATGTGCCCCTTTGATTTCAGGGGGTGATGGAAATCATCCAAGCCACCCCCAACACTCATCTGAATTTTGGCAACAATACTAAGTGTTCTCCCCGATCCATCCCAGGTGTCATCACGGCCACAGCCATTAACAACATTCCTCTATCAGACCCTGCGTGATTCCGGGAGTGAGAGAGAAAAGTGGCAGAGAAGGCTGTCGTCAGGCTGTGCACCACAGACCCCAAGGTTTATCTATGTCCCTGTGCACCCTCACCACAACCATCCAGGGTGCTTTGCCTCTCACAAATGCACCAGGCATCCTGCAGCTCCTTGAGCCAGGCCATGTTCCTCACAGAAGGCTCTGCCTAAGCAAGCACTTCTTTTCTTTGTTGCTTGATGGGTTTCAATCCTTGGTTCCCCTCTGCTTTGTCCAGGGTGGAACAGCTGGGTAGATTTAGTGGGTTTCATGAAGGGCCCTACGTGCCCCAGGCACCAAAATGGGCATTTGCACCAGTCCTTAGAGCACTTCGTATCCATGCCCTTCTTGTCCTCCACAGGCTATGGGTGCCCTGGTAATACTCGGGCATGCCTCCTGGTCACCTCCATGGCTCGCCAACCTTGCAAATGTTCCACAAATCCATCTCCTTACTTTCCTTGTCAAGGTGACAGATCCCTGATCCAAACAAGCTACTGAGAGGCACGAGGAGGTCACGAAGCCTGTGACGTTCTCTTTGTGTTTCTGCAAATTCATGTGCTGAAAACCTAGGCCCCTTGGTGGTGGGATCCAGAGGTGGGGCCTGTGGCAGATGCTTAGGTCACAAAGGCAGAGCCCCCAGGAATGGGGTTAGTGCCAGCTGCCACCCAGGCCAAGACAAAAGGGCAAAATTGCTCCTGAGATGTAAATGAACAAACACACAGAGCAACATCTGGTAAACCAAAGCCTGAGAGCCCCAAATTTACGAGACAAAGTCAGCAATGCTGGCAGACTTAAAATGAGTTTTAGAAGGCAGTAGGGCAAGCATTAAATTGTCCATGTCCTCACATGACCTTTTAGCTAAATCTCTAGAGTTAGCATAAAAATGTCTTATACACAGGGAAATAAAACTCAGCACATGCAGCAGCATGTTTATTTAATTCTGGAAAAGGCAAATGCAATTTTAATTGAAAAAATAAAACAAAATTTCATGTAAAAATTCATACCGAAAAGGCAATTAATATGAAAAGGATAATGGACGTATGAAAGTCTTTCCCATTATACCTCACCCATTTTATGAGAAGAGTATTGCTTCACTAAGAAGAAATAATTTAAAAGTGATATTGAAGAGGAGTTTGCTGGGCATAAGGAATACTATGTTTAAAATAAAGTAAAATATCACAGAGAGGATGAAGAGACTTGCCATCATTATTGCTAGAGATATAGGAAATAGAAATGAAGGAGGGGGAGAAGGAAGAGACAAATTAATATGTAAAAGTTCTCAGGGTCTATATTTGGAGATTTTTACATAACTTGGAACTGTAGGCAACTTTTCATTCTTTTTTCTACTTTTCTCTTTTCCAATGCTTTAAATCAATGGGTAAAGACGGATGTGTTTGTTCTGTGGCAAAGGGGACTTCAGACTGCAGATGGAATTAGAGCTGCTAATCAAATGCCTTAAAATAGGGCGATGATCATGGCCATCTGGTGGCCTGAGTAGTCACGAGCAGGGGGAGGGGTGCCAGCAGTGGAGGCCCAAATGACGTCATGTGAGAGCCAATCAGCTGTGGTTGTCTTGAAGATGGAGGAAAGTGCATGAGTCACAGACTTGGTGACCTCTAGAATCTGGAGAAGGCAAAGAGAAAGACTTTCCCTGCAGGATCCAAGAAGAACTCAGCCTTGCCAACACCTTTTTAGCAAAGCCAGGCCATGCCAGACATCTCACTTAGAGGTGTCAGGGTAGCAAACTGTTGTTCCAAGCCATCAAGCTCGTATGAATCATGACAGCAACAACAATAAAATTTATGTGGAGCATAGGGAGTTACAGAAAGACCTAAGAGCAGATAATAGGCTGGCTTACTTTCCACTAATTTCTAAGGAAGTAGTTAACGGATCAGTGGCTCAGAATGGATGCATCACCAGACTGAAGGTCTGAGGAAGAAGATAACATCTCCTGCTTTGGATGTTTTACAGTAGCAGGAAGGTAGGAAAACAACAAGAGAAAACAAAAAACAGCTAGCACATCGCCCTATCTAGTAACTCTGTGTGGTAGCTCTGTTGTCATGGAAGTGTTTTTGGCTGTCACCACTGGGAGGGGACTGCTATTGGCTGGGGCTAGGCAGAGGCCAGGGGTGCTGCTAAATATGCACAGGGCATCTCCCCAACACTAATCCACTCCCCGCAGCCCATGATGCTGCAGTTACGAAGCCCTGGCCTAAGGGAAGGCAAGTGCAGCTGGATCCCTGCTTAATAAGAGAGAAATATTTCTTCCATTCTGAAACACGTAACAAGGAGGCAGCTATCTGGACCACAAAGGAAGAGCATTTTGGTAAGGAGGTCGTTTATAATGTCTACCACACTGGTCAAGAGCAGGATCCACCATTGCTAATGGGTTTCCTTGCAAGGTTACTGGAAAAAAAAATGAGATATTCACAGGTGGGGTTGGACTGAGGCCCCATCTTTAGCTAAATTGTATGATTCTTTTCGAAAGCATCAGCAAAGACACAAGGACCCAAGTTCAGTCCCCAGTACTAAAAAAAGAGCAAGCATCAGCAAAGAATTTCCTACTCAACACTTGCTACTATTGAAGCCACGAAAGAAAAGGTAATACCGTAGCAGCATTGTTTTTGTTTGTACTATGTTAGCTGATGGCATCAAGAACTTAGCATACCATCAACTCAGATGTATAAGACTCAAATGACTTCTGCAGAAGTGTCTCATCAGCCTCCCGTTTGGGGCTCAGTGGACCCAGCCCTCGTGTAATCATTGTACAGCCTTAGAGAAGAGGTAGGGTAGAAAAAGCAAAACAACAAGCAAGCACCCTACTGCATGAAAGTACCTTAATAACATGGCCACTTTTATGTAAGTGTTTTAAAACTGCAAGTAAAATAAAAATTAACCAATTCTACCCACATTTTGAAAAAGGAACTTACCTGAATCCCACGTGCACATGTCCCGATCTTTGTGCCCTCCCAGCTAAAGGCCGTGAAGGACACACACCATCTAAGATCAGGGCAGTGTCTGTCACCTTGGAGGTTGCTGAGCTCTTGCTCCATTCCACCCTTCAGCCTGTCCGGACTGCCCACGCCTTGTGGCACATACGCTAGGGGGTTTTCTACAGACGTCCTGTGAAGAATCATTTTCCAAAGAATGATTGTAGCTTCTCCTTAAAGGACCAGGGATTCCTGCATTATGAAAAACTAAAGCCACAGCCAACCCCTAACCTTGAACAAATATATGAGTCAAAGAAGAGGCACAAGAAACACACACACACTCACACACACACACACACATATATGCACGCACATGCACACACACACCATATGGGCACCTTTATGAGTGTGACAGTCACAATGCTTTTAGAGTTGTCTGCATGTATAGCTACACGGTAGATTTTTCTCCTTGAGGACACATTCTGTGGCAGAAGAAGGAACAGGCTTAGAAACGTGGCTGCTGTCTCCAGCTGCCAATGTTTAATTCTTGGATCTGCTACTTACTGGTTTGATGCCCCACTCTTGCTTTTCTCTCTCTATCGGTCAAAGGTGATCCTCAGTCGTGGGCTTGTTTGAGAGATTAAGCCTTTGGAGGAATGTTGTTATCAGTCCTCAAAGTCTACTGGCATCCCAGTCCTGCAGAATGTCACATAGACACAAGCCTAGGGACAGGATATGGAGAGTCTGGGGTTGGGGTGGGGGTCACAGGGGAAACTGGGAATAATAAAGGAGTTTTTTTCCATTAGAGAAATTCAGTGTCTGCATCTTCCCCTGTGGCTGTGGAATTATGCCTAGCTGATGTTCCAGAAAAAATACTGATTAAATCTGAAAACACACTCACACACACACACACATATATGCACGCACATGCACACACACACCATATGGGCACCTTTATGAGTGTGACAGTCACAATGCTTTTAGAGTTGTCTGCATGTATAGCTACACGGTAGATTTTTCTCCTTGAGGACACATTCTGTGGCAGAAGAAGGAACAGGCTTAGAAACGTGGCTGCTGTCTCCAGCTGCCAATGTTTAATTCTTGGATCTGCTACTTACTGGTTTGATGCCCCACTCTTGCTTTTCTCTCTCTATCGGTCAAAGGTGATCCTCAGTCGTGGGCTTGTTTGAGAGATTAAGCCTTTGGAGGAATGTTGTTATCAGTCCTCAAAGTCTACTGGCATCCCAGTCCTGCAGAATGTCACATAGACACAAGCCTAGGGACAGGATATGGAGAGTCTGGGGTTGGGGTGGGGGTCACAGGGGAAACTGGGAATAATAAAGGAGTTTTTTTCCATTAGAGAAATTCAGTGTCTGCATCTTCCCCTGTGGCTGTGGAATTATGCCTAGCTGATGTTCCAGAAAAAATACTGATTAAATCTGAAAAGTGATGTGTAATCCCTGTCCATCCCCAAGAGATACTTTCTAAAGCTCCAGTGGAAACTGAGCCCACAGACAGCACTGGCCCCTTTTCTCTCTGTCCTGTGGCTTCCTATGCGGTGCCAGGTCCACCTGCCCTCCGTGGTTTACGCTCCAGTTCTTGGGGCCATCATTAAGTAAAATAAGGGTCACCTGAACACAAGCGCCAAAATGACCACTGATCTGATCACCAAGGCAGCTGTAGAATGACGAATGGGTGAGTAGCATGTACAGCGTGGCTATGCTGGACAAAGGCAGGATGGAGCCTGACGACTTGAGAGTCCACTATGCTACTTGGAATGAGGTGCGATTTAAAATACACGAGTTATTTATTTTTTGAATTTTCATTTAATATTTCCTGACTACTGTTGGACCGTGGGTAATGTAAAATCATAGGAGGAGCTACTATAACAGGGGCTGCAGAGGTAAAGCAGCCCTGGGGCCATCTGCAAACAGCCCTCCAACACCTCCAGGTGTACCTGTGAGCATCACACAAGAGAAGCTGGACATAATGCCCTCCCCTGATGCAGGAGACCAGCTTGAAACTGCACTGAGCGGGCTTTAGCTATTATTGACTGGGCTTATGAACTCCGCTATTGACTAAAAATGTGAGTCACTCCAAGGCCTAAACGTGATTTGCTAATTGACCTCTGGCTGGCGTCTGGTGACAGACTTCCCTATGCCAAGGGTCACAACTGAGTGAGGTCTCAATGATCGATGAGGTTGTGACGTCTCCAATAGCAAGGAAATACTGCAGCTGAGGAATTATGACTCCGTGATGCTACTCTCCAAGATCAAACGTTAGCTAGGGTAACGCAGGCGGCTTATTAGCTATGACCTGAAAGATAGCACAGGCGCCTTGTGTGACCTGTCCTTCACTAGAATACATAATTATTCCCCGTTTACAGCGTGGCTTATTAGTGCATTAGTTTTGCTATTCCCTACATCTGCCTTTACCCCTTCCTTGGTACGATGTATAATCATAAATACTGACTAAGCCAGAGCTCTTGGTCTTAGCCAAGAGGACTAAGACTGGGTGGTCTTTAGCCAGGAAAGAGCTAAAGATCAGTTCCTGACCCCCCAGGTAATAAACTTTCATTCATTTTTTGTTCTATTCCTTGTTCTTTGTATATTATTCTTTCATCTCCTGCTCTACCCTCATCAGGCGACCAGGCATCCCCTGGTCGCTATCAACCCAAACACCCTCAGACCCCCAAATGTGTACACCCCACGTGAATGAGACAAGGAAGAAGAGGAAGCCGGTGTGTACACAGCAATCTGCAATAATACCATCTTATCCTGTGCCAGGACCACGGGCAGCATCTTATACGAATGAATGCATTTCATCCCCACGGCTCAGAATTCAGCTGAGAAAGCAGCGACAGGTTAAATATCATGCCCACAGCCACAGAGACAGGAAGTAGCCAGGCCAGGATCTGTACATAAATTCTGACTCTAAAGTAAGGACCCTGAACTCAATGCTACAGATGTTCATGGCTGAGGGTTCGTGGTATGTGGCTCCCTGGGCCTTGAGAGGTGACCAGTGGCATCCCTGGCTCTACCCACTGGGGGTCAGTGGCACACTCCAGGGTGGCAATCAAATACAACTCCAGACATTGCTCTTTGTCCCAGAGGAGAAAAGTCACCTTCAGTTGAAAGCCACTAGTTCTGCTGCAAATTCTTAGAACTACCTAACTGAAAGTACATCAAAATCAGGATGAATTGGCCAAATAAACAAGCTAAAATAATAATATGGAGCCACTCACTGTAGGGTACACAGGAGAGCGTGACATTTTAGATAGGGCTGGGCCTCCCTTCTGCTGCATTCTTTAATAGGCAGAGCACATCCTGTTGAGCCTGTGGGGCTTCCAGGATTTCAACAGGTGAAGGCTCCCACACAAGGACATTTGCCTGACAACAGCCAGGATGTCAGGTCACAGGAGAGGCTGTTGGAGGAAAAGGGAGACCAGGCCAGCACCTGACAGATAATGTTCTGAACAGAAGGTCTTGGATGTGTCCTGTGTGGACCCAGATTATAAAACCCTGCTGGTGGGAGCTTCTCTACCATTGGCTTGGTTCAGAGGATCAAAGCATAGGTCTGAGGCTGACCAGCAGGACCCTGGGACAGTCAGGGATTCCTGCATTGCAGCCAGGACATGGAAAGGGCAGCCCAGGATGGACAACCCTGACCTGAGGTTCTAAAGCCAAGGCTAGAAGGGCTGGCCATGTACCTCAAGAGAGTCCCATGTGAGGATCTGTGGGGACTGTGGTGCAGCAGCCACCTAGGAAGATCCAGGAGGGGCCCCTCCAATAACCATTCCGTGCAGGAATGGGGGCTCCAAGCTACTAGATCATCTGAGAGTTTTCAAAGGCTGGAAGACTACATTTGTTTGTGATACTCACTGATCTTTAGGGATAGCGGCTAAGTCAACATTGTGAAGACGTTATATGAGTCAAACAAAATAGATGCAGAGACCCCAAGAGAAAGTAATCTCTCTTTTTGAAGATGTCCCAGCCAGCACCAAGCCTAAGGAACTACAGTGGTACAGAGAGTTAAAGAAAAGAAGGTCAGAATCTCTGTTGCTTTGGCAGCAATGATCCCTCAAACTTCTCACCTGAAGCTAAAATTCAGACACAGCAATCCCATAAAAGACTAAGGAATCTGGCTCAGGAGCGTAACCAGTCTGTTCAGTCATGAGGAGCTGAGATTTCCACCACACACAATGGATGAGGAAGGGCTCATTGCTTCCACGCAGAGGCAGCCAGCTCTTGTGAGTTGCAAGTGCAAGAGCATCAGGAAAGGGAACCAAGATTGCTTCATGTGGCAGTGAGCTGCCCTGTCATGAGAACGTCACCCCTGTCCTAGCTGGTAAACAACCTCACTGCTCTCCCCTGACTTCTAAACTTAGCCAGGGACCAATGGGAGAAGGACCAAGAGCTTTGCAGGGAGAAAATGCTTTCCTAAGGTAAATAGTCCTGTTCAACTCGGGGCCATAGCCTGTTCTGGAAATCTCCATATCTACACATCTCTGCACACAGGATGCCTGCAGACCTGTATCTAGGACAAAGTCAAATCTGCCCCAAGAATAAAAAGGTTTTGACTTTTTCCCCTTACTTCAAATATTCTACTTTTACCTGAGCACATTCCTTCCCCTCTCTAAATTAAGACAGATCATTGTAGCGTGCATGTCACAGCATTCTCGGATAGGTTCACAGGCAACTTTCAGGTAACCGTTTCCAATGCACTGAACAGGGCAGAATTTTTATATAAAATGAAATTAGATTTATTTAATAGAATAAAGCATAAAAATTGATGTTTATTAGAATGAACTGAAAATGAAGCCCAAGGAATTCAAAGAATCAGGGTATTAGCAACTGATATTAGTAATAAAGCCTTATATTACATTTAGAGCATATTCATTAGCTCATTTGCCTTTATAGACTGAGTGGGCCGGAAGTAGCAATGTCAGACCCCGCTTGTAGCTGGGAAATCTGAGCCAGGGAAACATTAGGTCGTGTCTCACTCTCCTCCCCAGATATCTCCATCTCCTGCATCCACCCTCAATGCACTCCAAACTGGTCTGCTCCCTCTCCCCCTTTAAAATCTGTTCTCCACACTGCACCCAGGGTAATATTTAAACAAAACCTGAATACGAGATGCCATGCCTCTGCAGACTCTCTTGGATTCTCAATGATCGGATCGGGTTTGCAACCCTTCCCCTTGGCCCAGAGACTCTGCGCGCCCCAGCCCAGCCGCTACCTTCACCCACGCTGTGCCTCTTGTACTGCCCTTTCTTGGTGCTACGGGCCGCCTCTCAGAGTGGTCTCTCTTCAAAACTGAATCCCATATGCCGGGTCGCCCCTGCCTGCGCACGCGCGCACACGCACGCACCAACGGCGCTGTGCCTCCGTGCTCAGCTTTTCCTCAAAGCTCTCCTCATGACCTCAGCTTGCCCACCACCTGCTCACCCCTCATTGTTGGAGGGTGGACTTCACCACGGTAGGCAGCGTGTCTGTCTTACAGCTCTGGCCTCGGTGCCTGGCACACAGTAGCTGCTCAGAAAACAGCTTTTGTCACTGAGGAATGAATGCACAAAGTTTCTGGCAGGAAGTGACCAGCCCTACTAATTGAGAGAGCATGCTTATAGTAACTGCTTTACCACTTTCCCCTCCTTCGTGCCTATGTTTTGTTGTTGTTCTTTTGTTTTCCAGTATCAGGAATCAAACTTAGGACCTTGCACTTGCCAGGCAGGCGAGGTGCCACTGAGCTACATTCCCGGTCCTCCTATGTTTATTTTTAAACAATGAAAACCTATATTTATCAGCCCATTTGTCTTCCAGAGCGATGAATCATTCCTAAGACATGGAGCCAGGCACCTGTGATAACACATCAAAGGTGCAGACTTCACAGAGAAAGGAGGGGATCCGCTGTGCGTGACCATGAACCACGTAGCTTCCTGGGACTCTGGAACACTGAGACCTGAGAATGCCCATTCTGGATCAGTGTCTACCCCCTCTATATTGTCCCCTTGCGGCTTTGCTTTTGCGGAAATGTTTCCTGTGGAGTCGGTCAGTCAAGGTCACAATCATGAACCACAAAAACAACCAGGCTTCTGATAAACCAGGCTCCAGATGGTTACTTTCCTTCCTGGGAAATACCTCCATCTGGGGTGTTGGTGAGGAACCAGGATTCTCAGAGGGGGTTCCTAAACTCTCCTGGCCTTCCCAGGACTCGGAAACCTAGATGGCCTTTCTGCTCTATGCTGAGGGATTCCGTAAGGGTCAGTAAACCACAATTGTCTGCAAAGGGGACTTTGTTGCTTTGCATGTCCCCACAACAAAGCACAGGGACACAGTCAAGCGGAGAGGAATCACTGAGCCACTGCCAGGCCTGGGTGTCCTTTTGGGAAGTCCTGGCACTCCAGATGCTGCGGCTTCCAGTGCCTTCATCATGTGTACAGGACACAAAAGTGGAGGCAGCCTCTCCACAGGGACACCTCCTGGTGCAGGGGCCAGCAGGCCAGCGCTGACTGCTGAGATCCGGATGAGCCCAGTCTCTGGGACTGCAGATCCCTCGGGGGTGCCAGTCCTAGCTGCGGCTCCGGACAGTCTCTCCCCTCCCCCACTTCGTAGTACCATTTGGGTCAAAGGGAACCCATGCCTCCCTGGTTTGGCTGCAGGACCCTCCCAGAGTTCTGTGTACTGGCCGGTGGGCTCTCCCACTTACAGGCAAACACGACCTCTTCCTTCCTGGCACCTCTGTGGCCCCCCAAATCCCCAGTCAGGAAAAGGAGATGGATACTTGCAGGAGAACCTCCAAGAGACCACGAGGGGGCCAACTCTTCTGCTTCCTGTTCTGCTGGGTGTTTGAAAACAGAAACCCCCTGGAGTCTGGGCAGAGAAACCCTAATGTGCTCTTATCTCCCTGGGGAGAAGGGAGGCTTTGGTTTTGTAATTCTGTTTCTACTGCTGCTTGTGAGAAGTGGATTCCAGAAGAAGCAACCTTTCGCAACGGTGTGGGCACGTGGGTGTGTGTGTGCAGGTGTGTGCATGTGCAAAACAGATGTGTAGATAAGGAAATCCCCGTGTCCCAGATCACCTGCCTGACTCAGCCCCTTAGCGTTGAGCTCTTGGGGTCCCTCCTTGGCGAAAGGTGCAGGATCCAGAGCCCTTCCCAGTGCTAGCACAGCTTCCCAGGGTGCCAGGGGCAGCTCAGCAGCGCCCACTGCTCAGCTGTCACGCCTCCCCTATTCTGGACAGCGCCACCGTGCGGCTCTCCATAGTCACAGGGCCCCCTCCTCACCTGGGCGCGCGCCTAGCTCCTCCAGAGAGGTCCCCAGGGTCCCCAGCGCAGCGGCGGCGAGGCAAGCAGTGTCCCCGGAGCTTATCTTCCCTGTTCAGAGTAGGAAGAAGTGGGAGGAGCCAGCAGTGCGCCGTCCTCTCTGCTTGTCCCGGTGCCATCCCCAGCGCCCGTCCTCTCTCGGGGGACATCCTGCGCTCTGCTCTCACCAGGCCCCGCGTCCCCTGGGGCTCCCCGCGGTCCTCACCGTGGAGGCCCACCTCGGTTTTTTAGATGGTGAAGTTCCAGCAGTGACCCAGCAGTGTCTGCACTGTGCGTCCCTCTGCGAGCCGGGTCCCCCATGCTGAGTCTGCGGCCACTGGACTCTGGATTGGAGACCCGGCCAGGACGCAGCTAGGACCACCACAGGGAGGGGTGGACACGCAAGACCTGAGCTGGTTGAGCCTTAAAACCAAGACTGTTGATCCCCTTCCCATTTAAGAAAGATCTGTCTCCCTACTTCCTCTTAGCTATTTCTTTGCTCTTTATTTCTACTTTGGGTTTCTCCTATAAGAGAAACCAGGTGATATTTAAACTTGTATGTCCGATTTATTTCACTTCACATTATGGTCTCAAGGTGCATCCATTTTTCTACAAATGACTCAACTTTATTTTTCTTTATGTCAGAGTAGTACTCCATTGTATGTAAATACCTCCTTTTCTTTATCCGTTCATCTGTTGATAGGCATATGGGGCATTTCCAAGATTTGATCATTGTGAATCACACTGCTGTGAACATGAGCATTCATGAACCACTGTAATACGATGACTTTAAATCCTTCAGGAAGATGCCTAGAAGGGCAATAGCTGGGTGGATGGAATTTCTAGTGTCCGTTCCTTGAGGATGCTCCATTCTGGTTTCCATAGTGATTGTACTAGTTTACACTCCCACCAATAGTGTAGAAGTTCCTTTCTCCCTGCAGCCTCCCAGCATTTGTTATTATCTGATTTCTTGATGACAGCCATTCTGTCTGGGCTAAGAAGGAATCTCAGGACTGTTTTAATTAGCATTTCTCTAATAGCTAGCTGTGAATTAGACAGAATGAGACAATTACAAAGAAATGAAAACTATCTGAAAATAAGGTGCCAGGTCGAAGCCAGAGAGTTCAGCGGTTGGCAAGTTGCCTGTGCACTTCTCAGAGAAACAAGGAAGGGTAAATTTCTCATGAGTCTGGTGCATGGTGCAGATTTCAACTATTTTTTAAACAACAACAACAATCATAAAAAGTGCACAGGAAAGTAGCCTGTGAGGTCCACTGGTGCTTCTTCATAAGTGGAAGATATCGGTTGAAGGGCAAAATAAAAGATCATAGGAAACAGGGAGATCTTTTGCAAAAGGGAATGAGATCAAAAGATGGAGGAAGTAGGGAAGGAAAGAAGGGGGAGAAGGTGAAAGAAGAATGAAGATGTGTTATGTAATCATTAGGTACTGAAAACGTGGACTGATAAAAATTTTAAAAAACAAAAACAAGATGTGTTTGTACTCTTCTGAGGCACACAGGGAGCCTTCCTTTGGGTCCAGGCTGCCCTGCAGGGAACTCGAAGCCCTGTGAAGCATGACTTTCATGTTGTAAAGCTCAGGGTCAAAGCCTTTGCATGGTGGCAGATCAGCCATTTAGGGAGGGTCTAGCTAAAAGTTGGCAAAACAAGGTTTATTCACCCCAAATCTCTCCAGAAATCTCAGCCCCCTGCAAGGTTGAGGACGCTGGGAGAGCAGACTTACAGGGACCTTCAGCTGTACCCAAACTTCCCATTCCCTAAATTCAAGGTCACCTGGATTCTAGCAGAGCCTCAGAAGACTGTCATCTCGGGGACCAAATTCCACTTGAGCCATTAGGGTCTTTTCAGAGCTATGAAACCAGGACTGAGACATGATCTGCCAGACCCAGCAGCCACAGCACCCCATAAAACTGGTCTCCTCCTCCAGTCTGCCCCTCTGTTGTTCAGACTGAAGTGTTTCCTGTTTCTCCCACTTTCCTTTATGAGGGGACAACTTGGCTTTTCTTTCCAGGTGAAGCTGCTTCCTGGAAATTCTTGATGATGGCCTCCAATTTAATTTCCATCGTCACTGAAGCCAGGGGCCGGTGCTAACCATTGGCACTTCTGTGCTCGTCTCAATCCTTTGCAGAGGGAAGAGCATTTATGAGTTAGGGAAGATAGCATTGGAGGGGAAATCTTAGCTCAGTTGAACCCAGCGTTACTTGAGGGTTAACTAAAACCCCTTCATTTTCCAATATTTTCTCCTCAATTGAATTCCTAGTAACTTTTAAACATACTCATTTAAAGCTTTACTGAGAAACTCAGGGAAAATATTTTATATATGGTGTTATTAAAATTCCGTATTTTTTAAGGAACGGGTTATTTTCTGGAGAGGCACCAGAACTAGAAATGAAATTTTTTTTATTTTTCTTTTTACTCTGGCATAAGAAGGCATGGCTTGTAGCTCATTTCTTTCTCTAATTAGTGGTGTCACCCCTGGCAGGTTCATTAACATCTCTGCTTCTTGACTTCCTCACCCAAAAACTAGAGATAATTAAAACAATCCAGAGGCGCCCCTGCATCACAAACGTGAGTACCCTAGGTCTTATCAAAGAGAAAGTGAATCCCTACCACTCTGGATGACCTTGAGTCCAGATGAAAAATTGGAGATTTTGCAGGCTTTGAGAGAAGTCTTGAAAACAAGTGTGAACTATTATATTCACTGCCAGCCATGTACCATCTCCTGTTGTCCTCAGATCCTTTCCTCTGGGGATCTCAGAGGGATGGGCATTTGTTAGGCTGGTACCGTAGGATGACGCCTAGTGTAGGGTGTCCAGGTTTAGCAACTAAAAATGCAGGACATTCAGTTAATTTTGAATTTTTCATCAGCAAAAACCAAGTTCTTCGCATGTTTCACATAAAATTTGGGACATGCATCTCAAATTTGTTTGTTGTGTATCAGAAATCTAGATTTAACTGGTCATTGTGTTTTTGTTCTTTTTTTAAACTGACAACTCTGCTAAGTAGGCTTAATGAAGAATATTCTTCCCACCGGAAAGGAGCAGTCATCATAGAGAGAGAGAAGGTGAGTCCGTTGGGGGTTGTGTCCCGGTTTTTTGTAGTAAAGGAAAAGAAAGAAATGGATTTGTGTTCATAAGTTGATTCTTTGCTGAGCTATTTCTTCCCTCTTCCTTCCTCCCCCTTTTGCATCAGCATATCAGTGTTTCTTTACTCTTCCATGGAACTGAAAATGGCTTTTTAGCTGCAATCAATATCTTGGACGTAGTTACAATAGTGTGTTTGGTGAGTTTTAAATCAGCAAGTGTTGCCTGGGGGCCAGCTGCATGTCTGGTACCATTTCACAGAGTTGGGTTGTGGGGCTCTTGTTGGTGGGCTTTCAGCACCCGGCTCTGAGCCCTGCTTTGCCAAATGTGTCATTTGTCAAGCAGGGATGTTTTTCCTTATCCACATGTAGGGGATTAGCTAATGATCAACTTGCAACACTGATCTGAATCAGTGTGGTTTGGCTGTGAAAGACCCACCTGAGGATTGTTGCCAATAGCCGTAAAAACAGAATTGGAGGGGAAGATCATGGGCTGTTTATTTTCTTCAGAGAAAATAAACTCTGTGGTTGGTTTTGCGGATGCAAACTCAGCTGTTCTCATAGGAGGAGGAGCTTGGGGCCTCACTGTTGCTGGGAATGGCTGCTCTTCTCATCAGGAGAGCTCTGATCTTCACTGTGAGTCTTACTTCCTGGCTCCAGTGTGGATCCCTCAGCCTGGTGGCACAAATCCTTTACCCCACTGGCGCGGGTTTTCTGGCTTCCACCACTTGCCTTTGGGCCTTCCAGGTGCAGATCCTCAATACAGACAAGGATGAGATATTGCTGTGGCTCTAGGCCTTCAGCTGGATTCATGGAGGACATTTCCTTGGGCTCTCGGCCTTCAGCTGGACTTATTCGGGACACTGCTATGGGATCCAGGCCCTTGGCTGGATCTTTGGGTCTCTAGTATTTGGCCAATCTCTTGCACTCCTCTGTGTTTGACTTTTTGGGCGACTGTTATAAAATAGTCCTATAAATTATGTGTCCTGTATTAAGTCTCTCTCCTTGCAAACCATGACGACAACACCATGCCATTGGTAACATCGTCATTGACTTCATTTCAGGGGTAGAAGGCCTTGTGCTAGGTCCAAGGCATCCAGGTTTCCCTCAGTGCACTGAGTCAGCCCCCCAGCTCTTTTCCCTGTTGAGTTGTTCATTTCTATGCCCACAATTAAGGCCCTCAAAACCTATATCCCTGGTAGTCACAAAATGTGTTTACACAATCATTTATTCTCATGATAGGAAAAAAATTGTGCTGATTGCTAAATCCATGCACATTCTTTTAAGTTTTTCTCCATATAAAAGTTCTATTTTCATTTAGCAATATAATATAATATTTTGCCCCACCAGCATATTCACATTATGAGCTCAGTTCAAAAGCCTATATACAAATTGTCCCTTGCAAACAGTGGAAATTTGGATTGTTTACGATTTATAGTTTTTGAGATGTCATGTCAGTGAATATCCTGACAATTTAATCTTCATGCATGCTTAAATTATTTCTTTGTTATACAAACCTAGAAATGGATTTCCTGGATCAGCGCATATGCATTTTCTTTGGCGTCTAACTATTCCTCATGCATGGTGTTCTCCTCAGAATACATCCTGTGTTCTTGTGGCAAAATTACTTCTCCAAAAGCAGTGAATTGTCATCATTTTACTTCCTCTTCGGAAACTCTCAAACCCCCATTTCACACGGGCAGGAGTAAAGCCCTGCTGCTCTGATGGGGCACTAGTGTGCCTGTGGCCTCAGCTGCCTTTTCCTTTAGGTCTCCACATTCTACTCTGTTTCCCTTTGCATGCAGGATGCTTACTTGTTTGGGTCCAGATTCTGGCAGGAAGCCTGCAGCATGCTCAGACTGGATTGTTGGATGATTGTCTAATAAAGTTACTGTAAGCAACGGTGAGAGCAGAAGTTAGGGTGAGTATGATGACTCTGGGAGAATGGTCATGAGAGCCGTGAGCACCCAGGACTTGCAGAGGCGACGCAAAAAGCCACACCCAGGACCTCCAGCAGTCCACAGCAGCCAAACAGGAAGGAAGCCGTGGAATATTCCAATCCCATTTTTCATCCATCCACAAGCTCCTGCTGGAACCTGCCTTGGCCCAACCGGGAGGCAGGGGCCAACGAGCCCATGGGTGCTGTCCCCTCAGGTCAGCCTCGGCTGAGAATGATGCAACCTGGATCTGGTGAGTGAATGAACAGGTCTGTGCCCGACTTCCTCCTGTGTGTGAGGTCTGAAGTGGCGTTAATGGCAATCAGGGCATTTAACAGCCTCAGGTTTTATTTATTCACTATCCCATCTCCTCAAACAGATTAATACCAGAAAGACAGCTGTTGTCTTTTTTTGCTTGTGTGAGCGGATGTGCAGGCAGTGGAGCCAGAACATCCCCTGGTCCACAGAGGCTGGAAAGGATGAACGCCTGGACATAGGAGGCACAGGGGTCACGGAATACTAAGAGGGTAACACAGACCCCTTCTTCAAGACCCCCAGGAGGCAAGTACGAGAGCTCCCGAGACTCACAAAGAGAAGAAAGCCCCAGGGCTCTGCACCCTCTGCCCACCTCTCTCTGTGGCCTCTTTTGTAGGCATTCGAGTTGCTCGACGGCATCCAGGCACAGTGCCTTAACTTCACTCACTTTTGCTGAAACTCTGCTTGGCCCTCAGGAGACAGCAGGGCACAGCAGACAGGAACAGGAGCAGCTGTCCTGGAGCAAATGACCTGCTTACCCTGCACCTCAGCTTCCTGATCTGAGCAGTAGGAGAAGTAACCGCACCTCCCCAATCAGACTTGCCGCATGTGCCCGAGTGCTTAGAACAAAGCCTCTGTGGGTTTGCTACTCTTACACTTTCTTGAGAATCAGAGAAAGAATAGAATAAAATCGCCATGTCCCAAGCCCAAGTCAACGGCAACCTGTGAGTACAAGAGGGAATGGCCAAGCGACCAGGTACACCTATCCTGTCCCCAGGCCTGAGGTTCCTGGGCATCCATCAGGACCCAATGTTGAATTAACACGATTCAGATCAAAGATTGGGCTCGGACACAGCCCCCAGTAGCCCCTGTGTCCTGTCACGGGACAGGCAAGAGACTGTCATCTAGCCAGTCACAAGGTCATCCTCCATCCCACAATTGCTTGTCCTGTTGGGAGACCCTGGCAGCCTCAGTGAGTAAAGCAATAGCATTTTTATAAGATTAGGATTATTTTGGCCTTGTTTGTATGTGGCTTTGTGTATTATTGATGTCAAAACAATTTTTTTAAACTGGGGAATCAAACTGCGGTGGCACCACTGAGCTAAATCCCTGGCCCCAAAATTTTCATTTTTTACCATTCAGAATATACTACAATATTTTGACCATACGGAGGGGTTAGTGTTTTGTTTTGTTTTGTTTGTTTTTCTTTTCAAACAGCGGAGGCAGCTCACTCTAGGCTTATAGGAGATCCTGGGGACCCCTCTGCCCGGCCAGTTCTGGAATTGGGGAGAAGTGAGTCGGTAGAGACCTTTTTGTAAGAGGAAGGAGCCATGGAGGTGGGCGTCAAAAGGGATGGAACCCCTGATGCATGTGGCTTTCTGATGACAATAGTGCAGCCTCTTGCCGGCTGCCCCTCACGATAGGCTCTTCTGTTCCCTCTCCCAGGCACCTCTGTCCTCACTCCTCAGTGCCAGTTACTCAGCAAATACGTATGCAGGGAAAACAAGCTGAACTGCACCTGCTCTGGACCTTGCAAAGTGAGGACACAGCTCCCGGGGGCTTCCTGGTGCATCCTGTGGCTCATACCAGACACAAACTTCTTTCTGGCTTACTGACCGTGGTTTCTCTGACCACCTGTCTTCCTGGGCCTCCCACCCTGCCCCTGGCAGTAATCTCCTTTGCCAGCTCTTCCTGCGCTGCCAGACCTTAGAGGAGGGGGCTGGGGGCTCTCCTGGAGCCTGCTGTCCTCTGGTTATCTTGCACATTCTTACAGCCTTAAATATCACCTGTGCGAGGTGATTTCTGAAGCTCCGCTTTCAACTCCAGAGTCGCAGAGCTCCGGACTCTTGCTTGATATTTGGGTGTCTCCCATGTATCTCAGTGCTTTCACTCCCTGCCCACCCCCATCATCCTCTCAACCCCTGACCTTAGCATCTAGGCTCATCCAGGTCTGCTTTCTTTCCCTCACTGCTTGCATCTAACCTACTCCTGCCAGTCAATTCCCACTGAGTAACTCAGATCCCCCTCACTTCTCTCCGCCCCGCAGGCCACCCAGTCACCATCCTCAGCTGTCTGGACTTCTGCAATAGCCCCTCAGGAGGGTGTTCTTCTGCTTCCATTTCCATTTCCCTCCCACCCTCTCTCCAAACAGCAGCAGTCGAAGGAACTTTTGAAGAAAAATTAAGTTGCACTATCTTATTCCTCATTTGAAGCTTTCAGGGATGCTCTCTGTATGTGGTGTAAAATCCAGCTCCTCTCCCCATGCAAGCCCTGCATGCTGGAGCCCTCACCTGCCCCGACTCTTCTCTCCAACGTGCCCCACCCTCGTGAATCATCTGCATTCCCTGGACCCCTCCCCAGCTGCTCAGACTCCTGGATTCTTCTCCTGTGCCCAGGTCTCAGCTTAAACGTCACCTCCTTGTTTGCATTGTCCAGGACCAGCACCAGCCGGGGAGATACACGGAGGCGCTCGATAGACTTGCTCACCTGTTAGAGGCTGCACAGTCCCACACGGGTGTCTGCAGGCTGGGAGACTGGGAGATCAGTTAGCTGCTCTGTCCAGGAAGCTGAAGCCGCAGAACTCAGGGGCAGGGATGCAGCCCTCTAGAGGCTGAGACCTAAGAGGCCCTGGTGGATGCTGGTGTGAGTCGGGGTTCAAAGGATGAGGCATCTGGAGCTTTCTGTCCAATAGTGAAAGCAGCAGGGACAACTGTGTCAGCTCTAGAAGGGTCTGGTTGGTGTGAGCAGGCACGAGCTGCCCTCCCTTCCACTGTTCTACCCTATCAGGGGCCCCGGCCTGGTAGACGGTTCTGCCCACATTCGGGGCGGGTCTCCCACTCAGTGTACTGAGCCACTTGCAGGCATCTCCAGGAGCAGCCTCATGGGCACACCCAGGAATGCTCTCAATCCGGCAAGGTGACAGCCAGGATTGGCGGCTCCCCGGGCTGTCCTAAACCTCCCCATTGTTCCCGATGCCACACAGTGCTTGTGGCACTTGCAGAGATCATAAGTCGATATGCTTACCTTCATTGGTTTTCTTGAGTATTATCTATTGTGTTCTCTGGACTCTAAGCTCAAAAAGACAGGAATAATGAGTGTCTTGGTTCCTACAGGGCCTCTTCCAGCATCAGGCATGTCTGAGGGCATCTTATCAATACATCTGGGGAGAAAGATGGGGAAGGGAGGAGGAGAGGGGAGCATGGGGAAGGAGGGAGGGAAGTGTTTTAGAGCTCAGGAGGGAAGTGGAGGCAACAAGAAGCACTTAAACATATTGTGGTTCTTCTGTTGTTTAAGTATCTACCTTGTGGCCGGTGCTTTGTGAATTATTTCAGCTGTTTTAATAACCCTTAGCACAACTGTTAAAATTTCCTTGTATTTGTAAGAAAAAAGTAGCTCTGCAGACTTAAGGAGCTTGCCCCAAATCTCACACTGGTTCTGCATGTGAGGGGCCCAGGCTGTCCCCTCCACTTCCTAAGGCCAGTCTCCAGGGTCTAAGTAGCCAATGAGCTGCCTCCCAGGCCTTGTGGCTCACAACCGCTGGCTACTTTCAATTTTAATTTTTGTCGGTTGCTCTTTGGAGGAACTTATTAAGAAGCTCCACATTTGGGCTAAAGTAGAAGATAGAATTGCTGCAGTGGTTCCCCGTGAAGCAGACGGATGACCTTGTCCCACCGGACTCCGGGAGAAGCTGACACTGATTGGCGAGTTCTCCTGAGGAAGGCGGGGCCAGTTTCCATGGTGTCAGCACAACAACACTCCAAACTAAGGCTGCCTCAGGTGCAGAGCTCTTGGATTTCACACACACAGTAAGTGCTTTTCTATCACCCCTTCCTTATTACTACAGCATTCACAGAGCACTCATGCTATCACAATCTTTGTCACTCCCTCCTGTGTAAATTAAGGTGCATCTAGCACAAAGATGGGAATGCACGTGTGTGTAACCAAATTTACAAGGATTGATGTAAAGGAATGTGTTTGCTAAATTCTAGTAGTCAATGATAGGCTAGTGAATAGAAATGAAAATGCAAATGACTATGCAGATATATGCAAATAAATACGGAAATAAGTCTTTTAGAGAGCCTCTATTTTTAAAAATGACTTTATTTGTATATATATATAATTCATATGCCATAAAGTCAAATCCACTTAGAGTACACCAGTCAGTGGCTTTAGTATTTTACTGTTGTGAAACTATTACCCACAAAAATTTTAAAATATTTTATCATCCCAAAAGGAAATCCTAGCTGGGCGTGGTGGCACACACCTATAATCCCAGCACTCGGGAGGCCGAGGCAGGAGGATCGCTGTGAGTTTGAGACCAGCCTGGGCTACATAGTGAGCTCCAGGTCAGTCTCAGCTACATAGTGAGACCCTGTCTCAAAAAACAAACAAACCAAAAAGCAATGCTGTACTTACCAGGATTCATTCCCCATGCTAACCCTCAATCCAGCTCTAGACAACTAAAACATCTACATTTTTGTCTCCAAAGATTTGCCTTTTCTGGGCATAAAGGGAAGTAGGGTTCCCTTAGTGTGTTTTAAGATTTACTCATGGAGTATGTACTGGTACTTCATTTATTTCTATCATTGAATAATATTTCATTATACAGATATTCCACATTTTCCTTATCCTTTCATCTACTGGTGGGTATTTGAGATGTTTCTACTTTTTGCCTATAATGAATAATGACTCTATGGACATTCATGCACAGATATTTATGTGGATATGTTTTGGTTCTATTGGACATATACCGCACTGGAAGATTCATACTTTTCAGTTTGATCAAGTAACTAAGATGATACTATTCCTATAGCTCAGCATGGTTGCCCATGCTTGTAATGCCAGCTACTTGGGAAGTAGGAGGCAGGAGGAGTCCAGGTTTGAAATTAGCCTGGGAAACTTAGCAATATTCTGTGTTGAAATAAAATTTAGAAAGGGGTGGGAATATAGCTTGGTGGTCAAGCACACGCCTAGCTTTTGGGAGATCCTGGATTCTCCCTAGTACTCCAAGGAAACAAAAGGATTATGGTAGTACCATCACAAGTACTCATACAGAGAGCAATCTAACAGAATTGAGAGGCTAGGAATGAATCCTTAAATTAATGCTCAGTTGCTTCTGACAAGCGTACCATATATAAAAAGTCAAGTGGGGGGCTGGGAATTTAGCTCAGTGGTGCCACATCTGCCTTGCAGGCACAAGGTCCTGAGTTTGATCCCCCGTACTGCAAAAAAAAAAAAAAAAAAAAAAAAAAAAAAAAAAAGTCAAATGGGACACAGAGCTAAACATAAGACTCAGAACTGTGCCAGAGCACAGTAACCAATCGTCGTGTCTGACTATCTAGCTGTCCCTGTATCATCTGTGAAAGGCTTCTCTTTCCCATGGTAGTGTCCTGTCACGTGGGTTGAAATGGGAAGTAGAGTCCTCCAACTTTGTTCCTTTTCAAGTATGTTTGCCAGGCGCTGTCCTTTAAATTTCCGTATGAGTTTTTAGGATCAGTTTTTCAGTTTCTTGGAAGCACATCTTGCTGCCCAGTGGAAATTTCTGGTTGAGTTGCAACTCATCCATAGGAAATTGAAGAACTTCCTTGGTAAGAATTCAAATGTGGACAAATACACTTGGCTTGAAGCATCAGCCTGCACGCAGTTGGCGTAGGACCCAGGAGGCCACACATACTGATTAGGGCAACACTTTTGTTTCAAGTGGCGCCTGCAGATTAGACACACTGGTATCTTTGTTTACCATTTTATGCTTGATCAAATCCTCTAGGGTAAGGGTTTTTTTTTACTAAAGCAAATACAAAAAATGAAGCATAGTCAGTGCCATTTTATGGTTACTTCATGCCATGTGTGTAATCACCCGTTGAGCTAAGGCTGAGATATCAGGGTTAGGGTTAGGCTTACAGGGAAATAACTTCCAACCAGTTAGATGAGCTGAGTTCCTGTCTCACAAAGAATGGACTCGAGGATAAAGGAGGTGAAAGGAAGGAAAAATTTATTAGGGAATGCTCCGGAGAGGCAGGAGAGGTCCTGAAAGTGGGTTTCCACTGAGGCTGTTTGTCTAGGGGCTTCTTAAGCAGTAAAGTCACATCACGGCTTAGCTTGGGTCAAGCTATAATCAACCTATAGAGTCACAAGAGCAGCCACTTAGCTAATACTGCTCTAATAGAAAAACAAGGTACACAGCAAGGGTGGGTAGCATGGAGATAAACCGAGGCATTTCTGGAAGGAGTAGGAGTGAGGGCCGGAATGTTCTGTTAATATGCCTATGTGCTTTGTTACATTGTTTCTGTGTTTGTCATATTGTTTCTGTATGTTGGTTACATTGTTTCTCCATGTTTGCTACAGCTTATTAGATCACATAGTGTTGGTTACGGGACAGTTTTGAGCTGCTATTTAATCTCTGGCTGGGCTCACAGGTCTGGCCATGGCATTTCCATCCTGGGAAAAGGTTTCTATCAGCTTAGCCCTTGACCTCAGGCTTGGCTTACCTTGTCTCTATTCTGACTCTATGTTGGGCCCAATCCCTTTCTAACTGCCTATCAATCACTGTGTAGCTAGGCTAACTGCCATATTAAGGTTAGGGTTAGGGTTAGGGTTAGAGAGACACTGCTTCCCAAGTATAGAGAAGGGACATTTGTTACACATGCAGGATCTTGGACCCTATCCCAGCCCTACAGAGCCAGTTTTCAGTTACACAGCATCCCCACAGGATCTGGATAGACCAGCAGATGACATCTGTGTCTACAACTGGACCTGGCTCAGCCTCACTTGTAGGCTGGCAGGGCTGGGCCCTGAGACCCCAGGAGTCCCTGGCCCCCAGCCAGTCCAGTGGGAGTAGTCAGCCTCTCTGGGCAACCAGGGCAGAGAATGATGCTGCCTATCCATTGGCCATGCTCTGCCCCAGGCTGGTCCTCTGCACCCCAGAATGTCCCCAGCTGAGCCCAGGGAAGGAAGCACCCAGGCCACCAGGGAAGGCAGGTAGGGCTTCTCCCTCCTTTAGATGTTGTTTTAAGGTTCTGTGTGATAGCTTAGATTTTTGCCTCTTGGCACGAAAGTGTTTGCTCTTTGTCCCTTCACAGAAAAGACTGGATCCTTGGTCTACAAAGGAGACTGCTTACCCTTACCTATGTCTGGGGTCCTCCTGTGTCACACAGCAACATGAATCCTATTCATCCCTCTGGGGCCCAGTTGAGGTCTCTTAATTTCCAGTCTTGATGAATCCTTTCATCCTGTCTTCCTATGGCCCTGTGTCTCAGTCTCTCTGTGTGTCCTTGGAATTCACCAGGGCAAACCCACAGGATGGGTTATGTGAAGAGGATCACTGGCCCCACCCAAGCATCTCAGATTCAGTGAAGGTTGAGCCCCAAAATTTATTCTTCTGAGCTGGGCATGGTGGCGCACACCTCTAATCCCAGCACTACAGAGGCTGAGGCAGGAGGATCCACATGAATTCAAGGCCAGCTTGGGCTACACAGTGAGTCATAGTCCCTGCTAATGTCGCTCTGAGGGCCACACTTTGTCAGGTGGACTCCAGCCCCTTCTTGATCCCTCTGCTTGAGCCTTGTGATCAGAGTCATTCCTAGAGGCCACAGCTCAGGTGGCTTCTGTCCTCAGTCCTATTTTCTTCATTTGTTGCTATTTTCTTCATTTGTTTTTGAGGGGCAGAACTGGAGATGGAAACCAGGGCCTTCACACTGTGCCACAACTCCACTGTTTGGGTTTTTTGTTTGTTTGTTTTTTACTTTTTGTTTTTTTAATTTTTACTTAGAGACAGTATCTAAGTCACTACGTTGAGCTCCAATTTCTAACCTTCCTGCCTCAGCCTCCCGAGTAATTACAGGTATGTAATACCTGGGATTACAGGTATGTGCCACCATGCCCGGCTGATACAGGAATCTGCGGAACCCTGGCAAGGAATCAAAGAGTTGCAATAGAACTTCCTAAGTGTCTCCCCTGCAGTTCGTCATGGCACTGACCAAAATGTCAGACATGACAAGACTCCACCAAGCTGTGGCTGCGGGGGACTACAGCACAGTGAAACGGATTCTGAAGAAAGGCCTCTGTGACCCAAATCACAAGGACGCGGACTGGAACGACCGGACCCCACTTCACTGGGCTGCAATCAGAGGTGGGCGCTGGCACCCAGGGGGCGTCCACTGTCCTCTGGTTCACCATCCACGGGGTGCCCATCCGCAGGCTGTGGGGTGGGAACAGGAAGTGTCCCTGGAGCCGTACAGGGCAGGTCAGCGCTGACATCGCCGTGTGCTAGCACAACACCCTAGGCAGGTTGCTTACCGCTCAGCCCCAGTTTATTCTCCTGTATAACAAAGGAAGTCGCTCTGCTCCTGTGAGGTACATGGGAAGGCTGTGGGCATATGCAGTGTGATATAAAAATATAGTCAATGTTTATATTTTAAAATTTTATCAATGAAAAAGACACATTTCCTTTAATCTCCCTCAGAATCCTCCCCGGCTTGCTTTGAATACACCCGTCCCATTGCTCTTGACACTTTCTACAGGAGCTTTGGAAGTCTTCTTTTGTGACTATGTGGTTGCCTGAATGCCCTGAATCGATTCCAAACATTTCCCTTTCATGGTTATTTTGACTTTGGGGAAGAGCTAGAAGACTAAGGTAGATGAGGACACATGCATGTCTTTTCAAGCCTGCCTTTCCATTGGATGGCACTCCGCAGTAGCATTCACCAAATTATTGATCACAACTTCTGAAGACACTCAGGGAAGAGGGCTTCCAGAACTGCTTAGGAATGTGCAAGAATGTGTAAGTTTGCTCAAAGCAAGGGAGAGAGTTTTGAGGCGGATTCAGGATGATGTGTCTTTTACGGTAATGCATTTTTACATTTTAGCTTAAACATTTGCATTTTTTTATAGCACCACTTATACTGCCTCACATAGTCTGCTCGCAGTCCAAACTGGTTGTTGTTAGATAACAGAGCAGAAAACCAAGACCAGACCAGAGCCATAACAAGCCTTTATCATGCGGAGAATCTGCCCAGCTGTTGGAACAAAGAAAGGAGAGAGAGCAATTTGGCAGCACAGGGAGCTTCTTTTATAGGAGCGGGTGGGGTTAGCCTGGGCCAGGGTGGAGTGGAGTGAGGTAGTATTAAGAGATTGGAGGAGCCTGTGACACCACTGTTAGGAGGTACTGAGTATCGGGTTTCTGTTTTGGCAGGAGAAGAGGCATGATGGGAAGAAGCCTGTCTTTTGTTGGGAGAAGCCATATTTTAACATGGAGGCTGCTATTCTACGTGGCAGCCACCTTAAGGCAAGGGAAATCTAACTGCCTGCTTGTCCCTCTCGGGAGCAGAGCAACATGGGAAAGGGGAGGACTTTTTATCTCATCTCAGCTTCCTCAGGCCTCACACAACCGGTCCCAGGATGGGAGGAGGACAGGGCACAGACTCCGCCTGGACTTGGCAAGGGCTTGGCCCCAGGGCACCACCAAAGAATGCTAAGCAGCAAAGTGCTGCGGCCAGCTTTGCAGTGTAAATATTTGCCCATGACTCTTGTGTGGAGAGTGCATCTCCATAAAGAAAGACTGCTGCTGGAAAGCTTTCTTGGGAAACTTGCAAAATCCAAGGGCAAAGTGGCTTTCCCTGTGTTAGGGAGCAATTGCTCTGTGCTGGGCTCTCCTGGGTGCTTTCTGTCTGTGACTTCACTGGCAAGTCACCCTGCAAGTATTCAATGAACAAGAGGTGGCATCTCCTTCTACAGAGGACACTGAGCCACAGGAGATATTCCTTGCCCGTGGCGACCCTTGCTAGGCAGTGGTACAGTGAGGGTCTGAACTCACAATCATCTGGTGAAATATTTCAGCAAGGCGCACTGCTGAAGGAGCATCTCATTGATGCCACTGTGGGTGCATGTGAGGGGCATCAGATAGGGACGGGGACAGGGACAGGTGAGAGAAGTTAAGGAGGAACTGAGGAACTCAGGTTGGGGGAACAGGGTTCATGAGTGATGGGGCCCCTGCTGGGGACAGTGAGGAGAAGGAACATGGGGACCCCTCAGTGGCTAATGCCCCCTTACGGTGCTGTTGGACTGGCCCTGACCCTGAGCTTTCCTCTACCTCACCTCATCCTGTCCTTCCTGGTTCTCCCAGGGCACATGGAGGTGCTGTATCTCCTGCTGGAGCACGGAGCCCGGCCCTGCCTGGTCACAGATGTGGGCTGGACCCCAGCTCACTTTGCAGCCGAGTCAGGTCACCTGGGCATCCTCAAGGCCCTTCATACCCTGCATGCTGCCATCGATGCCCCTGACTTTTTTGGGGACACACCTAAGAGGATCGCACAGATCTATGGGCAGAGCGCCTGCGTGGCTTTCCTGGAGATGTAAGTCCGTCTCTCCCCAGCTCCATCCTGTGGCCAACATCTTCCCAATCCAGTAGTCTCGGGTCAATGGTAAAATGAGGAAATCCAGCCAACTGACTACTGTTTGTTACTAACTTTTAAATTGAGTTATTTTTATTGGTTTTTCACTGCAGTGACAAGTTTGGGCTGACCTGTTGTTTTAGGTTATACAAAAATTATATCTGATAAGAGATTTGGGACAGGAAGTTTGAAGATGGGTCATGGTCCAGGATTAACAAACTTTTCTTCAAGAGTTCCATCAGTGACCCTGAATTGTATTTGAGCTAGCTACAGGACCTTGTACAAGTGAAGTACTTGTACCACTTTGTGGTATGCAGTTTCCTCATATTTAAAATGAGGCATATCAATTAGACTTCTGTTTCTTTTTTGTTTTTGAGCTTTTATATTTGCATTTATCCTTTGTGTAACTTTTTAAACACTACTATAATTGAATATTGAAACAAAAACAATAGCAAGTAGTGAGCAAATGATTATAGTACTTCATGTGTTCACTACTGCACCCAAAATGTCAGCAGTGAGTATTATTCACTGCCCCCATTGTTCGAGGTCTGACACTGAACACCTGGGATGATGTTCGCCATCCTCGTAGGCTTCTCCGTTATAATGGCGCCTTCTTTCCTGATTTGGATCAAAGTCCACCAGTACTACCTGACCCATTTCATCTGTCTCTTCTTCTTCCTTCCTCTTGGGTAGGAATTTTTCCAGCAAAGAGAGTTTATCCGGAGAAAGAAAGCCATTTTCAGGAAAGTTTAACCTTAAATTCAATAAGTAGACCACCCTTTTCGTATGGTCTATGGTAAATTGGCATGTCTTCGTTTAGTGCTTGATTAGACTTCTATTTCTAAGACCCTTCTAGCTTTTAAAGCTTCTATATTTATCTGTAAATCCCCTACCCACACAGACACCAAGAGAAGAACTTGTCTAGCTGGTATTTGTTACTTTTTACTCAGTCCAGCAATTGAATGCAATGAAGTTGTATTATAGCCAGCTGTCTCATCACTGGGACAAAAATACCTGACATGCAGGACTAAAGAAGGGACTTATATGGTTGACTCACAGTTTCAGAGGGTTCAGTCCATTGTTGACTGGTTTGAAGGCAGAGCCAGCATGGCAGGAGGCCCTGGTAGAGGAAAGCGGCTCAACTCACAGCAGGTAGGAAGCAGGAGAGGCCTAGCCTCCCAAGGCATGTCCCAGTGACCCACCTCTTCTGAACAGGTCCCACCTCCTAACACACATCCAACTATAAAGTCATCACTGGATTCATCCGCTGATGAGTATAACAGCCCTATCAGTCAATCATCATCTAAAGCCCAGTAGGAGACTTTTGGGGGACATTTTATATCTAAACAATAAATGTCACAGTTATGGATATAACAATCATATCTCCAAAAAGGACAGGAATACAATTTATGGAGTAATTCATCCAAGTAAAAGTTGAATATGAGAGCGTGGGCTTCATTGCTTGGAAACGAAGTGAAGCAGACCTCAAATCCATCTTCGGGGGCTATTCACGACGGAGGCAGGGTGACAGCAACTTCCTCCTAAGATTAGATTGCAAACATAGTTACTGTCTGAAAGTTAAATCAGTAAAGTCTTTGCCTATAATGCGATCAGTTATCTGGAGAAATAATGCAAAACACCTCTCTTAAAGGTGATGTAGCCCATTAAAAGCATCCAAATCACAGACCTGGGGAGTAACCAGGAAGAACCTGATATCTGGAGAAAAAACAAAACACCTCTCTTAAAGGTGATGTAGCCCATTAAAAGCATCCAAATCACAGACCTGGGGAGTAACCAGGAAGAACCTGAGTGCTGATTGCAGAGTAGCCTCCACTCCCTGGTTTCTGTCACCTCCCTACACTTGGGGACTTCCACGCACTATAGATACCCACAGCACCAGACCTTGTGCTTTCAAAACTCTTAACACACCACTGTGTGGCTATAATTCCTTCATCCTGTCAGATCCCAGAGCCTCCCACTGTTCTTTGATTATCAGTACCTATTGCCATTCACCTTTTTTCTTTCTTTCTTTTTTTTGGTACCAGGGATCAAACTTGGGACCTTGTGCTTATGAGGCAGGAGGCAAAACTACTCAGCTAAGTCCCCAGCCCTTTAATTTCTTGATCTGTTACCTCCTGAAGGTTTCTCCAACTCTCCTGGACACCATGACACATGACTCCTACTTTCTCCCAAGGTTCACTACTTTTCAGCTCTTTGCTTTTCTGTTGCATACACCCCAGAATCCCAACCTGGGGGTGAATCTCTGGGTTTTGCACTCCAATGCTTGGTCACCCAGAGAAATTCCACAAAGAATCCCGCAGATAAGCACCGGAAGACTTAGGATGTCTGCTGTCTCTTCCTGTCCTGCTTGCTCATTGGTATCCCAAGCATGTCCCACCTCAGCCTGTGTCTCTAGGACCATTTTCTTTGTGAGGCCAGGGGTGCATGGGTTTATAGCACCTGCACTCCTGGGCCCTACACACCCTGCTCAGTTCCTGCCTCGTGTCCCTCCTCTGTGAGAAGTGTTGTCCCTCCGCGTGGGACATAAAGATATAGCATGTGCTTTATATCTTCTACAAGGCCGTCATCACTATGGTCTTTGTTACATTTTTACTCTTTCTCTGTATTTGAGGATTTGTTTTATTCCTTGCCTTCACTTCTTTTCAGCTTGTGAACGTGTTTGAATGGATCTTATTAAACAAACAAAAAGTTCCGGGCCCCTTTTGATCTGTGAGCTCCTTAGAAGTGTGGCCTCTGCTTTGTCACCTCACTCTGGATGTCTTCCTGGTCTTTGTACTCAAACAGCTCTCGCCCACATTACTCAGAAGCTCCCACTGCTCAGCCAACAGCCTCTTCCGGATCACTTCTTCCCTCCATTAATGCCCGTGCATGGATATTCCTGAAACGCTCCCCCTCTGCTGCATCTGCTGTTACCCTCCTAGTTTTCCTGTCCCCCAGCCCCCGGTTACCTCCCATGATTTCAGTACGGTTTTTCTCAAGCTCAGGCTGTGGCTTCCTTGCCCTAGAAACATGTGAGTAAGCGAGCTCTGGGAAGGAGCAGCCCCTACTCCAAGCCATCTTTAAGTCAGTCTACTAACATATCCTCCTTGCCACTGTCACCCAGTGTCCTTGGCATCTGAGGCGCCTGGGTGACTGTGGACATGTGCTGACTCAGTCTCCCCTTCCCTCCAGGCCCTGTGTGCAGCCCCTCTTGTCTCCCTCTGTCCCCAGGGCCGAGCCTCAGTGTCGTGCCAACCGCTTGGCAGGACTTCCGCGGGATGAACGTGACCCCGACTGGGATGCTGGGAAGGGCCGGCTGCAGCGCTCACTTCTGTCCGCAGCACCAAGCACCGGCGAGAGGGGCAGGGGCCGCCTTAGAGCCCGGCGTGGTGGCACCCAGGGGCGGGGGCCTTTGCCTTCCAGGGACCCTGTGGCCCACACTAGGGGTTGTAGGGCACCTGCTGCCACCCAGGGGCCTGGCAGCAGCGACCTTCAGTGCCGGACAGTCAAAGCTGAGGCCGCCTGTCTCCAGGATGCAGAGACGGGAGCCAGCAGTCAGAGGCCTGTGTGTCTCCAGCGGTGGGCGACCCTGAACACCCCTGCCCCACTCTGCTGATGGGATTTGGGGGACCAAAAAGGTTCTCCTAAGAGGGGGGCAGCAAAACCAAAATTCTGAAAATCCCCAACACCCTCCAGTGAGTCCGTCCATAAAAACTTACCTGCTATAACAAAGACGAGGCCAAGTGGGGCATCTGTATCTCCGATTCCTTCATGGGGTGAGGGGACCACAAGCCCAGCACAGACGCTTTGACTCCAGTCTCCTCTCCATGGGAGGAAGAGCTGGGCATAGAGCAGCCCAGTGAGGAGGGCTGGACCCCACACTGCTGGATTCTATCCCACGTAACTGAGGACAGAGAGTGTGACACAACAGAACCTGTGGTTGGGGACTAGTGTTTCAACCGTGTATTTTAGAGAATTTAAATATGGATCCAAAATTTCCAATAAAAATATAGCATCCAAGCTAAGGTGTAAAGTACACATTGGATTTTGAACCCTTGGCACCAAAACACACAAAATATCACTACAATAATGTTAAATATTGACTTGTTGAAATGATGACACTTCACGCATTTTAGGGCTAAATACAATTCATTCTCAAAATTAATTGTGTCAGTTTTCTTTTCCTTTTGAAAACATGGTTTCTCTTATACAAGAGAAACAGAGCAAAATAAGATAGGGAGTAGGGAGATAGATCTTTCTGAAATGGGAAGGGGACCGAGAGAAAAAGTGGGGTGGGAAGAGGAGGGGGATGAAAAAGGGAATTAAGAAGTGTGGTGTATACGTACAGCTCCACACAAGGACGGAAAACTGTGTGCTGCGAATATGTGCAAAAAGTGGACGGGGACCAAGAAATGGGTGCAGTGGGGAGGGAAAGGGCATAAAAAGGAATTAGATGCGTGGTGCACATGTACCAGTTCCCCACAAGGGATGTAAGCATGATTCGCTGAACACATGTGCTAATAAATAACAGACACTGCTACAGTGTTTGAAATTACCTCGGTAGCTCACATTGCGTTTTCACTCACAAGCAGCGCTGCTCTCAAATTCAGGCCACACTTACAGCCTCTGCTGAGGGGCGGGTCTGGTATATTTTACTTCCACAGGCTCCTCGTTTTCTAGTTGTATTAACGTCTCTAAGGCAATGTCTTCAGCTACCGCAGGTCTTTATTATGCATTCACCAATGGCTGCTTCTGCTAATTCAGGGCATGACTGGTTTGAATTTTCTCAAGTAAACAATACTTTAAGAGAGGAATGAGCACACAGAGGACACCCTTTCTAGTCTCTACCCCCACCCCCCAGCACTGTGCTTCCTTCCCCACACTTTGGGGATCACAGGGTGGTTCCTATAGGCCACACTGGTTCTGATCCCCACCTGGAAGATACTGGGGCCAGCTGGCCCTCAAGATTCTCCTCCTGGGAACTAGAAAGGAAGATTCTGTGAGCGGCTGGGGCAGCAGCGGGTAACACTAGAACAATGGAGAGATTGATTCTACCACAGAGCAGAGGGAAGGTAGAAGAGGGGCATTCCACAGAGGGGAGGGGAGATGGGGCAAGAGATGGACAGGGAGAAAGAGAGATAGATGACAGACAGAGACAGACAACTTTCTAGTTCTCACTTTTGGCTTCCTAATCAGCAATCTGTGAAATGCTGCGTTCACTATAATATTTCACCTTTGAGTATATTAAATGAACACTGTTCCTCACAACCAGGTGATATGTGGTTGGGGAGAAAGGACTCAGAAAGTTGGGTGAGAGAAAGTGTTCTCAAAATAATCAAGAACAAGCCTCTTCAGAGAAATAGGCAGATCGATAGAGGAATGGCAGGGAGCACACACGGCTAGGTTTGAATAAGCCAAGGAAGTTGGTGCAAGGGTGTCATCAAAATCTTCCTATGTTTAAAACCTTTCTAAATACAGTGTTGGAGGCAAAATCTACAGGCTTCTCTTTAGCAATGAGTAGTCTCTGGAAATGTTTCCATTGCGCACAAGTCCAGGAAATGAGAATTCCCTTATACTCTGCAATGTAGTCGGAGTTTAGGATCCAGTTTAGAGTAGGCAGATTTGGGGAAATCCAAGCAATTCTGTTTCCAATCAGTTCGAATTTGAGAGATTGTGTCAGCATGCTTTTCCTCCTGTTGATCAATGAGGCTGCCAGTTAGGACTAAGCAGGATAAACTTGGCACCCATGATTAGTGAAAAATAGTTATTACCATTCTTAATATCAGAGTTAAAGATAGCTTCAAGCTCATCTAACCAAAGGTTCAGAGCAGACAAGAGATTTTTGCCTGGGACACATTGTTCACAGAATTAAGGTCTGTCTTCAGGTCTTCGGTTTCCTGACCCCTGTAGGATTGTCCTCCCTGAGGGCTGGTCGTTCCCCCATATAAAATTACATAAACCACCTACAAGCCAATCAGCTGTCATTTGTAACTGCTATGCAAAAGAGCAAATTCCTACAAAAACCAGCCCAGGAGTAGAACTGTGATTTCACCCCTCCTGGCTTTGCTACTCAGCACTTGAGGGTCCCAAATCCATTGAGCCAAAGGCTTTGGTGCAATCAGAAGTCTCTTCAGGTGCTGGACTTGAGGAGCACTGAGATTTTCCAGCTCAGCCACTGGAGCATGGCCTGTGGGACTTCATGGTAAGCCTTTTCTTGCCCCAGACAAACCAGGACAATGCAGTTCCCCTCAAGGATGTGAGTGCGGTCCCAAGACTGTGCCTCTCCTACAGATGTTCCCTCTTGTCGGGCCAGGAAACCACAGATTCATGCCAAATTTGCAGAAGAGAAAGCAGGGAACTTCCATCTTGTAGGAGCCCATGTGATATTTAGCAACTTTTACACCACGAGTTCATGTTTAGAGAGAACAGCTCTGTTCTCGGTGCGGCTTCCAGTCACATGGGGTCAATTCCCTGGCCTTGTCTAAGGCCATGCAAAGGGTGCTGGTCTTCAAGATGCTGAGCCGCAAAGATGTCCTTTCAGTGCTCACTGCGGGAAACCACAGGCCCTGACTCAGGCCTCTTATCAGCTGCCTTGAGAGTGGATCACAGATGCTGAAAATCTAAGGCCGCAAAACTTCTTCCCCTGACAAGTCAAGGTTCCACAGAAAACAGTGTAATTTAGGGTCTGGATACCAACTGACTTTATAAAAGAGTTAAGCCACATAAGATTTGTGGTCTTTCCTGCCATCTTCTGAGAAATCTCTGGAAGTAGGTGGCAAGGAGTCAGCAGACAGGATGGGCTCTTTTGTGTTAGTTTGTGATGATGTTTGCATAACTACTCATGTTTACTAAAAAAATCACTGAATTGTACATTCAAAATGGCAGCACTTGCGATTTGTAAATAATGTTTCAGTAAAACTGTCAAGCACACTATGCTGGATGACAGTCGATGATGGTCTCAAGGTCTTGGAGGGAGCTCTTCTCCGCAGTGGCCCTATTGGGCCATGGGTTTCTGAATGGTGACAGGTGCACCCACTCTTTCAGACACTGCCCCTGCCCTGCTCACCACTGTGTGCTCTGTGTGCTCACTGGGGAAGCTATGTCTGCACACGCTGACCCTCACTGTGTCCTGACAGCTGAGCTTTGCTTTGTGAGCACTTATTGCTTGGCTAAAAGTCTCAGATGTGTGCGTTTCATCTTGTTTTGCCAAAGATCTGACAGGTTATCAGGAAAACATTTTACATATGGCAAACACACAGCCCCTAAGTGAACCATTCTGTGAGCACATCTGGGAAACCCACACCCTCCACAGGGTTAGAACATCCCATAGCCTGTCAGAATCCCCCCTCCCTCTTCTGAGCCACGCTGCCAATCCAGTCCCTCCCCTCCCTGTGCCCAATTTCTGTTCTGATTTCTGTCACCGCAGGTCAGTCTGAGCTGTTCCTGACCTTCATGTTCCAAATCATCAGTGTGCACTCTTCTATGTCGGATTTCCTTCACTTGACACGTTTTTTTAGATTAATGGGTTTGTGACTGGATCCGTAGCTTATTCCCTGGATGAATATACCTGAATTTGCTAACCGGCTCGCCATTTGATGGGCATGCGTAACACTCCCAGTGGAGGCCGTTATAACTAAAACCGCGTGAACATTCGGTATGGGCCTTTATTTTTCTACGCACACCTTCATTTCTTGCCAGTAAACGCCCAGGAACAGAAGTGTTTGCTGGTGGTGTAGATGCATGCTGTGCTTTGGAAGAGTGGTGGTTTTTATTGAGTTGCCGGCGTGGAGGTGCAGATGCCCTATTTCCCGGCGCCTTCGCCAAGCGATGGTGTCACGGAGCTCAGGAGGGAGATGACATGCAAAAGGGGAAAGCGGTGGGGAGTGGAGAAGGGCGGAAGCGATGGCAGAGTCTGTCTTTGCGCAACTACCGGGCAGCTTTGTACGTGGTGCTTTGTGAAATCCTTGCGACACCCCTGAGAGGTATTTAATTATCCTATTCTAACGTAAAAGAAGTGGAACTCAGAAACATGAATTAGCTTTTTTTTTTGGTACCGGGGATTGAACTCAGGACCTTGCCCTGGCGAGACAGGAGGCAGGGCCACTGCCCATGAATTAGCTTTCTTGAGGTCACTCCTCAGATAAAATGCTCTTCCTGTACCTGCCACCCCTGGCATCTTTGTGGGATGCCACTGCAGCCTGGCCTTTCAGGTGGCTTTTGGGGGCCTCCTGGTTCCAGTCTCCCAGCGGTTGCTGTCTTGTCTGAGGAGCTGACTTGATGCTGCCGGGCCACTGATCCACCCTGGCTCCCAGGTGCTCTGTCCTCCCGTGCCCAATACCTCCAGCTCTTCCTGCCCCTTTCCCCACCCCTGGTGACCTGGCTCTGCCTGCATCCTCTATACACCTCCGTCACCAGGCCCTGCTCTAACTCACCTCATGCCCATAAACGTGGATGCTCAAATCAGCTTTGCTAAAAGCTTTAGGAGAATCTTTCCTTGAGACTGCTTATTTGCTCTCCAAAATGTTTTGCTCTTGTGAATTGTGCCACTAGGAGTCTTATGTTGAAAAAGTTCAACTCGCTGGCAGCATTTTGATCAAGTCACCTTGGAGCATAAAAAGTGTAGCGTTGTTTCCTGCTGACATGTCTCTACCTTTGATGGGAATTTCAGGATGAAGGATTTGATTTTTTTTATGGTTATATTTTACCTGCTTCCCTAAAATCACTAATTATAGTTAGGGTAGCTAACACACATCCTGAGCCTCGATTGTTTAGCATTAAATTCCTGCCCAGTAATAATGGCCCACATTAAAGAGTGTTTCCTGTCATTTCCATATTTTTTATGGGGGGAAAAAACAACCCTCTGAGGTCAAGCAGGCAGATGAGGTGAATGAGCCCAGCTATAAAGCTGAACAGCAGTAAGTCCAGGACCTGGCACCTCTCTATGGTATTAAGTCCCCCTCCGTGCAAACCCCACACAGTTCCTTCTTCAATATCATAATCAAAATCACAAATTCACCCCATTTGTGGAGATACTCTTTCTTTTTTAAAAAAAACTTGAAATCGATTTATAGCAACAATTTTGAAGTGTCTAGGTAAGTTAAAATGAATATCTGCATTGCCTGTAAGTTTGTGTTCACTGACTTCCCTAAAGCCTGAGACAGATTGGTTTCTGTGAAACCTTGGATGCAATACCCAATTTGGAACGTGGCCACCCTCTTACGGAACCCACGAGCCACGAAAAGTCAGATCTAATCAGGAACCCCTGAAACAGTCCTGCAGTATAGAAAGACTAGTATGCTCACTAATCCCTAGAAATGGATTGATTATAAAAGCAAACAAAATCTTGGCAGGTTGTTCAACATAAAAGCTTAGAATTTAAAAATGACATCATCGAGGTGTAAGGAAACCAAAGTTCAAAGAAGTGAAAAGGAAGAATGTTTTCTGGTGTTTCTTATAATGAGAGATGACCAAAAATATGGTGAATGTTTAAATTAAAAAATTACTACAGTAAGCCAGGTCTGGTGGTGCAAGCCTGTAATCCCAGCGCTCAGGAGGCTGAGGCAGGAGGATCACTATGAGTTCGAGACCAGCCTCAGCTACACAGTGAGTTCCAGGTCAGTCTCAACTACATAGTGAGACCCCCGTCTCAAAGAAGCCATAAAAAAATGAGTACAGTCAAAGACATATTGGCATATCGCCCTCAAAGCCCCCCCCCACTATGAGCACACTTACCCCATCATGCTGGTCTCTTTCTGAAGCAGTTCTGAAGTCCTCTTTCATGAGTGTCTTTAGTTGTGTTGTTGCGGCTGCCTCATTGTACTGAACTCATTCAAAATATTGAACTTCTGTAGTCATTCTGACTTCGGGGAAAAGCCGGAAGTTGCACAGTGCCAGGTCTAATGAAGATAGTGGATGAAGACATACTGGTGTCTTTATGAGCCTGCCTTTCCATTGGATGGCACGTGGCAGCAACATTCACCATATTTTTGATCACGCCTCATAAGGACATTCATGAAAGAGGACTTCCAGAGCTGGCCCAGAAAGAGGCCAGTGTGATGGAATAAGTATGCTCACAGCAAGGGAGAGTATTTTGAGAGGAACTCATGACAGTATGTCTTTTACTTATAATAATTTCAAAAAATCAAACAGTCACTGTATATTTTGCTCATACTTCCCAAGTATACTAATTCTATTGGCCAAGGCTCCCATCCTGTGACCTCATTTTACTTTATACTTCCTTAGGGGTCCCTTTCTCCAAGTGTCACCACCCTGGGGACTGTGACTTCGACGCATGAATTATGGGAGGACGCAGAGAGTCTAGATCCAGCAGCACAGGGCTTGAAGGAGACCAAGGGACAGAATGGTACCAGACACCTGGCTCCATTCTGGCTGCAGGACACAGATAATAAAGGTTGGCTTCTTATATCAGTCCTCTAATAGGTCAATCACCTCTGTATCCGGGAAATTCCAGGATCCTTAAGGTCTTTGGCTGAGGGACATGTCTGTAAGATGCCTTCAGAAGGTGGAAGAATCGAGAGCCTTCTATAACACACTCCTTTTGTAAAAAATAAAACAACTCAATATATTGTGATTCAGTGATTCCGCTTTGAATTGGTTCCAAGGCAATATCAAGGTCCTAACACTGCGAATGCAAAAATTTGCCCTTCCTGAAGTATTGCCTGTGATAACCTCAGTGTATCCCACTAACAAAATTACAGACAGCATGGAACGCCTGTTATTGAAAACTATCAACACCAGGAAGCATTTACAAACCAGGTTATAAGCCTAATGTAACTTTTTTTTCTCTTGATAGAAAAACAAGCATGGGGGGAAATCTAGGACACACACCAAGATTCAGCAGTGAATATTTTGGGGAATGGGAAATATTGTGGGGATTAGAGTTGGCATTTTCTTACTGCCTTCTAATTTTCTGTGCTCAGCAACTATGAGTGGTAGACACTGAGAAATTTAAACATCATTGTTTAAAAAGCCAAGACATCCAAGGGCAGTACGAGAGGTTTTGGCAGGGCTCTGCATTGGTCAAAGCCTATAGGGGAGGACTTGGCCCTGAGGGGCACTCTTCAGAAGGATAATTTAGGAAAAATTGGTAAAATTCCAACTCAGCAAGTCCTTGAAAGACCTTGTGGTCAAGTTTGAGTGGATAAATATGCATATGATCATAAAATATGCATATTTCAAAAATAAAAACAGGATCTATCAACAGTGGCAATTGCGGTGGTTTTCTTTTTCTTTATTTTTAATTTGTAAAGATGCTTTAAATTTTAAAAAATTATTTTTAAAATATGCCCAAATGGACAGGCTTTAACGTTGTAAGCATCGTTTGTCCAGCCAGCAAATGAAGAGACTGACTCTCAGACCAGGTGAAAGGGCTTGAGAACAGGACGGTGTGCAGCTGTTCTCCATGGGTGGGGCCCAGTGTGAGTAGTGACCAGGTGTCCAGTGCTGGCCACTGTGAGTGTGACTCGACAGATCACCTGTCCGAATTCCACTCCTTCCTGGATGGCTTTGGAACTGGTGGCATACTGGGCTGCAAGATAAATACACCCAAATGAAAATGATGGTAAAGAGTTGCTTTCAGAATTGAGAAAAACACGTTTTTCATCCTACAGGAAACAGTGGCACGAAGGAGACAGCTGGTAGTTGAAACTGGGAAGATGCTCCCGCCCAGAGCTGACCATCCACGCCTTGCTGGGTCCCTGGGCCAGTCTGAGATCAAGCTCAGCATTCAGCTGCAGGGATCATGCGCTCCCTATTTGCTGAGGGATGTGTGCTCACTGACAGGAATCTTCAAAAGATGTTCTGCTCCGTGATCCACATGCACTGCACATGACAAGGGCTTCTCTGAAACAGCTGAGCCAAACTTGGGAGCTCTGGCTCACACTCTGAGGCTGCCCTTTTTACACGGACCTCAGAAACCAGAAGGTTATGAAACCTCTCAAATGTTCCCTGTCCAAGAGGGAACAATGACAGTTAAGATTCTTTGTCGCGCAGCATCTAAGACATCATGAAGCCTTTCACCTGCATGCTTTGATTTCTCTCAACCTCTTTCAATAAAGACGCAGAATAGATGCATTAGTCCACATCGTAAAGGAAGAAACTGAAATACAGATCCTGCACATTGCCCAATAGTTTGGATATGTCAAACAGAGGAAGATGTAGTGTGCGGTTCCTGTTTCTTTTTAAGTGAACTTAATGGGAATGTAATTGGCAATATAAATCAGCCATTTCTAAGTGTATAATTCTGTGTGTAGCCACCACTGTCACCATGAAGATGTGACATTTCTACCTGCCCTCAAAATTTCCTTTTGTCATATCCTGTCTCCTTCCACCTTGAGCCCTGCCACCCGCTACCTGAAATTGTATTCCCGTGATTTTGACTTTCTTCCTATTTAACAAGTGAAATCATGGGCTATGCATTTAAGGTCTGGCTTCTTGGCATAGTGGAGTTGAGAATGGCCAATTTTGTTGCACAAAGTAATAGCTCAATGGCTTTCATCCCTGAGAAGAATCTCAAGGTAAGCATCTTCTACCGTGTGCTCTATTCTAGCAGGTCTCTGCCATGACCTATGAATGCAGCAGAGTTTGTCCGTCTACATACCAGTTGCTCTCTTTTCACTCTGTGATCTACTGAAATGCTGAAGGGCAGCTGTCTCCCCAGGATGTCTACCTCCCTCCAGGCCCCACGAAGAAAGAAATGCTGGCCCATGGCTGTTTCCCCTGGTGAGCCTGGGGTAGGACGAGAATCCACCATGGACTGATTTCTCTATTAGGCACTTTCCCTGTTCTGTGCATTATCCTTAACTTTGTCGGGGTCAGTCAGGATTCTGACCCTACATCAGATAGCCTATGTAAAGCAATTTACTTCCCTGCCATACAACAGCTGCTGAGGAAGTTTTAATAATAACTGCTAATATTCAGTGCTAAGAAATGCTGGTCATGGTAAGGGATTTTGTAGGAGGTCACTAAACTGTTATTCCCAGAAATCCCACTGAGAAAGCAAGGTGTGGCTGGCTTTCTTCCTTTCCTGCTTTGCTGAGTGACCCTAACCCATCTCCCATCTGCATGGCCACCAGTGACTGACAGGCTTGCTTGTGTGTTTGTGCACAGTGTCTTCACGGGTAGGTGACATGTCACCCTGCTTTAGAGAGTGGCCACTACTAATCTGCAAGCCCATCAATTCTGAGCAGTTCGCTAAGGCTGTCCAATAGTCCAATGTCCCAGTGGCTCTGTTACCTTCTCCTTGTTGCCTCAATCAGACCCTGGCTGACCAGCAGACTGTGCAGCTGGCCCTGAGTACAGCTATTGGCCACTTGCATCAAAGTGTCGGCTGTGCCCCAAACAGTTTTGTGGTTTCCAAAGGGAAACGGGTTACAAGTCGTTTGTTTTCTAAACAGGCTGAGCCCCTTGCTTTCTGGATCAAGTTATGTGTGTGACTGTACCGTCATCTTGTTCCTATTTGAAAGACTTCAAAACGGAATGACTTTTCTAGGACAAAGAAAAATCTCTAAGCAGCCCCAGCCAGTCTTTGTACAGCTCTGTCTCTCAAAGACATCTCATCTGTGTATGGCCAGCTGGTGTCACAGCCACTCTGACCAAGACTGTCTCCCTCCTTGGAATGATTAGCCTCCTCCCAGATCCTCACAGGACAGGCAGGTCTTCCCAGCTAACAGTGAAGGGTACCTTTTGCAGGATCAGCCTGTTTGCTTATGCCTCCCTTCCAGGTGTACAGCACAATTCTCCTCTTCCTAAGAATCATGATTCCTCAAAAAAAACCCCACCCAGACACGTCTTCCCTTCACCCCACGATGCCTGAGTATTCAGTCTTTTCTGTGGATGCCAGGCCCAGCTGGGCCTCCTGGCAGGAACATTCTTGGGCTAACTGGTCAGAGTTGGCAGACTAGCAAATCAGTAGCAGTTTGGAGCACTGGCTGGGGTCTGTGTGTCCTTGGGCAAGTTTCTTAACCTTTCTGTGTCTCAGTTTCTTAGTCTGTAAATCAGGGATAATAGCAGTGCCTACCTTATGAGACTGTTGGGAGAATTAATGAGTGACTATGTGTCGGGTCCTTGGCCCAAGGGAAGTACTTGGTACATGTCGGGTGCTGCTGCTGCTTCATTTATGACTCACCACTGTTTCAGCCTCTCCCATGTAAGGGGTCCGGAAGCTGTGAGCCTTTGCCATTTGTGAATAAAGTTTTATTGGACACAGCCATGCCCATGCCTTCCTGTTGCTGTCAATGCCACACATGAGAGTTCCACAAACAGTCACACCGGTGACCACACGGCCTCTCAACCTGACATCTGTTCTCTTGGACCCCTCATAAAAGAATGGAAAACTTTGGGTATGAGGCTCACTCGGGTTTCCTGCGTTATAAGTTAGGGTGCAGCAGTTGAGGGCAAGGCTTTGAGAGAAGGGACTGAGTCTGCCAAGAGCTTGGGGAGAGGAGGAAGTGGGGCTGGGAGCCACAGCAGGCGGCGGGGTCGTGCTGCCTGGCTGCTTTCCAGGACCCAGGCTTCCTCCTCCTCCAGCCCCCCACCACTTTCTCAGAGGATGAACTTGCAAAGTGTCCTCCGGAGGCTGACATGTCGCTTCCTCCAGCCCCTGCTGAGAAAATTGTATTTTGCTGTGTTTTGTTTTATTTTTACCAAATATGAGGACTGACTGCCTATTGTGTGCCAGGCATGGGGCCTACGGTAGAAAGCAATTGTGGACCTTGTGCTACAGAGCAATTTAATTTTTAACTGCAAAACCATAAAGCTTCTAGCCGAGCACTTGGGGCTGGATCCTAACCCCTAGACAGCCTCCTGGATAATGAAGTGCCAGGAACTGCAAGCAGAAGGTAACTCATTAACACTGCCAGGAAAAACCCCAGGGCCGGGGTGGCTGCTGGAGACCCGCACTGTCGTGTCTGGGTCCAGGGAGCAAGAAGGACAAGGAGCCATGCTGGACCCACTCCTGTGCCCCAGGAGGCAGGCCCCAGAGCACTTCCTGTGTTTCCAGAAACCGTGGCTTGCATAGGTTGTCTTGAATCCTCCCACAAGTCCTGTGAAGTAGGAACCCGAGGTGAGATTTCATTCCATCCACACTGGTCCAGGAAGGAAGGGAAAGACAAAAGCACGTTTGGCTGGAAACCTGGTAAGCCAGAGGGAGCTAAACAGCCCCACCTGTTCGAAGTCTGAACACCTGAGATGGACGAAAGCCCAGTACCAAAGCAAGAGCATCGCTGTGTTTCTTTAGAAAGACAAACCAACCCCTACTTCCTGGCCTCCAAAATCAGCAAATATTCACTCTCATCCCAGCTGCTTCAGAATTGGGGAAGGGGGAAGATAACATATTTAAGAAATAAAGATCAATTAACCATTTTTCTTCCTCAATTCTTATGGCCAATGATTTTTATTAAGTCACTGTCTATCAAGTCCTCCTCGGCCACTTCTAAAGTCATGGTGTTAGTTGTTTCCCCTGTTATTTGCTGGCTTAAGTTGTCTAAGTGGTTAAGGGAGGTCGGAGCTGTTGGAAAACACCGGTGGCTCCCAGGAGTTCCAGGTGGTGGGGATGGTTCTCCATCTGCCCGCCTCCTCACCACGCAAGAGTCGGGGACAACCAGCCCCGACGTCTTCTGCTCACAGCACCCGCCCCATGAGAGGCCCCCTGGAATGCTCTCCGGCACTGAGCCCCTGCTCCACGGTGGGTGTGAGGCGGAAATGCGGGCTCTGACATCACAGACTCAAGAATGGGAGACAGTGGACTCCCACGTGGCCCCACGCTGTCACACACAGGCCATGTTACCCTTTTCCTCCCAACACACCAGTGACTCAGTGTTGGAGCTCGGCCTTGAGCAGGCACCATCTGTTCTCCACTGTCGATGGTCATTTTCACAACCAGCAAAGACTGCAGAGGAAGCCTTACTTTTTTTTTTTTTCAGAGCTGGCCGTTAAAGTATTCCTACCCCATACTTCATTTTTCTTCCAGTATAAACACATTTTCCACTTCTTATGACTGCAAAAAACTACTGCACATATGAGTATCTTTGGCAATAAAACTGAAAGGGAGTCTCTAGCCTTTAAACGATTCAACTTTATTCCATACATAGCCTCAAATGGCCACCTGAGTGCCACCAGCAGGGTGAGATGTCCTATTGTTCTTTTTGAGGCTTGGTACTGTCTGCTATCTTCCTTTAAGCCGTTTTGCCATTTCATTGTCATTTAAATTTATATTTTTTCCCGACTTGTGAGGTTGGAAACCTTTTCATGTTTATTGGCTACTTGAGTTTTCTTCTACGTGAATTTCCTGTTCATAATTTTTGCTCTAAGTCATGTGTTTATCTTTTTTCTTACTGATTTGTAGGAATTCCTTATCTTTACTGGACACTTACTTTTAAACAGTTTTACGTAGTATGAATATCTGTGATTCATATATTAATTCTGTTGTTGTGTATTTACCATAAAGAAGATTGAATTTTGGTATAGTCAATTTAATTTTTTTCCTTATTGATTTCTATTTTTTCTTGTTTAAGAAATCTCTCCTGGTTCTGCTGCCTGCCTCATAAGTGCAAGGACCCGAGTTCCATCCCTGGTACAAAAAAAAAAAAACAGAAAAAGAAAAAAGAAATCTTTCCTGATCTCATGGTTAAAAGTATTTTCCTATATTCTCTTTTCCAAAATCTAGGTGTTTGTATCTGAACCTTTAATCCATGTAAAGTTTATTTTTATGAATAGTGTGGGGTGAGAATTTAATTTATTCTTCATATGAAAATATTACTTTTCTGATATTATTATTTAAGAGACCAAGGTTTCCCTGGTTGCATTTGGTTCCTTCCCACAAATGCTTGTCTCTGTTTTCATGCTCTTTCTTTTTGGCAATGAAACTTTGTAACAATTCTGGTTATTCTGTGAGGGCAGTTCCTTTGTCTTTATTATTATTCCTTTTCAGAATTTTCTCACTTACTTTTGGAAGTTTATCCTTTTCACATAAATCTCAAAAACAGTCTGTCAGTTTGCCAAGTTCCACAAAATCCCTATTAGGATCTTTACTGAAATTTCTTTGAAATTATAGACTAACAACAGAATAATTCATATATGTATTTCTTATAGACATATGTACACATGTATGGGGAGGAAGACATGTCTTCTTATGTCTTTCAATAACTGCTTTATAACATTTCTACAAAATGGATCCATTTTTATTAAAGTCCATTTTTATCATTTTATCAGTTCTTTTTATTTCTTTTGTTTGGGTATGTTTCATCTGTTAGTTGAACAATTACCATAGGTGTCTTCATCTGTTATTATGTGCTCACTATATACTAACCTCAGAGCTGCTTTCCAACTTTTTCCCAGTCTCTGACACAGGAGTGTGTAAGGTAGACTTGTAACTAAAAGGGTCAGTGACATCATCTCTCACTACCTTTATCAACACTACACACTTATAACGGGGTCAAAGTTTCTAATATAACAGTTAGGGCAAGGTCCACTAGGCATTTATGACAAGGTGTCTCTGCTAAAATCAGTTCAACTGTAAGGATGGTTTGGACTAGACCCTCTTGGATTCTCCCTTTTACCTTGCTTTTTGCCCACATAGCAGCTATCTCAGTAAGTAGAATTCTGTTCCTCCTATTTAGAATTACCAGTTCTCATATAAATTATCTATTCTATGCTTATCTCCTTGCAGATTAAACATCTTTCTAAAGGAAATGGTAAGAATCAATTCGAATGGGCACAGTTTCTGGACTCTGTCTCTTTGGTTCCAACTGAGTGGTAACCATTTTTCTCCCACTTTTAACAGTGCAGGGTGAAGATTTTGGTGAACAGAAGGATATTTCACAAATCAATTTAGGTGGGTTCAATTTCTGCATTATTAATGCTTTGAAATCATTTAAAGCCCCAGAATGAGATTAGTAAAACATGTAAACTTTCTTAGCACTGCATTATGTACCTTTGGGGAAGCTATATTTATTGGTGCTTTATTAGCATTTACAGCTTCTGATCAATAGAAATGTGGCAAGACAAGGAAGACAGATCAGAAGAAAATGTGTTTATTCTGCTTGCTTAATGGTATGACAAAGAATCAGCCTGTTGTCATATTTAGTGGGGAAAAGACCTGATCCCCCTGACCAACCTGTCAAATGTACTTATGGCTGTTTTCTTGTGTGATTTTGAGAAGCGTGTGAGTGTTTCTCTTTGGTCACCTTGTTGACAAATGTAGTTCATGAATACAGGGACTCATCCATTACTGAGATGGTCTCCTGTCCAGTCTTTCTCTTCTGTGTCCTTCTTCTGAAATGAGAGGATCCTCCGGATTTTGGTGTCTTTGGATGGAACAGGTGGAAGCAAAGATGTTCATAAACACCTTAGTTTGGAAAGCTTTCCTCCTCGGGTGCATCTTAACTTGTCAGATCTTGTGGCAGGGTAAAGGCCGCCTTCCCTCTGCAGGGAGGGATGGGAGGTTTGAGTGGCTGGGACGACTTACCTGAGATCAGAGGCTCCTGTCTTGAGGAAGCCTCCAGTCTCCTGACTCTCAGTGTGATTTGAATGTGACAAAAGGGTTCTGTTTCTGTGGCTGCGTCCCATTCTCAGAGACACCAGCTAGCTGATGTTTAATTGGAATCGCTGGCAGATGGTGGACCTGGGCAGAGTGGAATAAGTTAGCAAGGCTGGATGGTCCCCAGGCTTCAGAGCCAGGCACGACAATCTCTCTCTTGAGAGTCAAACAGTGCAGACGTCTATCATTCAGGCGTCCCTGGTAGAGTAAAATGGGGCTGAGATGAGAATCAGAACTTTTGTCTCCTCCTTATCTCTGTAGTAAAAACCGGTTCTTCCACCTCAGCCTTTCTCGCTGTTTGGCCCCATCACTTCCTGGGAGCTGGGGACACAGTCTCTCTACCCTTGGAGCCACCGCCTTTTGGCCTTTCCTGCCAAGCCACAGGGAGCCTTTGGTTTAGCTGTGTGTCCTGCTCCTGTCATGGCAGATGGTGGACACAATCACACAGAGAAAGTTGTCGCCTTTTCCCACCTTCTCTCTGAGCCTCGCAATGCTGATCTCACTGCCCTTATCCTCCATCCCCCGGCCTGCTCTTCTCCAGGTCTTCTTCATTCCAGCAAACACATCTCCTCCTCCTGGATTTGAGGCACAGAATCGCAAAGCAGCCCGAGCTCTCATCTCTGTCACACCTTACTTGCTACCTGTCACCAGATGCTGTCGGACACATTCTCCCACTGCTCCACCTGGCCAGGGTCACCCTGCATCTGCCTTGTCTGGCCAGGGGCCCCGCTTCTGCTTCACCCCCAAGATGGCTACACACAATGGGGACACAGCTGTCCTTCTAATGTCCTGGCATTGGAAGCCAGTCACTTCCAGCCTCTAGTGAGTTCTCTTCCAACACAGCACGAGGTGACAGCCTGGACTCTCTAAGTGCTGACTCAGCCTCCATCACCTGTGCCCTTAGCACTCTGGTCCCACCTGGGCCCTAGACTCAGCAGATGGCTCTGCAAGTCCCCTGTGTCCCGATGCTCAGGCTGGGGACCTGCTCCAGGCCACAGGGCCTTCCTATCTGCTCTGGTCTCTGCCTCCCACTCCTTCCACAAGATTTCTGCGGAGTGACAGTCCCTGTAGGAGGCCTGCCCTGACTCCCTGGGGCACAACAGCACCCCTCCTTGCCTGAACACTCTTTCCCCCTTGCCATATTTTATGATTTAAAAAATTATGCTTTTTTCCCCACCATCTGCTTCACTCTACATTTATTTTTCTGTCCATGTGTCTCCCCCAATTCAGAATGCCATCTCCTGAGGGGTTTTGTTCTGGACCTTTCTGTATCCCCACATTCACGTGGCCGGAGACATACTAGCCGTTACATAGGACGCAGCTCCTGAAGTTCCAGGTAGAGTAGCCTCGGCTGACTTTCACCGGACACACACTTCTATGGGACGTGTACCCCCAGGATCCCATCTGTGTGAGCCAGCCCTGGGGTCAAGGATAAAGGGAGCTGGCAAACTCCTCCATTCTAAGAAAACATAGGTTTCTGCTCCCCACAAGCCTGGATAGTAGCTAGAGGGGCCAGCACCAAGTGCCCAGTGAAACTACTGATTGAGCCAACTGTATTGTTATCATCTATGGTGTTTATGGTCCCCTTATCACATGAACAGGTCAAATAAGCTGAGAAAAATGTGTGTCAGGAGAGGGGAGACAAGAGCAGCTGAGTCATTAATGGGGGAATGTGTTCCCTCGATACCTAGCACTTCCTGGTGTCCTTTGGGCACCTAGACCCAGCTTTTCAAGGGCCATGCCTTTGTCAATGGGGCTCCTTCTGCTTTGTGAGGCAGACTGTTCCCCAGCTATAAGTTGGGGTATCATGGCAAAGGTCCCTTTGAAGTTGTCTGCACTTCACCGAGGACACTGCCCACCAAATGAGGGTTATGATGAGTGATGTTCTTTGGAGCCAGGGAAGTTTTCCCACAAAGACTTTCCAGTTAAGATTCCTCTTTTCGGAAATAGTGCAAGGCTGGGACTGAGGGAAGTCTGAAGGTAGAATCTCCTCTGCTGAGTGTTGAAAACAGGAGTTTTAAAATGCAGATTTTAAGGCTCTGTCACTTCCTCCTGGTCTCCTGTCACAGGGCAAAGCCTTGGTTCTAGGTCCTTCATATTTCCATGGGAGAGAGAGCAAGGCCAGCCATTTGTACAAGGTCAGAGGCTGATCAGTGTTACAGCACAAAGGCCCTGCCTGATGGGTCAGGAGTATCAACAACTTTCCTTGAAACCACAGACTCCCACTCAGCTCTTCACTTCCTCTCCCCCAGCTCATCACTTCCTGTCCCCAGCTCATCACTTCCTGTCTCTCTAGTTTATCACTTCCCATTTCCCCAGCTCATCACTTCTGTCTCAAATTCCTATTTCCTCTTTTGAAATAGGAAGTTTATCATACATGATCATTCAGGTCCCTTGTAGCCCACCTCTCAGGTTCTTGGATATGTTTTCTTGTTTCAAAATTGAAAAGATGACATGATGATCTTTGGTGCTTGCTAACCATTCAACTGTGCATAATTATAGGGAATCTTCACATTGTTTCAAAAAGAGGTTTATCACATCATAATTAAAATGGAAGATTTGTTATAGCAAAGATTAATGTTATTGTGCAAGATGGCTCTGAGTATTGTTCATTCAACTATTCTTTTTTAAATCCATATATAGCTGTAGGTTTGGACCTCTTTCAAGGGGACATCCTTCTGCAGGTGAGTACCTGCCTGAAATAATTTCCCTCAGAACTAGGTGCACCTCTGGGAGGCCAGCTGGGCTGGGCACTATGCAGAATAATTCTAATCTATTAACCTATGTTTTTGAGGGCTTTCACTGTAGCTGACAATGACAGACATAGAGGAAAAATAAGTAAACCGTATAAAACTACAATTATTAAATGGTTTATTTACTCTGTTTTCCTAACAAGCAAGAAATAAGACAGAAGAGAGTGGGATATCGTGCTTGTGGTGGTTCACAGACCCCTGGTTTGGCCCCCTTATTTTGTTCTTCATGATTTCTTTGAAGTTTTCAAATTATCTCTCTGGGCTTTCTATTGGTTTTATAAAGAGAACACAAATGCCACGGAATTAGGTAAATTGCTTACTATATTCTTTGTGGTCTAGGAGTCTAGTGAAGGGAGAAGTCAAGATGACTTTGAGGATGAGGTGCGGGGATGAGGTATCCGGTCCTCTAAGATGCTTTTGTTTTCACAGAAATCAAGAAATGGCCTGAGGAACCCGACTGCCAGGTGGACGTTCCCCATCCCGTACATCCTGGCAGACAATCTGGGTAATAAAATCATTCCTGTGGGATTCACTGGCTTGACTTCTCTCTCTGATCCTGCTACTCAGCCTCAGCGGAGGAGTAACCTCCTGTGTAAGAAAGGGCTTCTCAGACTGATGATGCTTTAATCTCATAGGAAGAGAGCCATGACATGAAGTGGGATAAAAATACGGTGAATGTTTGAGTTAAAAATATTGTTACAGTAAAAGATGTATTGCCATGAACCTCCCTCCCCAACTGGACGTGGATCCCATTGTTCTCTCCTCTTTCTGAAGCAGTTCTGGAAGTTCTCTTTCATGAGTGTCTTTATGAAGTGTGATTAAAAACAATACAGTGAGTGCTGCTGTTGAGTGTCATCCAATGGAAAGGCAGGCTCATAAAAACATGCTGCTGTGTCCTCATCCACCTTATTCGCTGCATCTGGCACCATCTGGTTTCTGGTTCATCCCCAAAGTCAAAATGACCGTGAAAGGTCAACATTTTGAATCAGTTCCGGAAGTCTAGGCAGCCACGACAGCACAACTAAAGACATAAAAGGGAACTCTTCCAGAGCTGCTTCAGAAAGTGGCAAGAAGGATGGGATAAATGTGTTCAAAGTGAGGTGTGTTTTTTTGTTTTGTTTTGTTTTTTTGTTTTTGCAGTACCAGGGATCGAGCTCAGGACCTTGTGCTTGCTAGGAGGGCACAGCACCACTGAGCTACATCCCTGGCCCCAGGGTGGTGCATTTTTGAGGGGATTAATGGCAGTGTGTCTTTTACTATAATAAATTTTAAACATTTAATCATCCATCGAAATTTTAGATCACACCCTGTACATCAAAACCAGGGCTACTTAATCTGTCTGAGATCCAGTGTGAAGGGATCCTGTAAGATTGTGGCATGCATTAAAATGTAAATGAAATGGGGAGAAACATAAAGAACAAAGGCACAAGATACAATTTAGCATCAGAATAGTGAAAAAAAAAGGACTTAAGGGTTTGTTTAGGTAAATTAGAATTTAGGACCAGGATACTACTTCTGGCATTTAGATTAATCTTATGGTTGCACTTATTTTCCTGTAAGTAATACATCATTTCTTCTTATGGCTCAGTAATTTTCCACTGTGGATATACAGCACCATTTTATTCATTCATTTATCCCTTGATGGGCATCTAGGCTGATTCCATATTGTAGCTATTGTGAATAATCAGCAATAAACATGGGTGTTCAGGAAACCCTTTGGTATGCTGATACCTGCCCTTTGAATATTGGCTCATAGGGCAGATTTAGTTTTAGTTTTTTGAGAAACTTCTATTCTGTTCTCTGTCATAGCTACACTAATGAATATTTTCAACAGTGTAGCCAGGCATGGTGGCGCATGCCTGTAATCCCAGCACTCGGGAGGCGGAGGCAGGAGGATTGCTGTGCGTTCGAGACCAGCCTAGGCTACATAGTGAGCTCCAGGTCAGACTCAACTACATAGTGAGACCCTGTCTGAAACAAAATAAAAAACAATGTGTAGAAGAGTTCCTTTTTCTCCTTATCCTTGCTGAATTTTTTTGTTTTCTTTTCTATAGTAGCCATTTTAACTGGAGTGAAGTGATACCTGATGGTTGTGATTTACATCTTCTGATAGCTAACGATGTTGACTATTTTCTCAAAAGCCTGTCGGGCATTTGGATCTCTTCTTCTGAGTAGTATTTATTTACATCATTTGCTTGTTTTTAAATTGGATTTTATTGTTGTTGTTACTGAGTTTTGTGAGTTCCTCATATATTCTGGATAGGAGTGCTTTGTCAGATGAATAGCTTCAAACATCTGTTGTTTCTGTGCTTTATCGATTGTTTCCTTTGCTGGGCAGAAGCTTTTTAGTTTGATATAATTTTGATATAATTCCACTTGTCTGCTTTTGTTTTTGTTGTCCTTGATTTTTGGGTCTTATAATGAAAATGTCATCACATATACTTATGTGTTACAGTGTTTTCCCTACATTTTTTTCTGGTGGTTTCAGAGCATTGGGTCTTACATTAGGTCTTTCATCTACTTTTTGTTTTTTTTTTTTTTTTTTGGTACTGGGGATCGAACTTGGAACCTTGTGCTTGTGAGGCAGGCTGCGGAAACACTGAGCTAAATCCCTGGCCCCTTCATCTACTCTGAATTGACTTTGAATACAGGTTGAGAGGCAGGAGCTGAGTTTCATTCTCCTGTTTGTGCACATCCAGCTTTCCCAGCACCATTTGTTGAAGAGCCTGTCCATTGTCCATTATGCAATGTTGGTGCAATGGGACAGAATAGTGTGACCATAACTAACCCCGTACACTCACAATCCACCAATTATTGACAAAGGCACCCACAGCCCTTCCGGTTATGACCTCCATAGGTTGTCATCTCTGTGGAATCTTCACCACGGTAGGTTATCGAGGAGAGTAAGTGCCAGGAGAACATGGTACAACTTCCTGGTGAACTGCCAAGCAATATAAACTCTTTGAGGGAATGCATAACATCAAGTATGTAAGGAAGAGCATTTCTTTTTTGACTGAGATCTCAATCCTCAGGAAAATGATGGGAGGAAAACTGCACATGAAGTAGAAAGTAATCTAATTTCTTCAGTGGCACCCTCCTCTTACTTGTCCTTGGGCCAAGGTGCGTGCATGGTAGGTGGAGGGAAAGGCATTCAAGCTTTGGCTGTGGTCACCACAGGCTACAAGCCTGGGCCTCTCACAGGCCACTCGTGTTTCTGCTCTGCCACGGATTCTTCCACGGCCACATGCTCAGAACATCTGTTTGAATGGGGGGAAGGAAAAAAGAGTGGACGATTTTCTCCGGCCACATACACTTGTGTGTGTTCCTACAGTCTATTCATACTTTCCGGGCACACTGAAAATATGCACGCTATGTTTTTGCTGATGTTAATTGTGCAGTTTTAGTTTTCAAAGGGTCTATTTACTACCGAAACTTCTGCGACAAACCTTTGTGGATTTCACATAGTGGCGTGGTTTTCTCTGTGCCTGTTGTCCAAGATAAAAAATTCTTATGCATGTCCTCACTGATTTCTGCAGAGCTCAATGCCAAAGGAGCCATCCTCTCTGCCTTTGAAATGTTCCGCCTCAAGTCCTGCGTGGATTTCAAGCCCTATGAAGGAGAGAGCTCGTACATCATCTTTCAGCAGTTTTCTGGGTTAGTACAAACTATTAGCATGTGAGAGCCGTGTGCCCTTTGGTTTATAAAAAGTGACACATCAGTTTCACAGGCTAAAAGAAGAATCTGGGAAAAAACTATGTGCAAAAATGAAATCTTTCACTGTGTATCTGTAAATGGTGTAATATTTTTAATATGCTTAACAGAGAATACTATATCCTGTTTGGATAAGTCTGCGACCCAGAGAAGTGTGTCTCAAGTCTTCTCCTAGGGTGAGGTTGTGTTTTAACTTGGAGTACTTTTTTTAAAAAATCAAGTTTATTGGACTGTAAATGGCACTCTTTTAGTGGTCCTATTTTCAGTTAATTACTCTGTGAGCGGCACCTCCATAAAAAATTCTAGATATACATTTACTCTCCGTGGGTGTTTATTTCTAAGCATAAATGGGCGGTATGTTCAGAAAGAAGCACTCTTTCTTTAGGGCTCTGTGTGCCAACCAACTTAAGCTAGCTGAGGTTGGGGGAGCAAGGCCGTCCCCTGGAAGACGTCTTCCTCATGCTGCACCCGTCTCCAGGTTTTGTTCTCATGGGTCATCTAATTCTGGCCCTGGGGCATCATTAATCATGGGTGGATAACAGAGATGAAAAGGCAAGTCAGAATACAATTCAGCTTCTTATGCAAAAAAAGTACAAAAAGAAGTAACAAATCAAAAAAGCAGAGTATCGATGATGCAAAGTCAATGCCTAGCTTATCTGAGTAGATCTTTTCTTAGCTTGTTCTTTTATTTGACATTCTTTTGCAAAAGATGTACACCTGCTGTGCACCAAGAAGCACACCACTCTGGAGATACAAGGATGTTGGGCTCATTCTAGAGCCCACAAAGTTTGCAGCTGGCTGCTGAGGTGGTGGAGCAGCAAGTGGAGAGTTTCAGGGTGAGGACTCGAGGCTGGAGGAGCAAGAGCTGGTGCTCTATTGCGGTGACTACAGTCAACAGCATCGCATTGCACACTTCCAAATAGCCAGAAGAGAATGTTTTGAGTCATCTCACTACAAAGAAATATGATTTTTTAAAAAAATCAAACCTAGTTTTTTTCTGGTCTGTGTTGTGGGATTCCCTGAATTGCAGCTAAGAATTCTCTAGGAAAATATTTCCCTTTCTGGGTCTTCAAGGTGCTGGTCTATGGTTGGCAACCAACACGTGGGACAGAACCTCTCCATTGGCGCAGGGTGCGACTATAAAGCCATCATCGAGCACGAGATCCTGCATGCTCTGGGGTTTTACCATGAGCAGTCGAGGACTGACCGCGATGACTATGTGACCATCTGGTGGGATGAGATTATCCCAGGTTTGTGGGAGTCCAGCGTGGCAGGGTGGGGGCGGCTGTCATCTGTGTGGCTTGCTGAGCATGCCCTGAGTGACAAACTGCCGGAATCAAAAGTGGCCCTGGCAAAGATGGCAGAGAATGGGAAGAGTAAGCCCATATGATGTGAGAGTCACCTAAAAGGCAACCAACGATTTTGTTAAAATTCCCACCTAATAATGAGCACATTAAGGGCATCAGGGCAACTTTCTGTGTGTGAAATCGCCCACGGCTCCAGAAGGCTGGAAGAGGGCATGTTCATGATATCATGGCCCGGGCACATCAGAATCATTTTTGTGCTTTTCTAAATCATCCTATGCTAACCACTGTGCTAAAGGCCAAGTAGTAATCTTTGCCTCCCAGACCAATCTAGGAAAGTGTGTGCCTGCTCACTCTGAGATGAGATTACAGATGAGACCTGGTGTATCTGTCTCCTAGCAGGAATTGGGCTGGGCCATAACTGAGTGTGTCTGGGTGTAGAGGGGACAGGGACCTGCAGTCATGGGTCAGAGGACTGAGCCTCTGCCAGTGAGACACAGGGTACCATTGACCTAGTCTTATCTGCCTGCCATCTGAGTTTCTCACCTTCCTGCACATATACTTGGCTTTGCTGAAAATCTCATGAGAAATCAGAAAATGTTTCCACTAAGTGTTGAAGAAGATGATGCTTAATCCTTTTGAGATGGCTTTCAGCCACCCTAGATCCCCTTTCCAGAGAGCCAGCCCCTTTGCTAGGATGATTTTCATTGAGCTCTGTCTGAGCCTGAATTACTCAATACATATTTGCTCATATCTGATCTGGCTTTTTATCGGGTGTAATTCCACATATCTAGATTGCATGCAATCACTGGAGACCTGTTTCCAAGGACACATCAAATACAATAAAGGCATAAACAAGGACAGTTTTATTCCTCAGGGTCATCTATGACCTTTATTGCTCCTCGCCCTGACTGATCGAGTCCTGTTATTTCACCTAGAAGTCACTGTACCAGTCACAGAGCTTCTCTTCCTAGGCCCATCGTTTTGTCTTGAGTCATAACTGTGGTTTTTGCCTTTACACTAAGGAAACTCAACTTCTGAGGTCTCACAGGGGTTGGCACACTCAAGACCATAAATGAACCTTTGTGAAAACACAGCCACGACCATTGGTTGATGTGTCACCTATGGCTGCTTTTTGCAGTGGTTGCAGAGCTCGTAGCAGTGACAGAAAAATAGGGGTAGAAAGCCTAGAATATCTTCTATCTGACCCGATTATAAGAAGTTAGCAGATGACCATAGTGTGCAGGATTGCTCCTGCCCGGGAGCTCTGGCCATCAGTTCCTTAGAGATAGGATGACCCTGTGCCTTGTTGGGCCACTGCTTTCCCAGCATGGATCCTACCCCACCATGGGCAAAGCCAAATGCACTGTACAAGTTTTAAAAATTAACTCAAGTCATTTATTTGTAAACCATTCTGATAAGAGTCCCTGATTTAAAAAAAGAATGAAATCCCTTCCAACCTGATGACTTCATGGGAAGTTCAGGCATTCAGGGAGTGGAAAGTCCCTGCTTCTAGCACCCCCAGGCTCCCCAGGTTGGGGGACTCTGGCTGCAGGCTGGTACCCACCTTGGGATGCTTGTCACAGTTCTGTCACTTTATGTGATGCTCTAGCACCATGTGTTCTGGGAGGGGGTCTCTTTCCCTCTGTCCTGCATGGGGCGTTTGCCTTTCAAGGGTGTCCTGCGTTGAACACACCGTAAGTCCCAGAATCCCCTTGAGCAGGGGAACTGGGTGGGCACCAGCACTATGGCTATGACACTGAATGAGGTCTTGCTGCAAAGGGGGAAAGGGTCCCTGGCTCCTCCAGGCCACACTGTGCCTCCTGGTTCCACCTGCACCGGTGTGTGAGTCACTGGGGAGCAGTTCCCATTCTGCCCTCTAATTGTTAAAGTCGGCTGCATGGGGAGCCAGAGAAGGAAAAGAATGTGGGGTGGAAGAGTTATGAACGCTCTTTGATTTTCTTAGCACTTCCCAAGAAGGAAGGTAAACCCCGTGAGCCTTTCTGTGACCCCCGCTGGTCAGTTAAAGACCATCCGGACAGATATTTCGCTCCGCGTCCCGTGTCATAGCTCATCAACCTTCCTCGTAGTCATCTCAGAAAAAGGCTGACCTTTCCTATTTGGATGGGAAAATAAATTTCCTTCTTCCTGTTTTGTTTGTTTCTCCCTGAAGGTGTTTCTGGACCACAGGGTGTGAGTCTGCGTAGCAGGGTGCCCCACTCTTTCCAGACCTCACTTCCTCTCCGCCCCTCAGTCTGTCCTAATCCTGGACCAGGCACAGAGATGGGCACTCAGGGACCGAGGTGCTCGGCCGTTGCAAAGATGCATCCTGAGCATTTTCCTGAATTCAAAATATTTGTTCCTGCCTTTTGGAAACTTTCCCTCATATTTGCCATTTTACCTTCTCTTTCTGACAGCACACGCGCACACGCGCGCGCACACACACACACACACACACACACAATGCAGCCTTAACTTAAATATACTCATGTATTTAATAATTTATAATATATAAACATATACTTCATCTACTACACCAGATACTTTGTCATTGCAATAATTTCATACATACTACTTTATAATATTAACATGTTGATTCATAATTCATATCTATTAATTTATACATTGTAGTAATTATAAATTATGTGTATCTGTTTAAATCAAAGATATATTATTTCCCCTTTTGTGGGTCTCTGAGCATAAATCTGGCTGGAAAGGAAAGGTTGGAGGAGAGGGCTGACTACCATGACTGTGAACTCTGTCCCCAACAGGTTATGAACACAACTTCAACATTTACAGTGACAGCCTCGTCACAGACCTCAATACGCCTTACGATTATGAATCTCTGATGCACTACATACCTCTCTCATTTAACCAGAACGAGGGTGTCCCCACCATCACAACCAAGATCCCCGAGTTCAACTCCATCATCGGGCAGCGCCTGGACTTCAGCGCCATCGACTTAGAGAGGCTGAACAGGATGTACAACTGCAGTGAGAGTCTGGGCTGGGGCCGGGCACACCGGTCACTGCAGCTTTAGTTTCCTCTTTGCATTTCCTTTCACTCTTCTAGAATGTTCTGGTTAAGGGGACCATGGGATGAGCCACATAATGAGGGCACCCTACTTCCAGACCTGAACAAGTTATAGCACCTACCTCACAGGATGGCCAAGAAATCAGTTATGGACTCTTGTTTCACAAAGTAAAAGTATTAGAACAATGCAAGGAGCTCTTATTGTCTAACTTCTTTAGTGTCCTTCTGAAAGGTGCATGATTATATAAAGGCCACAACAGACAAAGGGCTTGGAAGTTGTGTGCCATGAAATATTCTTTACCTAGTTTATTCTTGGGACACCATAAACCTTTGGGTGTGATGTTTTCTAAGACAATCCCCCTGGTCTTCACTATGCAATCTTTAATTCTGTTCACTAAAGCAGGCACTAAACCCACTAAGTACAGTACTGTAAACACCTTGCTCCTGATCTAGAGTCCCTGTTGGCTTTTACACAGTGAGGAATACTTAGAGATCTTTTTATCCTGGCTCTTTGAGGCAGGTAGTTCTGTGTCTATACTGACAAGTTCTATCCACTAAGTACAGTACTGTAAACACCTTGCTCCTGATCTAGAGGAGTCCCTGTTGGCTTTTACATAGTGAGGAAATGCTTAGAGATCTTTTTATCCTGGCTCTTTGAGGCAGGTAGTTCTGTGTCTATACTGACAAGTTCTGAGATCCACCTGATTGCATTCGGATTTGTGTTTGAGGAAAAAAAAATTCGTTCCCCCCAAAAAAAAACCCGAGAAGCTCACGCTCCTGTTGTATCTGGCCAGTGAGGTTTTAGTGTCTGAAGGTGTTCATTAACTACTTGGCTGAGCTGCGTTCTGTCTTTTTAACCACATGACGAGATGTCATTTACAGCCACGACTCACACCCTTTTGGATCACTGTACTTTTGAGAAGGCAAACATCTGTGGGATGATCCAGGGCACCAGAGACGACGCAGACTGGGTCCACGAGGACAGTGCACAGGCCGGACAAGGGGACCACACTTTGGGAGGCCGGTGCACAGGTGGGTGGTGGCAAAGTGACCAGTTGAAGGGGTTGCTTAGGTGATAGAAAGCAGCATGTTTCACCCCAATCAGGACCTGAGTTATCCTCCAACCTTTCCTGAAAATCTGAACAAGGACAAAGAACACTTCCATTACATTCTTTATTAACTTAATAAGGGGCGCTGGGGCTCTGCCTGTGCAAAAGTAAGATGCATGTTGGCTTCAATGAAAGTCACTTGGACATGTAGTTGGTAAGACATGGTAAGGGTAATGTCCTCTATTAGAACTATCGTGCTAGCCCATGTGTCGTGTAAAATTTTCTAATGGCTACATAAAAGAGATAAAATTTTATGTAGGTGAAATTAGTTTCAACAATATATTTTATTTAACCCAACGTACACAAAATATTAGCATCCCAACATGTGATCAATATAAACATCAGCGTGAGACAGTCTCCTTTCTATGTCTCTTATCTGCAATCTGGTTGTCTCTGGCCCCGAGGCACCTGTCAGCTGGGAGCTGCTACACCCGGCCCTCCACGGCCACAGGTGCTTGGTGGCTGCTATGTCCAACAGTGCAACCTCAGGCAGCTCCAGGATGTGGTTTGCCTAGCAAATAGGCCTAGAAGTCAGGCAGATTTGGGTTGAAATATGGTTTTGCCATTTAGTAGTTGGGGCTATAGAAACTTGCTGCTCTGTGTCTGCTTTTTGAACAAAAATCATCTTTGCATAAATAAGGCCCCCTGAAGACCAGGATACTGATACTTAAAATGAAGGCCATGTACCAAGCCCCCACAAGCTCACCTCTTGTTTTATCTTTCCCTTCTTTGCATCTTCCTATCTCTTTCCCTTTGCTCCTTTGCTCCCCCCGCCCCTCTCTCTCTCTGATGCTGGGTGTGGAACCCAGAGCCTCTTGCATGCTGGGTAAACATTCTACCCTGGAGCTGCACTCCCAGCCCCTGCATTTATTTTTGTCTCCAATTTAGCATTCTTTTATTATGTATCTGCTGTAAAAACCACCTCTCACCTCTTTGGAAGTGGGTGCTAGCTTTTGAAGGTCGGGGTTACAGTGAAGTGGCTTAGTCCCTGTTTGTCTGAGAGTTGGTTCCTTCCCAGAGTGGACCTGGGTTTGTCATGGATACCAGGCTCCCGATGAGGATCCCAGAGATCATAAACCAGGGGAATTCTTCCTGTGGCTTTGGCAAGGGCAACAGTCTCTGTCACACAGCAGATGATTGCAGGTGCCATCCCAAGTATCCAAAGAGTAATGAGCCGAAAGTTCCATTTAGGTTTCCATGGTAACCTCTGATGCACCCTTCCTGTGGGCTCCCCGTGAGGCTAACAGACAAGAGCATGGTCTTCTTGATCTGCTGGAGGAAGGTTCTAGCACCATAGTAGGAAAGGACAGGACCATACCTCAGAAGAAAGAAGATGCAGGTTTTACCAGGTCAGTTCGATCCTTCCTCATACTTCCTCCATGAGGGCATCTAAGGGGACCCTGTCCCACCACCAGAAAAAGTATCCCCTGCTCAGGCAGGCACTTGGACCCAAAGAGCCCGAAGGACCTTGTGGGACAGGTCCACTGCCATCTGAAACTCAGAGGGAAGAAGAACCCAGTCCATGGCGGAGCTGGGAGGAAGCCCAGCCCTCCTGAGTCCCAGGTCTTTGTGATATGGCGCTGGGAACTCTCTGGCCCATGAGATCCCGTTCTCTTCCACACACGTACTCAGTAATTCATGCTAGAGAGGGCTTGGGCTTCTGAGCTAAGCACTGGGAAGAACACACAAGGGGACAGAACTTCGTCTGAAGACTATTAAAGCCATTCAGATACTTTCAAGACTTTTGGAAACTATATGTGAGCCGCCAGTACACGTGGTCAACATAAAACGTGTGGGCTCTGTGCATGAGGCAGGGCAGAGCCAGGGGAATGAAAGCTTAGCCTGACACACACAGCTGTACGGAGTCCTCACCTGCTGTCTGCCTAATGAAATGTTTCCCTGTGGGAAGGTGCTGAGGGCCGGCTATTGTATAAAGAGCCTCCTTCTAGGCAAGAGTTTGGGGTGTGCTTTACTTTGAAAATGTGCTGGTTTTCTGAGCAACCTGTCTGGTTAGCCACTGGCTTGCTTTAGGGAGGTCTGAGGTATTGGAGTTAGGCAAACCCTGGCCGTGGCACTGACAGATGTTCCTTGCCTTCTTTTTCTGCATTCTTCTGATGCTTCTCTTTGCCCTCTAGTCTTCTGGCACAGTAAAGATGATTCTTTGACGCCAACAAAATACCCAACCATCGAGTTAGAAATGGGTGATATTGATTCCTGAGCCATTGCAAATACTTAAAATCCAAACTTCAGCCTGTGGTTCCTATTCCAGCAAGCCATCCTCTCTTGCTCTGATTTAAGCGAGGGAGCTGATGAGGAAGTGTGAGTTCGATTCACAGATGCCGCATTTCAGAGACTTGGGCTGGGGCCTGAGTTTCTTTAACTCAGAGGCTGACACTTCACAACCTCTGGAACCCCGGCAAGGGGAGGACAGCACTGAGCTTGTGGCACTAGCCAGAGGCAGAATGCTTACCTCCCGTGACCTTCGGAGTTTCCTGGAGTTTCCTCAGAAGACTTTTAGCCGATGCTGCCCGGATAAGGCTGCTTCTCCCGGGTCACCTTTCCCAGAAGGAGAGGGTGGTGGCTGGGGCTTGGGAAGCCAGACGCGGACGCCAGGCTGCTGTCCCCACAGGTGCCGGCTACTCCATGCACTTCGACACGGGCACGGGAGCTGTGGAAGAGGCGGCCCTGCTGGAGTCTCGGATTCTCTATCCAAAGAGGAAGCAGCAGTGCCTGCAGTTTTTTTATAAAATGACAGGGAGCCCCTTGGATCGACTGGTCGTTTGGGTCAGAAGGGATGATGGCACCGGCAAAGTCCGCAAGCTGGTCAAGGTGCAGACCATCCAAGGTACCCTCTTTTCCTTTCTTCCCTCGCGTCTTCCAACTCTGCCTCCGCCCTCCCCGCCCCAAGGCCTACTCATGACATCTTTGCATGTTGAACTCCTCGAAAATTAGAAGCAAGCATTGTAAGAAAATAAGAATGTTTATAAATCCAGTGTTCACTAGGGCTTTGGACAAAAGCGGGGCCAGAAGCGAGAATGTGGAAGGTACAGAGAGGAGACGGGAAGGGAAAGGAGTTGCAAGATTGGTGCTCCCGGAAACATGGTAGTGAAATAACTGGCGACAAAGTATCTTCCGAACTATCTGAGAAGGACTCCCATCTACTTCTCAGTGGAGGGAATCTGATCATTCGTTTCTATTAACTTCAGACCATCGCCTTCGTGTTCCTGAGTAATGCTTTGTGTGTTTCTGTAAGAAGATTAGCAGGAAAGCTTTGAACGGCCCAGCAGCAGGAGGGTGTGAGGAGCCAGTGGCTGTCAGTTGAGACCCAGGGTTAAAAAACTTTTTATGCTTCAGTTTTGGGAATCAAACCCAGGGCCTTGCACATGCTAGGCAAACCCTCTACCAGGGAGCTATACCCTTCACGTGAGGAAGGCCCGACGGAGTTGCCATTATTTGCCTTTTGACAAGCAAAACATCTGTCACACTCTGTTCAGCCTGATACATGGAGTTAGTGTTAGCAGAGCAGGTAACTGCAGCGTCAGAAGGAAACTCAGAACCTGGGGCGTTAGGTGACAGTGGAAAGCACATTCACCATTGGGATTTGAATGGGGTAGGTTGTCTTTTCAAGAGCTACTTTTCCTTTCTAGACAGGGCCAGGCAGCACTTACTCACCAGTCTGTGATGGTGCCTTTCTGACAGGGCGACTGGGAGATTCGAACGAGCCAATCTCGGCACAGGCTGACACGGAGCAAGTGCCCGTGAAGTGTCCCCCACAGTTGTCACCCGCTGTTCTCTGTCCTCAGGGGATTCTGACCACAACTGGAAAATTGCCCACGTGATGCTCCAAGAGGAAAAGAAGTTTCGCTACCTATTCCAGGGCACGAAAGGCGACCCTCAGAACTCGGCTGGGGGCATTTCCCTGGATGACGTCACCCTGGCGGAGACGCCTTGCCCGGCGGGGGTGTGGACAGTGCGGAACATCTCGCAGGTCCTCCAGAGCACCACGAAAGGGGACAAGCTCCTGAGCCCTAGATTCTACAACTCTGAGGGATATGGTTTTGGGGTGACCTTGTACCCCCACGGCAGAGCCACCTCCAGTGCCTCTGGCTCCTTGAGTGTGGCGTTTCACCTGTGCAGCGGGGAAAACGATGCTATCCTGGAGTGGCCGGTGCAGAACAGGCAGGCGATCGTGACGATACTTGACCAGGAGACGGATGTCAAGAGCAGGATGTCCTTGAGCATGATGCTCACCACCTCCCTGTCCCACACGTCTTCAGGTCAGTGGTTTGGGTGTGAATGAGCACCGGCCCTCCGCCCGGAGGGGGGCTGACAGAGGCGCTTCACATCTGTGCAAGAACAGCACTCTCCTCTCACACTGTGCTCCTGCTGTGTATGGGGTGTGATTGAAAATTACTGTGAATGCCAAAATTTCAAAAAGTATTACAATAAAGAGCGCACCGCCCACACCCCCCCTCAAAATGCTTCCCCCTCGCTTTAAACACTCTTACCCCATCTTTCTTGCTACTTTCTGAAGCAGTTCTGAAGTCCTCTTTCCCGAGTGCCTTAGTTGAGATGTCATGGCTGCCTCCTTGACCCATAGTGATTCAAAGCACTTACCTCTCAAGGTCATGTTGACTTTGGGGCCAGAGCCAGGAGTCTCACAGTGTAAGATCTAGTGAATAAGATGGATGAGGACATGCTATGGTGTTCTTTGGAGCCCGCCTCTCCACTGGACGGCACTCAAAGTTCACTCTATTGTTTGACTGGACCTCATAGACACTGAAGAAAGAGGACTTCCAGAACTGCTTCACAAAGAGCACAAAATGATGGGATAGCTGTGTTTAAAGCGGAGTGTTTTGAGGGAGATTCATGGCAATGTCTCTTTTATTGCGATACCCTTTAAGCTTTTAACTTTTAACAATGTTCACTGTATGATTGGATTCTCCCATGTACCAACCACACACTCACGCTGGAATATTAGGTTAAAATCTTCAAAGCCATGTCTTCCTCCTCCTCTTTCCTGCTCACTCCTCAAGCAGGTGTTGGGGGGGGGGTGTCAATGGTGTGCCAGGCTCTGTGCCAGGAGGAGTACAAGGGACTGGGTGGTCCAGTCTTTCCCAGCTCAGGCTAATTAGACTGGCACTACTTACTGTCAGACCCTCAGAGCTCTCCAGGCTTCGGGCAGGGCAAATGAAATGATTCTGCAAACATTTCTGCATGTTGGTGTGCCCATGAAATAAACTCATGCCCGCCACAAAATGCGCAAATTCCTTGGGCAAAACAAGAGGCGTGAGCCTTAAAAAGATCAGTCTGTGGCTGCTCCCCTTGAAGGAAGTTACCAGGCACAAACACGCTCGTTCATTCAGAGCTGTTCTCTGCCCCTGGCCTCCCAATTCTGAATTTTAGTTCTCCCAAGGAGAGCAAATAATCTGACTGTTTCCAACAAGTTTTTTTCTGATGAACAAAGCCTTGGGTGTCCCTTCAAGGCACGGTGGAGAGGGACTTGGACGAAGTGATGTGATGTTATGTTGCCTGTCGCTGTAGCAATCAATGGCTCCGTCATCTGGGACAGGCCGTCCCTGGTGGGCTCCTACGACAAGGACTGCGACTGCTTCAGGGGCATTGACGTGGGCAGGAGCAACTCCCTCTCCCACCAGATGCTGAGAAGGAGGAGTTTCCTCAGAAACGATGACCTCATTGTTTTTGTGGATTTTGAAGGTACTTTTGCTGATCTTCCTGAATCGGGAAATAATCCTAGGCTCCACATGTCCTACCGATTTTTTTAAGCAACTTAAGGAAGGTAGGGATCTTTCTTGCAAATGAGATTTAAAGTGAAAAAGGGAAAAGAAAAAAAAAAGAGCCACGTTTTTACTCGACTGGCCAAGAATTTCTTTCTTCATTGTAGTGTATTTAAGTATTGTTAATTGTCACATAATAATTGTACGTGTTTATGAGCCATGATGGCCTGTTTGGTGCATGCATTCTTCATCTTCCAATCAGACACCTCCAAAAGCATCTATCATTTCTTTCGGGTAAAAACTACACCTTTATTTATCCTTGGGAGAAAGCACAATTTTATTTTCTAAAGTGTAATCTTTTTTGATAATTTCTTACGCATAACCATTTGCTGACTTCAGTTTTGTTTCGGTCTAATGTTATGCTTCATTCTGCAAGTTCAATACCTAAACACATGATAGGATTCCTTCAATTTAAAGAAGCTGGCTGGGCGTGTTGGCGCACGCCTGTAATCCCAGCACTCGGGAGGCTGAGGCAGGAGGATCGCTGTGAGTTCGAGACCAGCCTGGGCTACATAGTGAGTTCCAGGTCAGTCTCAACTACATAGTGAGACCCTGTCTCAAAAAAACAAAAAAAAGAAGCAGCTGGATTCAGAGCTACTTTTCCATGCCACCAAGGATGGTGTTCGTGAGGGACAGAGGTGGCCTGAGAACCCTCTCCAGCAGTGATGCTAGTCACAGGCAGTCATTTGTCTGGATTGTCCTCATCACCGCCTCCTTTCTGTAGACCTCACCCACCTGAACCAAACAGAAGTCCCAGTTCGCACTGCAGACAGGAGGCTGATCTCTGCAGGCCTTGTGCTCCACGGACAGGAGCAGCAGGCTTCAGGAAGAGCTTCTCAAAAGGCTGTGTTGGACGAAGCTCCACCAGGCAGCCTGGGTGGACGACAGAAGCGGTCCGTGGAGAACACAGGCCCCATGGAGGACCACAACTGGCCACAGTACTTCAGAGACCCGTGTGACCCGAACCCGTGTCAGAACCAGGGTGTGTGTGTGAACGTGAAGGGAATGGCGAGCTGCAGGTAGGTGCAGGGCCGGGGCAAGGTGGTCAGGGCACTGATCGTGTTAGGCCAAGACCTCCACCACATGGCCAGGATGTGGCTTTCTCAATCAGACATGAGTGTACCCTGCGTGGTGGGCTGACACTGCCAGAGCAGACGAGTCCCACATCTCCTGTCCCCTGATATTACCCCTTTCCACCCACCTCTGGGACACTGTGCCCAGCACCCTGGATGTTGCTGGAATTTCTAATCCCATCATAGCCCTACTGTGTGTCAGCCATCTTGACTGGGCCTACACTTCCAGGCAAGTCTGAGAGACACCGAGCAGGACACCAACCTTATGGAGACATTTGGCTGGATGCTGTGGGCAAGTTGTAAAGTTCCAACAAGTGCACTAAACCAAGCTCTGCCTGGGAAATTTCCCCACATCTATTGAAGGACCCGGTCAGGAAATGCTGTCTGCTTTCATCTCCCCTCACTCTTCTTCCTTTGCTCTCTCTCTCTCTCTCTGTGGCCAGGAGCACTTGTCTTGGGATGCATCTTTTGAGGTTAAGCTTCTTGTATGAAGCACTAACCAAGTTTCCCTGAGCAGACCGTCTACTACTTCTGTGGCTTTAGGAGGAGGATGACAGCTGACGACCTCTACAAAGGGTTGTCGTGGGATTAAATTAGTTGAATCTAGTGAATGCTTGGAACGAGCCAGGGCCACACTGCTCAGTAACTGCTTGCTGGAGTTCTCGCCCCATGGTGCTTGTTGCTAGGCAGCACCTGAATCCACACAGCCCCACACACACTGTGTTTCCTCCCCAGGTGCGCCTCTGGACATGCCTTCTTCTACACGGGTGAGCGCTGTCAGGCCATGCAGGTGCACAGCAGCACCCTGGGCCTGATGGTCGGAGGCATGGCCGGTGTGGTCATCCTGACCTTTGCCATCTTCTCCATAATTCTTCAAAGCCCAAGGCCGTGACCCTCCATGGATGTTGCGAGGCTGCAGAGGCGCCTCTTCCATTCTGACCTTCCCTCCCCTGTGGTCAGCCATCTGGACACTTTCCAGTGGGCTTGTTTTGAATTGGCCTCCAGGGACCATAACCTGGCCTCATGTGTGACTCTTCATTTTTCTGTCCTCACATGGTCCTGTTGCCATGCTGTGGGCTCCTAACACACTTGGGATGTCTTGTGCATCCTCATCTGCTATAGCTGTAGCTCCAGCAGGAGGGACCTGGAATCCTCATTACCCTGCCACCCTGTGCCCAGAATGTGCCCGGTGGGCACTCAGTAGATGGTGAATGGATGAACCAATAAATGAATGAATAACCAAGATAAAGAAACTCTCCTATTTCTGTTTCAGATCAGGAATGTAGAAGGAAATCCACTTGTGGGTGTATTAATCATATACTCAATGTTCTTGTTTTTTTGTTTGTTTTGTTTTGTTTTTTTGTACCAGGGATGGAACTAGGGCCCTTGCACTTGTGGGGCAGGAGGCAGAACCACTGAGCTAAATCCCGGGCACTACATATACTCGATTTTCATCAGACAAAATGTTGTTATGACTTTCAGTGTCTTGTCAAAGGACTTCAGGTGAAGATTCCTCTGGGAAACTAATATTCATCATCGTTTTTATCTTTCTCTGATTCTAAGGAAAGGGTCTTTAACAATATAACAGCTGGGTGTAGTGGTACACACCCATAATCCTAGCACTCAGGAGGCAAGAGAATCATAAGTTTCAGCCCAGCCTGGGCAATTTAGCAACTTAGTGAGATTCTGTCTTAAAGTAAAAAAAATACAACAAGCAAAAAACCCCAAAATTAAAAAAAAAAAAAAAACTTTAAAAGGACAGGGGGTATATCTTAGTGTTGGATCATCTCACCCACAAGAGATCTTTCCTGTCATCCATACCTTCCCAGAGTCATTAATATGTAGTTGAATAATCTCAGTCCAAAGTCTGAGAAATAACTGTGGCAAAACTTTAAGTATTACCATCTCAAAGCACTCCAGACGCTTTGTTATTAGTACCAAGGATGCTGGCAATGACCTTTGCATTAACAGATTAGATTTATCTATGAGGAGACCACTGCGGCTGGTCCTGGGACCTGACTTCGGGGTAGAACCTTAGACGAGGACTCGGTTTGGGTCTGGGTCCCCCCATTTGACAGCTGGTCCCACGGGCTGATCCAGTCAGAACCGAGCCTCCCCCAGGGATGATGGAATTTTATGACCCTATAGCCCTGCAGGTGGGAAGATGGGGTGGGCCAGCGTCCACCAGGTGGTGACCAAGCCTTGGGAGAGGCAAGTGAGGAGCTGGGGGGTCAGGGCTGGATGCCAGCCACCTCCTGGCCTCAGCTGCAGAGCCCTTGTCGGGTGTATTGCCAAGCACAGCTGTGAGAGTGTGCCTGGGGCCCGGGAAAATGCCCACAGTCCAGAAAAAAAAAAAAAAAAAGCAAACAAAGGTAGGATTTCAATCCAAATCAAACACCTCTTCCCAGGGGCCGGAGAGGGTGGTGCCAAGGTCCACTCTTGGATTTTGCTGCTGGCTGCTGTAGGAAGCGGGCCGACAGCTCTGAATTCTGACACTGGTTTCAGGAGATACTTGGGGGAGCTTACAGGTGAGCAGAACCAGCCGGCACCCGGTCTCCTGTCTTCATCCCTTTTCTGGGACACGGATCGAGTGCTGCTGCTGGAAGGTGGAGGCACGTGTGCGTGCCTGTGCGTGCACGTGTGTATGCAGGTGTGCACATACGTGTGCCTCTGTGTTCGTGTGTGACTGTGCTGTGTGTGCGAGTGTGCCAAAGGGTAAGGGAATGCCCCTGTGCTCAGGACTGGGCAGCAGGCCCTAGTTGCTTCCAGTGGATCCCACCAGAGCCCCTGCCGTGTGCAGTTTCCTGCCACAAGTCGGTGGGGTCGGTCTTTCCCGGAATCGGACTCTAAAGCCAGCAGCCCGGCCCCACTCAACCCTGTCTCTTCTGGGCTGATAGTCCTGGAGAACTCACCTGCATTTACAGGCGGTGGACCGTGCTGCCGCGTCCTCTGGGATCTCACATACGAGCCACTGGGTTGGGACAGCGCCGCGACGACTCCCAGGGACAGAGGTCACTGCCTTTAAGCCTTGTTTGGAGCCCCTGCCCCTTCCTCTCCTCCACAGAGAAGAGAACAGCAGAGACAGAGCCGGAAATGTAGAAAAAGGAGGAGTTCTGAAAGGTTTCAGATGTTAAGATGCAAACAGCCATTGCGTCCCAGCCTCTTCCTCTCCAGTCCTGTCCCGGTGGCTCCGTGTTTGCACTGCGACCTCTCCTTTTGGGGGCAGACGTGGGCTTGGGATGTACGGCTGCTGCCCCACAGCACGTCCTTAACTTACGGATGCAGTCTCCAAGGATGTGTGTGTGTGTGTGTGTGTGTGTGTGCGCGCGTGCGTGTGTTTAATGAAGTGTGGCCATACAAACAACACACACAAACACAAATCACAATCAAACCCTGGGGGAAAGTCCTGCTATTTGCTCGTCAGCGCTTCGGGAACAGACTCTGCCGCTGTGACCTTCCTCGTCCGAGCTCTCCCTGTGGTTGTAACAGATGTGAGTTAGAGGACAGGGAACTCTGAATGTGTAGTTGCCGGGGAAGCACAGACAGGGTATGCTTCACAGCAGGCCGCACCCACACCCAGCCCACCACACCCACGCAATACAAGGCAAGGGCAGGTCGCGTGGCGCCTTGACCGCTGCTTCTCTGCTGCCCGGGAAAGTACTGGGTGCGAACTGTTGACGCGCGATACAGGTGGAGTCCATTTGTCGGTGCCCTGTAAGATGTTTGTCAGCGAAGTGACTTTAGTTTCTCTGCACGGAACGGAACCCAACCCGAGGTCTTTCTGAGGGACTGCAGCGGTGTCAGCCAGCGGTGAGTCCCCGGGAACCTGACCCAGAAGCATCGCCACGCCCTGTGAGCTCCAGCCCCTCGCTCTGGCCTGGGCGAGCAAGGCCCCGTGCGTGTCTGGCACCGGGAGATCAGTCTCCTCGGGCGTCGCCGGTAAATATTATTTCCCACTCAAGGATGCTGTCCCCTCCCCATTTGTTCCAGTCTGTTTTGTTTCCTTCTTAGCTAGGAAGACATCAGGAAGACATCAAACTCATTCCCCCGTGGCTCGCTTACGTTCACTTTCCATTTGGAGGGCATTTTGATCTACTCTCAGTGTTGTCATTTCTGAGTGATTGTAGTAGATCTTTAGCGTGGAAATCTTAAAATGTGGTCCTTAGTGTGGTTTTCCTTTATCCTTTTTCACTCCTTGCTTTCCTTTTCCTTTTCTTCCTTCCCTTGCTTCCCTCCTTCCTTCTTTTCTTCCTTCATTCCTCCCTCCCTCCCTGCCTTCCTCTATTCCTTTCCTTCTTTCCCTTGTCTTCCCTCCCTACCACCCACCCTTCCTCCGTCTCTTCCTTCCTTCATCGAAGTATTTCTAGGCACTAATATTTTACTTATTATTTTAATCAAAGCTTATCATTATAGCCAATGGCAAGAAATGAAAATGTCTCTTTAAAACTCTATTTTACAGTATAGACAGAAGCGGGGCCTTGGGAGGTGCATGGATCACTTAAATACTATACACACTGGGTGTCACAGGAGGGGCGGGGTGGGGAGCACAAACAGACATTGCAATTCCTTTCCCTCTGTCTTTACAGAAGAAAGCGTCCTGGTGACAAAGTCATCAGCGTCTGCTCCCAGGCGCCTGCAGAGAGCGTCCTGGCTCTGCTCGGGTCTCTCAGAGGCATCCGCTGTCCCCAGGAGAACAGGTGGCTGCAGTTTTCAGTGCTTAGTGGAGCAATGAATAGGCACTGGAGGAGTTTTCCACCGACGAGCTGGTTGTCTCTGGGGTGGACACATTGTAGGTTCCTGCAAGACAGAGCAGCCCCTGAGACTCACAGATGAGCCTGTGTGGACTGCGGTGCGAACACTCGGGTGGTCAAGGGAACCAGGTCCAGGGCCCGAGAGCTTGCAAGCCAGAGGACACCAGGCACAGGCATGTTGCTCCGAGTAAGCCACCAGGAGCCCTCCAGGTAGGCAGCTCCTGTCCCCATGCCACCACATGCACCACCAAGACCCTGGGCAGGAGACTCCGGGACACTCTTGGGAGGGAGCTGGAGGCAAAGGTTTAGAAAGAGAGGAAAAAGAGAAAAAAGAAAATCATAGGCCAAGGAGAGGTAGACCAGAAAGAAGCAAAAGTCGGGGCCAGCAACAGATAGGGCAGAACCGGGCTGTCGGGGAGGCCAGGCTGGGTGCTTCAAGGCCAATGGGCAATGGCAGGCTGGGGCAGGGAGAGGGCAGGGAGCGGGGTCATGGGGAGAGCGAGGGCCTACCCTACCATCACACTGCTGAGCTGCCACTGCTAACAAGTTCTCTTTCACTGCCTGGGGGGATCTTGGGGGCTGCTGCCAACATAAACCAAAATCACAGTGATTATGGATCCCCCCAGGTCAACGTAGGGTACAGCGATGAGCCCAGAGAGACCATCCAGAGGTAGTGATCAGCTGTCCCAGGTCCCGGTACCCTCGGGATAAAGCTTGCACCCCAAACTTTATCTGATTCAGACACAAGAAGCACATATTACATGACTCTAATTCCACTCTCACAGAGTTTTCCTCATTCTCGCTTCCACACAAATGTGAAGGCATCCCACGGGCAGGGCTGGCAGAGGGCACTGATTCTAATGCGCTCTGGAGACAGAGATGGGATCATTTCCCAACAGGTTGAATCAGTGACGTTCAAAATGAGAAAGAAAGTCCACCAGTTGGATGTGTATCACAAAACACACAAAAACGTCTGGAGGTTTAGCAGTGCTGGGTTTAGCATTCTCAAGATCTGGCTTCCTGCGGAAAGCCTTGGACTGGAGCATTTGAGATCGGTTCCGTCTCAAAAAGCTGAAAAGAGTGTTCAGGCTTGATTTCCGGTGGGGGACGGTGGCGTGGGACGGGGACTCTGATTTACCAGAGTGACTGAGTGTCACTGCCCATAGCCATTAACGCCATCTACTTCCTGTCTCCGGTATGAACTGTGTTTCTAACACAATAGCTAACTGGGTGATTCTTTATATGCAAATTTTAAAATAAATGTCAATGTGCAAACAAGTACAAAAAGAGGATGAAGGAAGGAAACCCTCACCAGAGAGCTGCAGAAGGATTTTCTAAGCACAATAACAAAAGTGTGGCCTGTACCCCTATCCAGCAGGGAGGGAAAGCCTCACAAGTCCTGCTCGTTATGAGTGATCATTAGTTACCCATTAAAGGCTGCTGCCCTCTGTGTCAATGTCCTGGTGACACGAAAAAATGCAAACAAATTCTTCCATTTAACTTCTGCCCTAAATGAGGCCACTTCCGGAAAAGCCCGGAAGTGCTCGGATGCACATAGTGTTCAAGCTCCTGTTTGGGCCAACCAGGGAGCACCCAGAAGTCACTACGTACCTGTTTTACCGAAAAGATTGTTAAATCTTCTCGATATTGGAGAACTCATGGAGAACACAGGTGTAGTTGAACCCACAGATGTGGACTAGGAGAGAGAAAAAAAGATAAATTTGTCAGAGCAGGGCCTCTGGGTATGCAGGAGGAGCGGTCTGCTGCCCTCTAGTGGCCACTTGCCCGCATTTCTAACCCCACCTCTTCAGCCATGGGGAGATGCTTTAAATCACATTAGAAAAACATTAGCTTTCAAATACATGGGCTCTTCTCTTTTCTCTTCTCTTCCTCTTTCTCCTCTCTCCTCTCCCCTCCCCTCCCCTCTCCTCTCCTCTCCTGTCTCCTCTTCTCTCCCTTCTCTTTTTCTTTTATTGGCACAAGCAATCAGACCAGGGCCTTGTGCATGCCAAGCATATGTTGTACCACCGAGCTACACCCACAACTCAAATATATATTTTATTGTTTGGTAGATGTTTCCTAGAATTTCCTGACATGGAAAGGTAGTCCAATACATTCAAGAACAATAGTTGTTCTGGTTTATGTCTAGATGTCCCCCAACAGCCTGGTGTGCTCAGTAGGCTGGGTTTTCAGAAGGTGATTGGATTACAGGAGTGTCACGGCTGACTTGCTGTTAGGAACTAGAGGTTTGGTACCAAGAGGCAGTCACTGGGCACATGGCCTGGAGGGGTCTACAGTGTTTCCCTCCCCTCTCCACTTCCTGATGGTCATGCTGTGAGCAGATTTTTCTCCCCCATTCCCTCTGTCTTGTGCTGCCCTGCCTTGGAGCCGACCGTATGGGCTGAAACATGAGGCAAAATAATCCTCTCCTCCCTTAAGTTGCAGATGTATGTTATTTTGTTTCAGTAACCAGAAAACTAAGACAATAACTGTGCTTCAAAATGAACTACTGAAAATTCTACCCATCCTTCTTGCTCAAGTTGGTTTCTCTAATATCCTGAATGCCTGAAGACGGTCTTCCAGTTAAAGTTTAATGCCAACCTCAGGTTTAGCTTCTCCGTCCTTGGATTACCTACTGAAAGATGTGAGGCGGTGTCTTAATGGTAGCTCCATGGCTGTGTTTAACAGGCAGAACAAGGTGAGAAGCAAAAAACTGCCCAGTGGTCTATGCCAAAACTAGGTGTAGAAGTAGAGAGGTTTGTATTTAACCCCCCTGGTAAGAGTCCCAAGGTAAAAAGTACTGCGCCTCCTCACACTAGCGGAAGACGAGATTCTACAAGATGAAAAGCCCTCAGGGAGAGTGCTTACCTTGGAGTGCTGGGAAGAGTGCCTGGACAGTGAAAATTTGTTCAGCAGTGTTTCCTGCACCTGCATTATTGAAAAAAAGTCATGTGAATTTATCCCACCAAGGCACTTCTGACTTTTGCAGACACACAAGACTGCCAGTGTTCTTACCTTCTGATCCCACAGGCAGCCGAAGAGTAGAATGAATAATCCCTGGGGAAAGAATTAGGAAGAAGCCCATTTTCAGCATGTTCCGCTGTCCAGTGAAATGGGATGTATTATTACTTGGTGGTGAGTTCCTCCCACTTTTTACCCATTTGAGTTTGGGGGAGAAGTCCAAGGGGTCCACACTAAGGGCCCGAACTAGCAGGAGACGGTTTCCTAACTGCCTGAGGGAGGAGTGGCATATGCCGCTGGCTACTCTGGGGCCTTGGGTGAGATACTGGGTTTTTTCTAATGGAGGCACAGCTTGAAGATCATTAAATAAGAACCACAGAGTTTGAAGCCACCGGCCCAGAAGCAGGACTTGGGGTTTGCTGGGCTGTGTCGAACATCTGGAAAGCAACACCTCCACTTCCACTGTAGACCCAACTGCCTCCTCAAAGCTCCCAGGAGTTGGAGCAGTTGGACAATTTCTCCTGCCCCTGCCCCACTCTGGGGGAAGGATGGAATTAATCACTGCACCACCACCCCCGTGCTTGTCGTGTGCACCTGCATCACAGCCCTTCCAGCAGCGCGACCTGCACTGTCACTGGCTACCTGCTGCGGGAGAGCAGAGACGCGCCTGCATTTTATGTAAGTATCAAGCAGACAGCCCGGCACTCATAGGCATCTGTTGTTTGATCTGTCAACAACTGTTTCCATAGAAACCATGTGGTAGGCAGCATCCATTTACTACACGTGGTTTGGGGGACCCTGCTGTGGACAGAGGTCTTCGCCACTCACTAGGGATGCTGTGCTTGACAGTGAAGACAAAGAGACACCGGACAGGACCCTTGGCTTAGTAGTGGTATTTTCACTTTGGCACTAACAGGCTACACCGAGATGGTCTTGGGTAAGCAGCAACCAGCTGAGGGAAAGTTACTCCCCTCCCTCTTGTATCATCAGGACACATTGCTGCTCAGTCAGGAGGCAGGCGACAAGGAGTCAGGGGTCCTCTGCCCTCTGCACGGAATCCTCTGGCTTCCTGAGGGTGAGGATGTTTCCACCATTCGCCTGCCCCACAGGACTGAAGTCTCCCAGGGCCCTGGCTGTAGAACTCACCTGGAAGGCGTTGAGCAGGGTGAAGATGATGTGAAACACGGCGTTGCTGCCCTGGAACACGGTGGCCAGACCGAAGCCCCAGGTGAGCCCCAGGAGAGGGGTGAGGACCCCGATGCTCTTGCTGATCTGAAACAGGCTGTTCTTCTCCTGCTTGTGGGGTTTGTCCCCAATGGACGGCCTCAGGATCTTGGTGATGACCACGACCGTGACGGTCATGTTCACCACCACGATGATCAGCGCAGGGATGACAAAAGCCAGCAGGGCCTTGGTGTCGTCCCAGTTGAGCCAGCAGGCGTTCTTCCTCGTGTAGACCTCCTGCGGCTGGGTGGCCGCCACTGTGATGACCGAGATGACCAGGGGGCAGCCGTAGCCGACAGAGAAGGCGACGGCCTTCTGAGTGGACTTGCTAGTGTCGTGCAGGATGAAAATCAGGCGATAGAAGAGCATGAGGCCCAGCGTCAGCATCCAGAAGAACACGCTGAGGTAGAAGAAGTGGATGAAGAAAGTGGCGGCCACGCAGACTGTGTCGTTGAGCGGGTAGTGATGGTCCTGGATGGCGGCCGCCACGATGAACCAGGCGTCGGCGAACAGAAGCGAGGCGGCGATGTTCACGATGCATATGTGCCGCATGTAGGACGTCCGGTTCTTGGTCACGGATTTCCACACCACCGCTTCCACGACGAGGCAGGCCGCCAAGCTCAGGATGGAGAAGCCCAGGCCGATGTAGGAGATGATATCCAGCAGGATCTCCAGGAGAGATCCGCGGTCCGGCGAGTCCGGGGACATGAGGATGGAGAAGGAAGTCAGGTGGTCACAGGTGCAGGAGACTCTGTCCCTGTCCACGCTGTTCACGCGGCACCCACGGCTGTCCCAGCCCCCGGAGTGGTTGGAGAGGCTGAAGTTCCAGAAGGCGCACATGATTTGCCCTCCGGCTCCGTGGGTGTTTTTAAAAGTCATGGAGATCTCGAATGGCGCAGTGATGTTGTGGCTGATGGTGGTGGTCATCACTAAACTGTTTGCAAAAGGCTTTTTCTGGGCTTCCTGAGCCAGGATGGCTTTGAGCGTCGGGAAAGCCATGGTGACCACTGCTGACTCTGGTTGCAGGTTTCCCAGCTGATGCTTTTCGATGGTCACATTGCCCCAGAGGTTGGAGTCTGGGAAGTGAAAATTCTGCTGGTAGACATGGGACTTCCCGGGTTTTACGACCATGCTCCCCATCTGCACGTTGGGGTGGCGGAGGAAGGCAAAGGCGCCGTCCCCTGGCCGCAGGGCTTTGGAAAACCGCTCCACTGAATGCAGCAGCTGTGAGCTCTGGCCAGTCTGGTCCTGCTGCAGGGCCTCCCAGGCACCTAGCACGGACTTGCCCAAGATGACGTTCACAGTGGCCAGCATGTCCTATAAGCGACACACCCACAAAACTCTTTCAGCCTCAAGACACACAAAAAAACCTCTCCTCTGAGGCTGAGGGGGGCAAGCACAGGGGGAAAGCTGAGGGGGAAAGGGGGAGAAGTTGGCGCCAGCTGGCACTTGTGCTCCCTGGAGCACTTGGAGATCACGAGAACCCCTCCTACCTGGCTCAGGCCAACTCAGCAGGCTGGCAGAGACTGTTTGGTTTGGTTTGGTTTTATCTGAGCTCTCCGTTCTGCAGAGGCTTTTGGTGGGTGGCAGGTCACCAGCAAGAAAGCCTCAGAAGATCCTGTCATGCCCTGAACCCTACTCTGTACACGTCCTGAAAACCATTAATTCCTAGCTGGCCCGTAAAACTTATATTCATTCTATCTGAATAAAGAACCTAAAGCAGAGATGTACTAAAGAGGTTTTCTTACGGCCCCAGAAGGAATTCTGGAAACACCCCGTGGTGTCCTGAAACCTGTAGCTGGCAGACTGTAATGTCCAGGCCCTTGCACTGGAAGAAGCAGAGAGGTTGCTGCAGTGGGGGACGGATGAACACCATCCTGAGAGGTAAGCAGGCAAGCCCCAGACTCCAGCCTCACCTTCATCATCTCTGGGTCCACCTGTGATGGGACTGTGGAGAGCAAGTCAAGGATGTTGATGATGGCGCCCAGGCTCCCAGGGGACGACTGGATCTCCAGCTCCTCCTGGCCGGTGCTGACGGAAAGGTTCTTCAGGTAGGTGGGGAGGTTCTGATCCTGAGAGGGGCTCTTGATCAAAGCCTAGCAAAACAGAAGCCCAAGCAAAAGTAAAATGTGTGACTCTTCCGGCCCACAGGTGCTGCTGATCCTTTCACCCGTATCTCACAGCTCTAGCTGCAAACTGTAATTTCAGTCTTCCTAGGTTAGGATAATTTGTATCTGTCATGTTTTCAAGCATCAAGGTCTACACCATGTGAATAAGTGAGACCCAGGTGATTTGCTCTCTTCACTTTGACAGCATCTATAATTATGCTTTGCACATAGTGGGCATTTTAATGCGTTTGGTGTGAGACAAGGGGAGAGACAGAGGATAATTTGCTAACACACAAATCGATATTATCCGTATTTCTCAATTCTTCCTTTCTCTAGTGGTTAGATAATCAGAACTTGTTTTCTAAAGATACCACCTTTCTTTACAAGCCCATTAGTTGTATCTCAGGGAATTTTAATGCGTTTGGTGTGAGACAAGGGGAGAGACAGAAGATAATTTGCTAATACACAAATCGATATTATCCGTATTTCTCAATTCTTCCTTTCTCTAGGGGTTAGATAATCAGAACTTGCTTTCTAAAGATACCACCTTTCTTTACAAGCCCATTAGTTGTATCTCAGGGATTTTTTTTTTTTTTTTTTGTGGTACCGGGAATCGAACTCAGGTGCTTGCGCTTGCGAGGCAGGCAGCAGAACCACTGAGCTAAATCCTCGGCCCTCAGGGATTTATTGGTTGTAGTTCATGGAGCTGCAGGAATCTCTAGTGTACAACACATCAAGTACAGATGCACCATTTATTTATTTTGATCAAAAGACAGGAATTTCCCCTGCTACACAGTGGCCATCATGGTTCTGGAGAAGGCAGGGTAACCCTTCAGAAATAGAGACTGCCAACAAGGATCGAAGGAATCTCAGATCTGTAAAAGCACGAACTCAAGGCTTAGTTGAGTCGTATTTTGGTATTATTGCTCTTTCTGAAAAGATGACAGCTGTTCGACATCAAAACCACTCAAAGGAGATGGCTGAGAGGGGGCGTAATGCAGGGGCTGAGAACGCAAGATTGCCTGTGCGGGTTGGCCCTGAACAGAACACCTGCTTTGCCTGATTTATTGGGTTTAAACACCTCTGGGCTGTGTCTCCTCTGGAAATGTGCACACAAGAGCTGCCTTTGGAGCAACGCCATGCATCCCTGGCCCAAGAGAGGTTGCTGCAGTGGGGGACGGATGAACACCATCCTGAGAGGTAAGCAGGCAAGCCCCAGACTCCAGCCTCACCTTCATCATCTCTGGGTCCACCTGTGATGGGACTGTGGAGAGCAAGTCAAGGATGTTGATGATGGCGCCCAGGCTCCCAGGGGATGACTGGATCTCCAGCTCCTCCTGGCCGGTGCTGACGGAAAGATTCTTCAGGTAGGTGGGGAGGTTCTGATCCTGAGAGGGGCTCTTGATCAAAGCCTAGCAAAACAGAAGCCCAAGCAAAAGTAAAATGTGTGACTCTTCCGGCCCACAGGTGCTGCTGATCCTTTCACCCGTATCTCACAGCTCTAGCTGCAAACTGTAATTTCAGTCTTCCTAGGTTAGGATAATTTGTATCTGTCATGTTTTCAAGCATCAAGGTCTACACCATGTGAATAAGTGAGACCCAGGTGATTTGCTCTCTTCACTTTGACAGCATCTATAATTATGCTTTGCACATAGTGGGCATTTTAATGCGTTTGGTGTGAGACAAGGGGAGAGACAGAGGATAATTTGCTAACACACAAATCGATATTATCCGTATTTCTCAATTCTTCCTTTCTCTAGTGGTTAGATAATCAGAACTTGTTTTCTAAAGATACCACCTTTCTTTACAAGCCCATTAGTTGTATCTCAGGGATTTTTTTTTTTTTTTTTTT